TAATGGCGCACTGTGACTTAGGCAGAAATGCGTCTATGACTTGTGGACATACGCAATTTTGCAACTTTACTATATGCATAGGCTTGCCATACGTCCCGGTTTAGCCGGGACAGTCCCGGTTTTGACGAGCTGTCCCGGCGTCCCGGCCGGTTGACTCAAATGTCCCGGTTTGTCAGCACGGCTGTCATGGGTAAAAAATTCCTATTCCTTATTGTTACAATTTTTTTTAACGGCGGCAGTCCATTTACCACTGGTTTGCAACACACTTCGCTAGTTCAGAGAGAGAAAAATTGTTCTATTGTTATGTCACAATCGGTATATGTTTTAATGCGTTTTCTGGCGTTAACTACAATGCCGTTAAGTTGTCGAAATGCCATAAAGAAAGTACAAATTTTCTAATGAGTTGAAAAAAGATTTTCCTTATTTTGCGCAAACTGAAGGAGGAAAGGTACACTGTACGCATTGCAGATCTGTTTTTCGGTGACCGTACATTTGAACCCATGTAGGATTTGAACCCATGCGTATATCCACGGGTTCAATCTATATGCGGGTGCTAAAACCCATGGGTTAGGGTTAGTATGGGTTTAAGTATCCGTGAAACAAAAAAAATTCCATAGGTGCAATAGCATACAGGTGCAATTTTCTCAAATGTACGTGGGTTCAAATGTAATGGGACCCTGTTTTTCTATTAGTCATGACGGTCGTTCAGATGTCAACGATCATATATATCCAAAGCAGGAAGCACAAAACATTAATTGAGGCATCAACTCGACTGACCAATTTCTTTGCGATAACAAATTCGGATGATTCTTTGTCGTTGGCAGTCGACATTTGCCTATCAAACAATGTTTTGACTGCACCTCTAAATTAATTTTAATTTTTTTAGCCTAAATTTGCATTAACTTGTAAATATACAGTTAGAATTTCTAATGTCCGCTGTCTGATAAGCGGATTCGCTGATTTTGCACGTTTAGCCAGAAATAAACGAGAGTCGGTGATTTTTGATTGAATTGCTCCGCTGTTCTCCTCTGAACCTAATGATGTTTTCCTTTAAACCAGTTTCGTATCAGCAACCTTCGATGCATCAAACAGAAAAAATTTAGAGCTTGTTCCAGTTGTGGTACGTTCTTTTTTACCTGATGTTGGTGTGAAGATAAAACTATTAGAATTCAAATCTTTACCCTGGGAAACCGCCGAAACTTTTACTGAATACTTGCTCTCTGTTCTCGGAAAAGTTGTTGGATTCTGTGCGGATAACTGCAACACCAACTTTGGAGGTGTAAAAAGACGAAAAACAAGTAATGCTTTTTTTTCAAACTAAAAGAAATATAACCGGTATAGATTGTGGGTACCAGTTCAACAGTGCACTGCGATGCCATTTTCAACATGTCGTAGATACTTTGCCTGTTTGTGATGTTGTCAAAATGTATAAATATTTTGACATTTACACTGTCCGAGTAACAGAGGAAAAACCATGCTGCGATTTTGTTGATAGTAAGTATCAACGGCTATTACAGCATGGCAACACTCGGTTTCTCCCTTTATTACCTGCTTTGCAAAGGATTACGGAACTGTTTAAAAGCTTGATAAGTTATTCAAATTCTCAAGAAGGATGTCCTACTCTTATGCTTAAATGTTCCAGTGTACGAACTTCACTTGAAATTTGTCCTTAGCCAGCTCACCTACTTCAACAAAATTATTTTAATTTTAAAAAAAGATAATACTAATGCCGTAGGTCAGGGGTCGGCAACCTACGGTTCCAGGGCCGGATCCGGCCCGCATAGTATTATAATCCGGCTCGTGACGCTTCACTAAATTATAGTAACAAAACAGCCGTTTTGACGATTATATTTTTTAAACTAAATTATATTATAATCTAACAAGTATATAATTCACAACTACTCGTTTAATGAGCCTATAATTTAATTATAATTAGACAAATGACAACAAAACGCAGAAAAGTTGATGCGAAGTGCCAAGGGTTCAATGGCGCTGAAAATATTCAAATGCAATTTTTTGCGATACAATGAGAAAATAAATCTATATTCTATTCGAAAGATGTATTACTGCTTGATTTTTTTTATATATAAAAAGGATCATCCGTTCGGTTTCAGCTTTCTAAAAATATGTACGGCCCGCCAATGACTCGCAACCCTTAATTTTGTCCCGCGAGCGACAAAAGGTTGCCGACCCCTGCCGTAGATGTCAGAGGTGAAGCTAAATTTGAAGGAAAAAGGGTAAAGTCTGTTAATTCCGTCGCAATCACTTGTACTTCTGAAATCCTTGGAACGCTCTGGCGAAATCGACGTAACTGTATTTAAAAAGAATGTTTGCGGTATATAGAGCTGCATGCTGAAACAAGCCTACAATGCTGCCAGGCCCCACATATGGACAAATTCGAAGGGTGAGATAAACTGGACTAAAGTGTTTGGTTTGCAAAATTGATAAATGATATGTTCGGTTAGCTAGTCAGGTTTTGAATAGCGAGCGATGCACTTTTCGACGAATATTGATAAAGAGATATTTATCTGAGCATGGTTCAAATGCAATTTGGCTTACCTTGCGGTTGAATTTAAGTGGACAGGGATGTTTAACGTTTTTTCTAACAGAAATATTAGCATTTCGAATTTGCAGAAACTCGTTGATTTTGTTTGCCGGAACATCGGCATCTGTTGAACGGATTTTCTTCATTGTTAAATTTTTTGGTCTGTAAGCAGGTTCAGAATGCTAGAAGAAAATATAAAAGCCCTCGTAACCTGCAAATTGAATGGTGATTTCTCTTGTTATCAGTTTTATGACAAAATCAAAACAAGAAGAGAAGGAGAGATTTGAGAAGGATTCCATCTGCGAACAAATACTTTTGGTCTAAATAAATAATACAAACTATTTTTTTGCTAATTCAATGATCAGTAGAGATTTACAGCCGTATATACCCGCAATGGCACGGTAGACGTTTCAATATTACAAAGACTGGCAATCAACCGAATGTTTGACAAATCGCACCGTCCCGGTTTTTTGTTTCAGATTTATGGTAAGCCTATATATGCACCAGTCCTGAAAACTAAAAATTCTAAAAACGAATGTAATTCTCGGTATCTACAATGTCTAATCCCCCCAAAAAGCTAATCAGTTTAAATTACATTGTTTTTTATGTTTAAAAATATATATTTCATCAATATAACACGTTCTGCACACCCACCGAAATAAGGTTAAGATTAAATATAAAGAATAAAACAGCAATGCATCCAATATAAAAGCCAACCAAGGTGAATTGGACTCGGACAGTGAATATCACAATTGCACGCCTTCCTATACTGTAGTATAAATTCAAATTAATACGCGCTAAGCTAGAATCCGAGATGCAAAAACTCGAAAATACTTCGCCGAGGTTATTTTGCCTTTGTGACATCACAACAGTCCTGCGGTAACAATGATAATTCAATCAGACGAAACAATTGCACAAATGTGCATGTCATAGCCTACTAAATCTCCATTTTTATGGGTTTCGGAATTCTTAAAATAAAATCTGAGTTAACAAACAGGTGCGCAGCATTACACAAATACCTATTTTATAAATAAAAAAAATCAAAATCGCCAAAAATGACTTACGCAATTCGGTTATTAGCGTGACGATATTTTTACCGAAGACCGGATTGTGAAATACCTCGATTCAAAATTTAATAGAAGACCGAAAACTCAGTTGCCTCAACGCGTTTTTTATTTCAAAATTTCGTCATAATGGCCTATCATTTTTTGTCTCCGCGATCGTTTCGGCCGCCGATATTCCAGTTAATGTTGGTAAACTATATTTTAAAGCACTTTTTATTCACAAGTAAATATTGATTCTCACGCAATGGCGGACATCGTAGTTTGGTTTTTATATTTCGGACAAAATTGTGAGTTCACATCGGCGAAGATGTTAAGTACGCGGTTAAAGAGCTATCAAAGAGTGAATTCACAACACAAATTAATTTTATCTTCCGCGTAGGACTTGATCCTCCATATATATCACAATTTGTAAATTACGGTCCCAATTTTAAGCGAACAATATTATCCCAGGGATCAGATGTGTAGCTGATAGTTGACTTTTTTATGCTTTTGATTTTATATCGTGTCCGTGTTATTTTCGTATTATAATGATGATTAAAAACTCCGCCAATTGGTCATCGCCTGAATAATTCAGTTGAGTATTCACTTAACTCAGCTTTGAGTTAAAACACTGATCTAAATACTTGAATAAATCGACAATAATGGCATTTCTACACGGTCGAAATAATATTTTCACCTAAATTTCCATAGAATACATTATTTACTTGCTTATCTGTTTCGACGTTTCTAAATTTAAAAAAGCGGTGTTGACGGCGTTTATGAAAAATTGGAAATTGAAACGATACGACAGGCGCAGAAAGACAACAAAAAAACATAACACACGATTTATCGCATGGGTCTGTTAGCGAGAGACGTAGGTAAATTCTCACTCGTAATTCGTCGTAAATTAATTTTAATAAATTTTATTTTTGCTTTCCAATGTGCCGCGAGTTGTTTTTTAAGTGATTGCGTTGTAAAAAGAGAGTCCTTGAATTAACCCTTCACTCCTTCTACGCGCTCACAACGACGTTTGAATTCGTTTCCTATCTGTGTCATGGAAAGAAATCGCAATCAACTATTACGTATTCTTATTTATCATTATCAGCGCTAACTAAATAAGATGATTGTCCCGAAAGCAGTAGTGTTTATGTGCAGCGTTTTGACTTATTGTTAAAAGTATCATCTTACAAAATGTTTTGTTTACGGCCAATATACGCGAACAACACCATCAATTTATGTATTTATTTCGGATCTATGTAAAAGTATTGGACTCGGACACGAGCCGAATCTTTTAGGATTCGTCGCTTCCCTAAGTCAGCTGCACATCTCTGGCTCTCAATCTATATATGTTGATCGGATGATAAGTACTTTCTCATGGTATTTTATATAAAACACCGGTGGCATTAACACACTTTTGATCAGAATATTGTATAATCTTGGGTTTTAAATAGAACTATTACAGAGATAACATAATATTGCACTGATTCAATATGATTAAGCTATCAGATGATCTTCAATCAAGAGATATGAATTTAAGATAAATTGCTACGAAATTCATCCATCAGATATGCCGGTATATGCTTCTCAAGAACCTAGAAAAATAAAAATGGTGATAAACTTCATCTCCAATGTAAACTTTTCAGCATCAGATTAGCAAATTATGAGTACAAAACTATACCTTCCTGTCTAGTTTTCCATAGTATAGAAAATCTTCAATGAAAGCAAGAGAATTGACAACTTCAGGTGAGAGATCCATAATCTTTGAACTAAGAGGAAATATAAACAATTTAGTTTTAGAAATGGATGCAAAGGAAACCATCGTGCATTTTTCACACTAGATGAAATAAAAAACGTTGTTTTTTACCTTACTCCCACATTGACATGAGATCGAATATATTGTCCCAACAATGCAAGGAATCGTTCAGTTTCCTCTGGATGGAATTGTTTTAGAAGAGTATGCATTCCAATAACAAATGGTGGAGCATCTATTGGGTCAGTTATTTTCTTGCAAGTGAGGCCACCTGTCAATTGATAGCAGTTAGGATACACACTTCAACTTTTGACTCTTAGCTGGGAATAGGAAACTCTCGAGTAAGCAGTAGAATGAATGTTTTTTAAATAGGATATGATTTACCGGTACATATTTATCCCCAGAAAGAAGAAAGTCGATAACATGACTCAATCATATGGCGAACCACGAGTCCACGACATCTCGTCCGGTTACGGGTCCAGGTCTGGTATGTGATTAGTTAGCCAGTTATTTGTTTTCGGAAGCATGGACTTGATGGTGGAGGAAGCCGTACCCGAACAGCATTTATGTGAACCACCCTACGGCGGTGAGGAGTCCAGTAATCCTCTTGCACATAATCATCCCTGCATGGGATTCAAACCTGCGAACCCACGCAGGGTAATCAGAGATGCGGTGGCGAGCCAATGATTAATTACTGTGATTCTCAAATTTTCATGATCCATTTGTGTGCCCCTGATATTTTATAAAAGTATCTAGTAGTGTTTGGACACATTTTTATCAGTTATTTCATGTGCCATGTTTAATGAAAAAAGGTAATAAATTAAAAGGAAAATGAAAAACATTAGAGTCAAAGCTATAAAAAGTCAATTTACAAAGCCAATGTACTTTACTCTATGACACGTCAATATAGTCAACGTGGATGACACCTATTCAAGTCTCTTGATTGAGGCTAAAAACAAACATGTTCGGGCCCAATTGAAAATTACTGAAATAACAAATGATATAAATATAGTTGAGAATGGCGAGGACCATATTATTGAGCCATTACCTACGTGGAGCCTTGTTCAGAGTTAAGGTATCGATTTTGAAAGTAATTTAATCTATCAAGGAGCACGTGATCACTTTATTATTGAGCTGAAAACCATGTGTTGCATGAGATTTTCAATAAAATGGAGATTATGCCAATCTTTAGAGAAATGAACATTACTCACATAGTGACTTGCTGTAGACAAGCTTTTGCAATTGAGCAATGGTGAATGTGAAGCACAATAAAGCGAAATGTTGAATCCGCCTTGATAACAAAAACAAAAATTTAAAGATTCTGTTTGATATGAATGTCTCCTAACCTAAATATGTCCAAAACTCGGGAGATCGGAAAATCATTTAATACAATGGGAATGCAGATTGGACAAATATTGGAGACTGAAGAACTTAAACCTTACTTCAGTTTCGACATGCAACATGCCAAACTCCCAGGAGCTACCTGAAATTTTAGATTCTCCAGCTCTCAATCATCGAGGTTATATAATTTTTCATTCTATCCTTTCCAGTTTGATTTTTAACCCAATATCATGTATTAATTTGAAAGTTTCAAAGCCAAATTTTAGGTTTGAAGTTCATATTTCAAATATGAAAACCCTTTTATTATTCAATTTCAGTTCCATTTTCGCAAAACTGCATTTGTGCTCGCTCGGAGTCCGGCTTCGAGGGGGGAAAAATGAATTTAAATATATACAGTGGCTCGCCCCTCAAACTGGAGCCATTGTCCAGCCTTACCCACAACACATGATACATACTTTGTGGTGATGTAAATCTTGTCAAGAGGATAGCCCAGTCCAGCTGTATCAAGATAGGATCCCAATTCATATAATATTGGATTTTCTTCACTGGGATAAGGTTTGGTTGGATCTTGATAATGGGCTCGTACTGATGTCAATAATGCTCTGAATATTAAAGATGAAGAAATATAAACACAATATACAGTATATTATGAACATTGACTACTGTTATGCTCTATAAAGTACAATACGTGATTGGCACTACAAATCGTTTATTTGGTAAATAATTTGCTGATATATTATTGATAGAAATATTTATTTTCTATTGCAAAGTCGAGATAACACAATACAAAAATTATTATTAGCAGGGAGTCAGGGACACAGTAATAAGAAATCAAATTTGTACGCTTACGCCCCAGAGGCTGGGATTCGTACATCTGGCTCAGTGGTGTTTGCCACTTTTCAAAGATCGGCTGAAGTCTCGCTAGTCTATTGTATCCCAAGGTTGAAAAGTCATATTTACCGTATAAAAAGTACTGAATTTTTTTTTTTATAAATACAAGACTTTAGTGGCATAACCTGAGTTGTCACGGCATAGTAACTAGTAACATACAGACCTGTTCATTGTATCCAATGCAGAAGCAAGAAATTTGGAGTCAAATTTACAAGAGAAGTTAAGTTCGTTAGCAATCTGTCTTCGTAAAATTTGAATTTGTCCAACACGAAGAATAACATCAACAAATGAATTGTTGTAATTCCTGTTGATTCTTTGAAGCACAGTTGGATACAGTTTAAGAGGATTCTCTGAAGAATATAAAATAGTCGATAGTAAATGCACAATGCAGCACGTTAATCCTGGCATTCAGTAATGTAGGAACCTAACAGTCTATTTAGACTAATTTAATTCAATTGGTAATAATGTTCAGTAAAAGCAGTTAATAACTGAGCCTAGATACTTGAATATATAACCATGCCTACTTGCCATTGATTTTGTAGAAATCAAATTTTATGTCAATTTTGATTTCTTTTATCTAAAGAGGCGTAGACCCTATTGCGGGTATGAAAAACGAGCGGTAACACACAATTCATTTCTTACCAACAAGGCCTCGAACAGGATTGACTGCTTTGGTGAGTCCACTCATCATTTCCATCATAGTTTTATCTCTACAAACATTCACATGCAGGAAACGAGTGAAATTCTGTAATTCCCGAACTATCTTGAAGCTGAATAATCTATCCAATCCACTTAAACCATATGTTCCAAGGCTGGCCTGGATTCTTAAAGAAAAAAAAAAAATGTTCCCACACATAAATGTATATGAAACTCGGATCCAAGCTTTCAGATGCGTATGTACTTACTATAAATATATCTGCAGGCAACTATATATTATTTTAATGATTATTTAATCCGAACATATCTATCACAAATATCTATCCAAATTTATACAGAACTCAATTTTGCAAATAAAATAAATCAAATGAATTTGTAATAAATTATATGGTTGAGTTTCAAAGTAAATACCTCGAAAACATTTTGTTATCGATGACATCTTGTTTGGTCTTCAGATCATACCAAGTGTTCAGAAGATCAACGTACGAAGTTACTCTGTGCAATTAAATCAAAAAATAGATATTTAGGCATCAGGAGTGTAAAAAAATGGTCTGTGATGACCCATCATTTTCTTGTTTTAGATGTTTTGTGAATGGGTAATGTGCACCACATCTGACGACTAGTGAGTACCTTAGGTAGTGACATGCATTAGTAAATAAATAAGAGTTTGGTTGTTTCTATTATGTGCAGTTACATCATGTTCTTGTATTGTGATAGAGCTAAAGGTTTAGCATAGTTTTCTGAAATTAGGGAACCAGTTGTTGGAGTTTGATGCAGTAGAGAACCTGTTCTTATAATTTTGAGTCCCTTCAATGTATATGCGTATATATTTAATTATATAATGAAAATATGAATACTGCAGAATTGAATACAGGTAGATAAGCACCAATTAAGCTTTCAAAACTAACTCACTGACTCTTGATTTGAAAAATTTCTAGGTTTAAATAGTATGAGATGCGAATTTATTAACTACTGTAACAAAAATGATTATTTGATATGAGATGTCCCGGCCATATCATGAGGAATGACTAACTACTTGAAATACACAATTAGCATCAAACTAATAAAATTAAAATGATATTAGAAATCAAAATCCAGATTGTAAATGACAATAACAAGTACAAGTTTCACTTACTTTGGATCAGTGATACGCAAAATTTCAACTGCCAAGCGTCCTACAAAATTCACCGATCCATCCACGGGTCTAAAGCGAGGAATCGGGATGTCTTTTGACTGGTATACGCTTTCATAATCATGAACCTGTGATTGAATATTATTTTTAATCATTTAATAAATATAAACAGAATTTGAAATGCAAATTTCAAATGATCGAAATTTTTTTGTCTTTGAATTTTCTAGTTTGGATATAGAAATGATTCATGTCTAATTTTTTATATACATACATACCGTAACTATTTTGCTGCAAAATACCGGTATATTTGTTTATGATCACGGTATATTTTCTAAAATCAGCATTAAAAAGGCCGTTTTTGTATACAATGCTTATTCACACCTTTCGCTCAGAACATGGCTCTATACTGGGGGTCTCAAACTTAATTTACCTAGGGGCCACTGGGGGCAGAGTCTGGGTGGGTTTGGGCCGCATCAGGTTTTCCACAATAAAAGCTTAGTTTAAAGAATTCAAATGTTCTCAATTTTTTTTATTTTTTTACAAACACAAAGTACGTTGAAAACATAAACGAACAAATTACGCCTAAATAAAAAAAATAACTGAAGATATTAGGAATTAATATTAAGTCATTGTGACGTTAAAAATCCGAGAACTTATTACTTATATTAAATGTATTAATCATTAATCATGCAAACTATGCTAAGTGACACACTAACATTAAACTTTCATACTAAGGCAATGCCAACACAGCTGTCTACTGCTTGAGCACTAGGCCCAACTAATTAAATATTGACGCCTTCAGTCTTCCCATTACACTAATAATATCATAAATATTCATGCAACAAGAATAAAGCATGTTAGAGAATTTGATAACTTGTTTTCAATAATGTAAACCGTTTGTTGCAGTAGATGATAATTGGTTAACAGAAAAACGACAAGCAAGCATAGGTAATGAATACAAAAGCATTGATTAAAATACCTTCTGCCTGAGGAAGCTGTTACATTCTTGTTCCACATTATAATTAATGATTCTCGAAACTTCCTCTTGCCAGATCTTTAACCCGTAAACATCAACATAATCCTGCATGATAAGAACTTTTAAGTGATTGCAATGAACAGGGCTATGTAAAGCAACTATGTAATATAAACGTAAAATGATTTTATTAAGACGAGTAACGAAGGATAGGATTCTCATATAAACTTGACAAGACTTGCTCAATTAAACCTGGGCCTCATGTCCAGTTACAATTCCATGTCGGGTATGTGGATAGTTAACAATTTATGACTGTGGTGGTTGATGAACCATAACTATCCAGCAGTTGTTATACAAACCCTCTATGATGGCGAAAAGGCCAGCAATCCTTTTGCACTTAATTATTCTCCTGCCAACTCACACAGAGTAATCAGAAAGATCAACATATTTTTAATGCTCAGCAAAATGCCCAAACCGCCAAGATCCATTACGAAAATCACAAATGGCCAAAAAGACAAGGAAAAACCAAAAAAATGGTAAACAAATTCTGGATGGTTAACAGTACAGAACAGGCATTACTGACCTGAATGTACTCGAATGATCTTTTGTAACCATCAATTGTTTTTTCAAGTTGAATCAGCCTCGGAAGGAGTTCACTAGGCTGAAAATAAATAAATAGTCAGATAAGAATCGTCAAAAGTTCAATAAAAACAATTTCCAAAAGTAAGAATCTTCATATCAAGCAAGAATAACCATATGCTTCGGTACAACAAAATTATTCTTTAAAATTTAAAGCAGATAATATAACAGCGCTCCAGAAGTATGTGTACCAATATGGAGGTAACTAATTTTGTTCGCCTACTTTACAACAAGTTGTATAAAGGGACTGAAGCCTATGAGCAGGGGGTATATTCACTTGGCTAACCCAAACAGTCCTCTAACTCGTAATAAAACTAAAATGAGGAAAATCGAGATAAAATTATGGCCTAACCCTAACCTGGTACACATACTACGTGATTACCCAATTAAGTTATATGACAAATTCAAGTTGCATAATAAATATGGGCATGCTCACAAAGGTAAAATTACCTAATCAATTAATATATTAATATTGTGAATTATAGAGTCTTAGTGAATGCAATATTAAGTCAATACAAGGTTACAGTGCAAATTGAGATGACTGTATCCGAACATGAAGTCTAGGGTACTCTTGAGGTATGTGAACCAAGATGGCGGACACCGTAACGTAGTATGTGTACCAGGTAAGGGTTAGGCCTAAATACCAGGTACAAATACTACAGGATTTTCTTGGCTAGTCCCTGAACTCCTAAAATAAGGAAAATTTGAATAAAATTATGCCCTAACCCTAACATTAGAGCTCGACCGATATATCGGCCAACCGATATATCGGGCCGATATTGCGTGTTTGCCGATATATCATATCGGCCCAACCGGCCGATATATCTTGCCGATATATATCAGCGCTAGTCGCTTTTCCACGTCCTAAAAAATGAGTATTTTTCTCCGGGAAATATCTGCGGCCGAGCGTTTTCGTTTTTTCGCTTCTCTCATTTTGCCTTTCAATGAACAGAGAGTTCTCTTCTATATTTCTCTTTCTCTTTTATCTCTTCGTGCGGCGCAAAATCCTCGCCTTCGAATATCTTGCGTCCCCACTAGGCTTGCACGTAATCGACAAAAATCAATTCCGTAATTACGGCAAAATCGATTACGTAATGACCCCGTAATTGAGATATTTTTCACACGTTTAAAACTATCATAAAAACCATTTGAATCCACTTCTTTTCCGAATGGGACATCGAAGTTTGGTTTTCATATTACCGACAGTACTACACGCCGGCGACAGATGTTAAAGACAAATACCAAGGAGTGAATTCAAATTAAATTTATTCTGATTTTTATCTTATTTTTTTGTGTTTGCTTTGATTTTCCTTTATCACCTTCGCAAATTAACCGTCCCAATTTTATGCGATCAATTTTATCATTACCGTATTTATCGACACTGGTATACGGATATATATGAAACGATAGTTGCCTTTTCAATCGACTTTCGTATTGAATAAAAATTTCGGGTTTCTAAGATATTAATAAACGACAAGCGTATTCTCTCATTTGATTATACCTGCGCCTGCCTCGCGACGAAGACTTGTTATTGCTCCGTTTTTTACATTATCCGACTTTGCTACCTAGTTAGCATTTTCAAATAATTATTGATGCTGAATTATTGACGATATTCCGATTACCAAGCTTCATTTTATATCAAATCATTTCGCGGCCTAAATGTTATAACATTATTTGCGATAAATTTAGATCAAATATTAATTAGTTAGCCAGCGATAAATTCTTACCCGTAACTTGTTGTAAATTAATGCTAATAAATTCTATTTTGTTTTTTAATGCGCTGTGATTTGTATTAATAAAAGTGATTGAGTCGGGAAAAGAAAGTAGCCTAGCCTTCTCTCCTTTTGAGCGCTTATAGCGGCGGTAAAATTCGTCTCATGTCTGTTTCACGGAGAGAAAGAAAAATACGCCTTCCGGAATCACAATCAACTATCACACATTCTTATTTATCATTATCAGCGCCAAATAAAAAAGATACCAAATCGTGAAGACAAAAAAGTCTGTCGGTGTTAATTGCGCTACGGTGATAACGCTTATAATAATATCGTTTTGACCGTGAAATCAAACGCTCAAACGGGGTGGCAACGCGTCATGCCGGCTTAAAACGGCTGCGAATACCGGAACTCTAATTTCTTCTACTTGTTAAACTTTCATTTTTTACAATCGACGGAATTGACTGCTTGTAAGGAGCACGTTTCAAACGCGAAAGCGCTCGACCAATAATTACGACTTTAAGTAATTTGTAACTTCCCTCCCGTAACTCGAAATAATTCCCTAAATCCGTAAATTACGTGCAAGCCTACTCCCACCTACTACTGTATGGATCAAAACGGACTTCTATAAGCTTTTTACTGACTGCCTTTTTTCTGTTGTGCATTAATGTGTGTTCTTATTTGCTGTGAAACTTTTATTAATGATGCAAGCACTGTGTAGGACTGCTTTATTTTTCAACATAAACTTTTAATTGACTGAAACGGAATGTTTCTTTCTATTTGTATTTACTGCGGGTTCAGGTTGTAGATATCGGTATGTCGATATCGGTTATCGGTCACCAGTTGGCCGATATATCGTTATCGGTATCGGTGCCAAAAAGTGATATCGGTCGAGCTCTACCTAACATGGTACACATTCTACATTCCGGTGTCCGCCATCTTGGTTCACATACTTCAGGAGTACCCAGTCTACAATCAATTCCCAACTTACCCCTTTAGTTTTAGGATTGAATATCAGGGACTGATGCATGGCATATGCGACTTTCTGAACAAGTTCTTTACGTATTCCATCTTCTAGCAACTGTTTAGGATCAAGTTTTATAACACCAACTAATGTTGTTTTCATCTGCAGAACACCCTCAGTGAAAACTGATATTCCATGAGTTAGCTTGGCGACCTGAAAATTTTTTTAATTGTCTAATAAGTCATAAATTTTATTATATCAATTTAGAATCATATGCAGTAATTTATATCCTAGTGTTCTAGATTTTTTGTTTACAAATATGCAGTTTCCCACCTGGAGAGTAATTTTGTTGTTTTGTTTCACAGTGAAAACATAAAAATATTAGTTTGTATTTAGTGTAGTTTTACTAATATTATTTAGTTATTTCTTCAGTGCCATTGCAATACAAATTTATAAACACAATATAAACTAATCAAATTGGGCTAAATCTAGAATGTGAGTTGAGCATATCTATAGCTGGAAATCTTTTGAATATTGAACTAATAACGGTTAAGAGTTTTCAAGCCTATTGAAAAACGAATTAAGAGATCTGAAATTATTTCATAAAAAGTTCATAATAAGTCAGCAACAGCACATTTTATTAATGGCACTCCAGAAGTGTTTGTACCAATATGGAGGTAACTAATTTTGTTCGGCTACTTTATATCAAGTTATGTAAAAGGACGGAAGCCTATGGGCAGGGGGTAGATTAACTTGGATAACACAGACAGTCCCGGGACTCGTAACAGAACTAAAATAAGAAAAATAGGGATGAAATCATGGCCTAACATTAGCCTGGTACACACACTACGGGAGTACCTTACTAATCATTATTCGTATTGAAAAATCTTTAATAGTGTTTAAGTGAATGATGAACAAGAAGATAGAAAAGTAGAAGTACAGGAATATCAATTTCAAAATCAAGAATTCAAACCTCATATCTGGCTTCTAGTTGGGCATATTCTCTCATTTTATCTTTCTCCAGTCTTGTTGGTAACTCACGAATTTGTTCAGTTTGAATTTTGATTATGTTTGCCAACAAACTGAACATGGTCCGAGGAATAACTTGAAGTACCTAAGAGTAAAAGCAAATCAAAAAGCAGGTATAACTAACCTATAGAAAGATAGATTGAGGAACAAGGGATTGTTCTGCTTTCTGCAATTGCTTTACAATATGTCATCCAAAAATAGACAAACAATGATACGCTTTTGCCAAGTAATAAATTACTATAATTTATGTCACTGTTACACGGCATATCAAAAAACTATGAAAACCATAGACTTATTTTAAATCTGATCATTGGCTCTTAATACAAGTTATCGAATACAAAATGTTACGACCCTCCAGAAGCTTGCTATGTGTACCAATATGGAGGTAACTAATTTTGTTCGCCTACTTTATTCCAAGTTGTGTAGAAGGACGGAAACCTTTGGGCAGGGGGTATATTCACTTGGCTAACACAAACAGTATTTGAACTCATGATAGAACTAAAATAATGATAAATCTGAATAAAAGTATGGCCCAACCCTGACCAGGTACACATACTAAGGCCAGGGAGTACCTAAGTTAGTTGGCTGGAAAAATCCTAGTCTGAACAATTTATATCCAGTTAAGGAGAGCAGCATCCTAAGTAGGCATTAGTTCACTATGAGGATAGGAGAGGATTTCGCATATTCATCAGAGATAGAAATAGTTCGATAAACCTTGATATAGATTCGAGTCGGGTATGAAAATAGATAACCAATGATTCATTACAGATGCAAGAACCTGTCAGCTGTAAAATATTTATCGTTAAACCACTAGAAAACAATTTACCTTTCTCACATAAGCCACAAGTTCACCAGAATAATACTGAGATACACTGATCATATCTCGACTGTTTGACTGATTAATCCTTAACAAAGGAAGTTCAAGAGCAGATGCAAGTTTGAGGAATGTTGCTCGTAATTTGATAACGAGAGATGGATTCTGTTTTATTCCTTCTTGCATATGAGCAGTGTAGCTAGAACAAAACGATGGAAAATACCTTTGAGTCAAATTCAGCATATGCAAAACATATTAAATTAGTATAAAAGACGAGAAAAAATGGGAATTTGGTACATATCAGGATTTAGCTTTTTGGGTTTGTATCAAATCAATCAACTTCGGAATTTTTTTTCAAAATCAACCAAAACAAGTATTCAAAATTGTATGTATTCTAAATATAGGAGTAATCAGACACCAGCACTTCCAATATATTTCACATATTTTAGCAAACTTACTTTTCATCTAGAATCATCCATGCATACGACAAGTCCGCAATTATTTCTATGGTGATCAAAACTTCTTCTTTGATATTGATGGTTCTTATCATTTGGTGCAGGAATGATCTAGTATCAGCTAAGAATTGTTTGACCTAGAATAAAAAAGAATGTTACAATGACATATATACTTACTGACCAAAGCAATTGGATAAACAATTACCGGTACATAGATGGTCATTGATTGAATTTATTTTTTTGTATGAACACCAGAAATGCAGTGGTACAATGATGGACTTGAATATCAATTGCAGATTAAAGATACTCGATTCAAACCACACACACACCCATGTTGTCATAAATTGGGTAAAGTCTGCTTCTTTCGAAAATAGTTGCGCCTTACATACCAGCTGATAATACAGTATCTCGCTAGGAATAAAGAAATGAAAAAATCATTTATAAACACAAGTTTTAAACTATTGAATGGAAGCATTTCAAAGATCTGTGCTAAACATCAGTGACTGGCATTTATTGTATCAAACAGTTTGTTTGAAGTTTCATAAAATAATTATTTAGGCATCTGCAATTGCCAATTGCAATTTGAAAAATAATCTTATTAACCATTTGTAGCATAGATACATTTACAATTCTCATCCATATGTATGCACACTGTGAAGTGCACGATTCTAAAATCCAATTTCACCTGCATATTTGTTTCAAGTTGATGGAACTCTTGAACTTCTTCTAATGCTTGCATCAATTGAACAATTTTTCGACCTGCTGATGTGGACGATGCATATTCCAACGATTGAATCTGTTTTGACATTTGTTCAAACCAAGCTTTCAGATGATCTGTAAAAAATATGAACTTATCTGTCACAAAAATCTGGAACCTTTTTGATCGTAATGTATTATTCATTTGTATATGATTACAATGATCGGTACTCCTGTAGTATGTGAACCAAGATTGCGGACACTGGAATGTAGTATGTGTAACAGGTTAGTGTTAGGCCATAATTTTATTCCAATTTTCCATATTTTATTTCTATTATGAGTGTGGGGCCTAGCCAGTGTCTCTCGCAATATTTGTACCTGAAATTATGGCCTCACCCTAACCTGGCACACATACTACGTTCTGGTGTCTGCCATCTTGGTTAACATACTACGGGAGCAGGGGCACCCAATGATCAAATGTAGTGTTGGCCATAAATCTAATAATTTGATTTTCCGAATATTTTCTGAATAAAATATTTTGGATGTGAAGTTTTGAATATATATTCTAAACTGGTTAAAAGCTAACATAGGTTATTTATATTCATAGACATTATTTCTTAGAACAAGTTTAACAGTTAACACGAACTGTTTTGATTATTTTTCCCACTAATTGAGAGTTAAGAAAATATGAAAGGGTTTGAATGAAATTCTTTGTAAACTGATAATCTTACCATATTACTAATTTTGATTTTATTAACTATGAACTAAAATAAGTTTTGAAAAATTGAAATAGTCATTTAATCTGCGAAAGACATCAAGCTTATGAGTATAACCAAAATATAAGTAGCAATTCATATCGAAAAATAAAAAATAAAATATTTGAAATATTTAAATATAAAAATCTGCTGAAATCCGTTTACTTTTGCAAAATATGATGAAGTTCTGCTATATTTTGAAAAATGCATTATTGATGAGAATTATCACAACATTATGAATATTTATATAATGCAGTCTAATGTCATTGAAATTTACTGCAACCTTTAATTTGATACTCTCATAAGGTGGCGAGGTTCAAGACAAAAAGGTGAATGTTGATAAAATTATGTAGAAATAAATTCTGTTCAAGCCGATTTTGAAGCAATGTTAGAATCAATATTTGCCAAAGTACCGTATTTGAATAAAAAGAGGCATTCAGAAATCATAAATATATATTTTTACTCATTTTCTCAAAATAGTTCTTTCAAGTTTCACCTTTTTGGTTTAAAGCCGTCAATATGTTAATGTTAGTTTCTTTAACTAAATACACTCAACTTACTATTGCAAAGCCTAAAGTTAGGTTTCAAATTCAATTGTTACATCAGTTTGAGCAAATGTTAGTTTCAACTAGTCTATTTAAATAAAATATACATGGAATGTACCATTCTTTGCCACTCTTGTTAGTGGTTTAGTTCCGGAGAAAACTTCAGCTAATTCATTCATTCTTTCCACTCCTTCTTTCTTGTATTTCTCCCATTTCCCTTCCTTCTCCTTCAACATTTTCTTGAACATCTGAAAAAAGTCAGAAAAATATGGGGGTAAAACAAGATTTTCTTGTTACCAAAGATTCTGTTAATAGCAGGTTGACTCTAACATGACTTTAAGTGATTCTTGAAAGAAATTGACTTTGACGGTCTTCATTTGAAATAATTACTTCCAGCTTAGCACAGAACTAGTTTTAAAAAACAGACAAAATTAATTATATTTCATGCATTGCATCAAGCACTGTACTGTGAATTAAATTTAAACTTTTATAAAACTCATAACCATATTACGCCCACTACTAACATAGCAACAGATAAATAAAAAAAAGCATTGAATTTAACTGTGTTAACATTGCAGATTACACATTTTGGGTTCAAATCCCATACCCCCACCCCACCCAGGGTGTAAGGAATTGGGTAAGCAATTTTGAACCAGGAGCGATTCTAGTTCTTCCAAAAATAAAAGCTCCTTGCATATCATTAGATATCAGTGGACCTTGTTTACAGTGAACGGTGTGGAAAAAGTGTTTTATACAATAAAAATCAAACATACATCAGTCATTTTCAGTTCAAGCTGAGCAGTGCTGAGCATAAGTTGAAAGATATGTCCAGCTTTAATGCCAGATGAGTTGATGACAATGTCACGAGTTTGTTTGCATTTCTTTATATGATCCAGACCTGTGAATAGAATTATTTTTTACATTTGCTATTATTAAATCTAAAACGAATCATTAGTAAAATCACTAACAACATACGAGTGTTAACAGTATGCAGCATCAACCATCGCAAATTCACATTGCATTCTCTCATACAGTTCATGATTTTGGGAATGTTGTCCAGCACGTAATCTTCAGTTAAGACTCCTTCTTTCAAAAAATGATCAATCTGTGGCATGAGTTGTTTCAATCTTGTCGCATGTTTTGCACCCTGAAAAAAATTATGTATTTTTATACTTCTTTCTTTGAAGTGAGGCTAATTTATTAATTCTAGTGAAATTATTTGAAAATAACCATTAATTAGGGATGTATGGTCCCAAAATAATTTCTAGCATTATTTTTCTGGCAATATTATTATATATACACAGAATTCAAGGTCCCACAACCCTGAGTCAAGTCTCAGATCTTCTGAGTTTTGGGTCAAGTATGATGAGTCCCATCAAATTAAGCAGTATTAAATGCACCAATTTTTTTTCCCTTTTTTAAAGACTAGCCAAAAGTTTTTTTAAATCCTAATTCTGGAGATAGACGAGTTCGAGCCGTTTCACTGAAATGTCTTGGGTGACAGAAGTTTTCGAAAAAAATGACTAGATCCAAGTTCTTTTTAAATCCTAATTTCTGGAGATAGACGAGTTCGAGCCGTTCCACTGAAATGTCTTGAGTGACAAAAGTTTTCGAAAAAGATGACTAGGTCCAAGTTGAGTCGAGTCAATGATTCAACACTGATTCCAGGAATAGAAAAAACATTTGTTGTCAACATATTCTATTTGAGGTGTTCCTTGAATTCAGAATTTAGTTATGTTTTTCTTATTATATCTTTTTTCTTTTTAAGGAAAATCATAATGAAATATTTAAATTTAGTTCTTGCCGACTTTCTGCAAAGTATTTTCATTAAGAATATCCTTTAAATATGATTTAAATCATAATTTTAAAATTTCACTAAATAACAAGTTACTTGAAGAAAAGCTTTTTTTTAAAGAAAAGATATTTATTTTGTTTGCAACCCAAAGTTTGAGAGGCAGTTAGACACGATGGCTAGCTATAACTATTCAACTAATTACCATATTTTTAATAAAACAAATTAACACACCAAATACAAGAGTATTAGAAAAACAACAGTTGAATATCATCAATATACATTTTCAATTTCCCTCAAATAGCAGACATTGTCAACGAGGCTAATTAAAATGTAATGATCTTCCTAAATCCCTTCATAACACTTGGTAAGAGTGACAGAAATGACACCAACAGTTCCTACTTAAAAATTAAATATTAATTTTGAAGGATTGAAAAATTTTCCCTTAAGAAAAAAAGAGATTCGTTGGGTTTTAAACCTTTTGTTTTCCTTAATTAATATTATATTAGCGAAATGCGTCAAGAAAATGAGGATTGAAAGTAATTAGAGTTTTGTCTCATTTTGTCATAGTATGGGTCATAGATGAGATGTGCATTTTAACAATAGCAAATGCTTGGTATCACATGTATACACAGCTGAGGAATTTATTGTGAGTTCTGTAAGAGCAAAAAAAAGTATAAGTTTCATTAGTATGAAAAAGGTTTTTGGATGAACTCAGTTCTTAGAAGCGCACTCAAGTTTGATGACACATCAAACATTGTTGGATGTTGCTGAAAGGTTGACATTAATTTTCCAATGCTTTGGATAGTTGATATTTTATGGTGTCGATATATTGTAACTTTATATTAATATGTAGCCAAATTTTATGCGTAGGAGAGAAGTAATGTAGTATTGTGTGTCAATGTAGGTTAGACAAAAATATATGTATTGAAGTTAGAAATGTTGGTACGATTAGGTAGATCAATTTGAAAAGTTTGGACAGGTAATAAGGACCTAATTTGTAGGCAATCTGAGGTAAATTTTATATTTTATTTAGTCTAAAAACTGATTATACTAAAGGGTGGTCATTTGAAGATGGAAAAATAATTGAGCTCCATCTTTCAGGTTTAGATTTGTCTCAAGAGCTGACACGACTAGTTGCAAGTGCAATATAATAATGTTACCTTTAGATAATAATTTCCATATTCAAATTTTAAATCTCAATTTAAGTTACACTTGAAATTCAACAGAATCAGGTGAGAGGAAATAGAATTTAATTTTTGCAAAGTCTACATAAGCAATCTGACCACGGTCAGACAACGTATAACAGAAATACATTTGTGTTGTTTTAAAGCAAGACTCTTGGATGAAATAGAATATAGTCATCTTTATTCATGCTACAGCATCCTTGCATTATACGGATTCACTAGCACAAGGCATAGAACAAGGAAAAGGTAGATAGCCTCTCAGGTAACCCCAACTGATAGTTACAAATACATTAGTTACTTCTGTTGCCTAAGTACACTGTGTAGAGTCAAGTTAATTTTGAATCGTCGTGCTAGGGTCTAGGGATCAATATGAATGTGAATATTAGTCTTAACTTTGTTATTGGGAATATGAAGGGAGAGATTTGGTCCAATTCCAATTCAACTTCATCTAACTAAATCATTATTAGAAGTCCAAAAGTTAAGACATGTGTGATTTTTATGGCACATTAAATAACGGAAGTCTCATAATTATGATGTGAAAGCTATTTATTCCAAAGAGAAAAGCTTTAGGGGGATTCTGGAGATAAAAAGACATTTTTATAAATTATTAATAATATGTATGCTAAAAATCATACAATATAAAACCTTGTCACTAGTGGAAAAAATCAGAATGCCAGATATAGACATAGATTGAGTCCAGGAATGTAGTTTGATAGTATAATGATAATAAAAATCCTAATGTCTACTAAAAATGGACTAAAATAAGGTGACTCAAAAAACAGTACCCAGGTCAATCGGAACATATCCCGGGGAATAAAACTTGACAAAGCATCCTAGATTAATGAAATTTTGAGATAATCATACACAAACAGAAGTTCAAGTGTTAAATAAATTTTATTCAATTTAACAGAAGTAGGTAATCATTAAATTGTGGATTCTTTTTTTTTTTTCTGGACACTTTGTACATAATTACTGAATAAGTGAGTGAGGATAAGTTTAAAGTTTTTTCAATAGCGTTCACAAAATACTATTCCATTGTGATTATCAAATAAGTGAAGTGACAATAGAACCATGTTAGGCAAAGTCGACGAATCTCTAAAATCAATGTGTCAAGAAATTTGGAGGCCATTTTATGGATGGATTGAAAATTTCTTCAAAAAGGTGGCGGGTGGAGTATTTCATAGCTTTTATGATCATGGAATGGAATGGTTATACTTCTTTTCTTCATTATGCACCATCATTAATCTGCCTCTTGATATATACATCTCATACTTGTACTTTTATCGGAAATTTAATTTTTTCTATCCACAAGGTAAGTGATGTACCTACCGTAAGTTGAAATACAAATAATTTTTGGTACTCATGTAATACGTGAACCAAGATGGCGGACACCGAAACAGGGTTACCGTTAGGGTTAGGGCATAATTTCAGGTACAAATACTACTTTTTATTGAATCAATATGCAAGCTGAAAGATTTTATGGCATTAAAAACCATATTTGATTCAATGACAATCTTTTTGAAACATCTACCTGTACTTTATGAGCAGTATTTGAATATCATATCAAACAATAAGATTAGGCCTGACATGTGCATACTACATCCCACGGGCCAAATCCAACCCGCTGGCTAATTCAATCTGGCACGCCCGATGCTGCCACGACCGAACTAAAAGCAAATTTTAATGTTTTAGCTAAAAAATAGCTAAATGAATTTACAAATATTAAGATTGATCCACCATTGCTTTTGCAACACTGTAAATATTGTTCATAAAATGTAATTTTTTACGCCACATTTGGCCCGCCAGTCTAGATGGGTAAAATTATTTGGCCCCTGGTACAAAAACTTCGCCCACCTATGGTAACAGACCAATATACCATTTTTAAGCAACGCTTATCCTTTCTCTCCTAACAAGACCCTATACATCATCCATTGATATTTAACGATATGATATGGAGTTACTATTATTAGAAAGGATCGGAATCTTTCTGTTTTGGCATTATATAACGGCCTAATCGGAACCTGGTACACATACTACGTTCCGATGTGTCTGTCATCTTGGTTGACATGCTTCGGCGTACAGTTTAGTCTAATGCTTTGTTTTTTAATTTAACACATTGTAGCAGAAATTTCTACAACATTTCATGCCTTTACTCTGAACAAGGCTCTGTATAAGCAGCACCTCATAAGATATTACACTAATATTTAATGAACCATGTTTATGAACCACGACTAAAAGTGCCCGGTTTAAATCTGAGCTGAAACAAAACGTGGTTGAGATTTGCTTCAGTTCAAATAGCAGCATTAGATGTTAAACTTGCTTTTTACAGAACTGAACATTGAATTAAGTTTTGCTGGAATGACATTTGCATCGAGTGTCTTTACTGTCTTTTTCATGTGGACAACAGGAAAAAGTGAGTTTAAATATGAAACTTATTTTATAAATTGAAAATGAAGGTACACAATGCCTCAAATACAAATAAGTGTATGATACATCAAGATGGCGATGACTGAACCAATGAAATCCAATCAGAATCATTTCTCAATGGTAGTCATTTTTATATACCAATAAAAAAAACTGAATGAAAAGTGCTGAACTTGATAAACGCCAAAAATAATGTGACATCACAATAGTTTTTTTTAATTGAACCAAGTTTTATTGGTTTATGGGTGCTCCAGAAGTATGTGTACCAATATGGGGATAACTAATTTTGTTAGCCTAATTCCCATCGAGTTGTGTACAAGGACTGATTATTATGAGTAGGGGGTGTATTCACGTGGCTAACACAAACAGTCCCCAAACCTTTAAAAGAACTAAAATAAGGAAAATTGTAACAAGTTATGGCCTAATCCTAACCTGGTACACATACTACGGGAGTACCGGTTTATGCTCATGTAAAAAGTTACAACCATATTCTTGACCTATTTTTAGCACTACTGATTATCACAGAAAAAGAAATTGCATGTAGAGCTGAATTTGGGAATGTAAAAAGCAACCAAGTATCTCCGCAAGATTCATATTATGATCATGTTCAGGATACAGAGGATGGCGAAAGTTCAACAACAGTAAGTAGAAGCGTCCGATTCTAATTATTTAAATTTACTTTTGAAATTACAGTGATTTATTCAGTTTATAGTGTTATTGTATTGCAGGGGTCACAAAACTAGGGCCCGCGGGCCAGATCCGACCCTTTGTGTCACTCCATCTGGCCTGCAATACCACAAAGAAATTGCGAAATCTTGTATATTTGTTTTGCTGCAATGTACTTGACCTATATTCTGCGATGAAGAATTTAATATTCAAAACTTTTTCAGAAATGTAAAATTTATATTGTTGAATAAATTGAATGGATTTCCCAACTTTTGTGAATTTATTGTATTGCATTAGTATAGTAGTATAACAAGTATACCGTAAGTATATTTTGCATTGACAAAAATAATTTTCCAGCCCGTTTTCAACACAGTTTGACTCATACCTGACCCCCTGTCCATAAAGTTTGGTGACCACCGTTGTAATGGGTTGGTAATGAATAATTGAGTACATCAATTTTTAATAATGAGCAACGTTATGAGGTTGGCCATTGCATTCAGAAAATGAGGAACTAAGGCAAAATAGCAAATGCTTGAAATTTCATATGAAGACATTGACTTTCTTTTAAGCTGGCATTGAACCACACAGAAATGTAGAAATCAAAGAAATAATTTCACTCATTTTCTCCAAGCAGCATCTTAATAAAGATTCGTTTTTACGGTTAAGGCCCTCAAATTATAACTTCCCTGTAGAAATACGGGCGACCCACACACGATCATGTATGTGACAATTGCTACAGAGAGGTGCTTTTCTGGAAAATTTAAATAACATCAAGTTGTAAAATTTCTCTTAAGATATATTACAACACTATTGCATTCATTTCATACAAAACTGCATTATTACGTGACATTAGAAAATTCTTACAAAATTTATCCTTTAGCTTTAATTTAAGAAAAGCTTGTTACATTTTTGCAGGACAAAGGAACTGAAAAATCAGATGAATCCTCAACAAAATTTAAATCCAATTGCAAATCGACACATTGGCATGTGTTTCCATGTTTCAAGATGTTTATTGAATGCATGTTCATGATTTCTGTTGGTCCAGCACAGTTGTATCTCATCTATTCTTACGTGGTGCAATGTTCAGCAATTGTCGAGCCAGGAATAACAGCAAAGCTTATTATCGCAGGTAATCCCAACAGAAATTCCAGAATCATGTACAATTCAATGTTTGTCAAACCATAATAGTTTAATAGAGTCAAGAAGATGGACTTTTTCGCAAGGATGACAAAAACCAAATAATATACAATATGAAGTAATATTTTTGAGTATGAACTCACAATTGGGTTGAGTTTAACGAATAACGATTAAAAGTCAAGATGAAACATGATTTCATTCCTTCTCCATTATTTACAGTTTCAGAAATTAGATGCAGTTATTCTTGTGTTCAAAATGATAGTTTTTAAATGAAAATATTCAAAATTATTCCTCAATAAAAATATGCAACTGGTTTAAATATTCAACTTGGTTCAAAGATCACTGGATGGTAGTCATACAGTCATCCCTAAGATGATACCATCAAATTATTTCTTGGATTGCATTTGTAACCACACGTCCACACCAGTCCTATTTTTTAGGAACTAAAATACTCTGAAATATGATATTTAATTGTTTTTATGTTTCATTTATAAAATATTTTTAAAATCGAATTTAAAATGGCTCAAAAGACATGAGCGTTCCTATGTTTATATTTTACAAGTTGGATTCGATATCAAGCTTAGTTGTGGCCTGATGAAGACTTAGCTTCATCAGTGCATTTGCCATGATAATCATCAGCTATCTGAAGATTTGAAAATAATAATGGGACATCATGGTGCCCAGTTCAATAGAGACACCAAATTTATTCTGAACACGACATCAATGCTCATTCAAAGTCATAGCTGATATCACTTGACATCAGCAAATTAACATTCTTTGATCCTTTATTATAAATATCTAGGTCCTAGGATGTGATATTCAATAATACTTTTGACAAATTAAAAAGATTAAACTTGAGAATTTTTCAATTCGAAAGAAGACCGAAACAAATTCATTACTTTCAGACAGGTTCCAAAAACTGATGGCCATGAGTGCGAACCCTAGAGCATAAACGGCCATACTCATATACAATCCCATATATATTATTTTAGGCATCTTCCTACCTATTCTGCTAACTGTCATCTCGTGGAAAGCGATTTATATAACACTAAGCAAACCATGGTCAACTCATTGTATCAAACCACTGCTGGTTTTGTTATCTTTGACGACAATAATTGCAGGAGCTGGATCAGTCTGGTTTGCAGCATTTTCATTCAATGCTATGCATTGTGTAACTAAGATAACGCCAGCTGTTGGATTGGAATATAAACAGGTAATAATGACAATACTGAATGTACCAATACTCCCTTTTTCCTGAAATTTACTCTGAAATTCATGTCAATTTAATTATTCTTGATCATTCTATTATTGCAAGAATACAAGGGACTAATATTCTAACCACCAATTTATATTTTATTGTAAACATACATTATATAACATACAGAAGCTAGGAGATAGAATGAAAGATAGTTATGAGCATTAGATTAGAAACAACCAAACAAGATATAATGATTGGTTCCCAACCTTACCAGCAGACCGGTAAAATAAAATAAAATGACTTCACAAACCGGATACAATATATTGATATAAATGGAACAAAAAGTAATAACTGTCTGTGTAGTACAGCACCCTTCATATTTTTGATTTAAGAGACATTCATTTTGTTGTCTAAATATGATAATACTCGTTGTTCACTTTTATGGGCGGGCGATCTGGACTAAAACACCAGGTAAAGATTTTTAGACTTTAGAAACTTATGAGAATTAACAAAATGACTGACTACTCAACGTCGGTCATAACATCGTCAGCAATCAATATCATACTTGTAAAAGTATGATTTTTCGGTAACCAAGCAGTAACGCCGGCAGAAGTAATTTCTCGGGACCGCCTGAAAAACCATCAGAACAGCAGTTGGGAACCACAGATTCACCACATATTTCAATCCAAATTTCAACATAACATTCGCTAAAAATGAACTCCCTCCCTACCATTTTTTTTTATACAGAATGACACAACGACTCCCGCAATACTGTTACATACACGAAGCAATTCATATTATGTAGTTGGGGTCAAGAATATATTAACACAAGTTGACTTAAGCCTCGACGTTCACTTTGAATGTTCAAAAAAACATGCAAAAATGGGATTAAAATGTGAAGAAATAAGTTTCACTTTTCAATACCATCCTGAAAACTATTCCATCACATACGAGTATACAAAGAGAGATGAAGATGGCAGAGTTTCTACAAATGAATTACCGGGACGACTCGGCTGGGCATGTAATTTATGCCATTTAGGTGAAGTGCTGAGAAGGAATGATCAAGGAACAGTGGAAAAGCCACCAAAGAGTTCTAAAGACAGCAACATTGGGCTACCACACTGTGCCACAATACCCCAATGGCTTTACTACTTCCTAACTGGTTACACATTTTTAATCATCATCATATTCTTGCTTATCATTACACAAGCTGTGATGGTAAAACACAAAGAAGAACACAGACAAGTCAGAAGACTTTCTTCCAAAATTGCGGATCTTTCAGATTTTCCTCTACCTCAATCGTTTGTGACGCCAGCAACTTCAGGGAATAGTTACAGGAAGAAAGAAGTAACTCCCTTGCCAGGTTTGAAGCGAATGGTGAAAACAAAACTACACGGTTCTCACTTGAAAGAAATAGAAAGAGCGGCAACGAGGCAGGAGAAAAAAGCAAAAGTAACGTACAGCCATTTGACTAGACTCAGCACGCCAAACAATGTACCTGCTGCCATTCCCAGAACACCTAGGATAATCAGGGTACCAAAGGGCACTGCCATGAACCTTGTAAGAAGAGAGACAAAATGAGCAAAGAAGGAAGAGCAGAACTATTCTTTATGCAAAAAACTTTTCTTTGAGCCAAAATATAGTTTTGTAGTTGCAAAATAACTGAATAAGACATTTATACTCAGTTGTTTTGGTTTTTTTCAATATCTTTTGTGATATCACATTATCAATGACAATTTGCATTGAATTCATGAATGTGATTTAATGACTAGAGATTATCAGAACAATAATGAAAACAATTTTTACAAATGAAAATACGAGTATTTCCTATATTCTGAACAGTAATGTGATTGTATCAAAACAAAGATCTCCATGATCTACCGGTATGTTATTTAAATTAAATGCATCGAAAATTTATAGAACACAATTGCGTGAACCGTGTAAGAGGATTGAAGTTTACAATAAATTTCATAAAATGAAATAAACGATAAATAACATATTTCACAGACAGCAAGACATTCAACAGAGAAGTGACTTCTTAGTTCTTAATTCCCTCATAAAACTATTCATGTTTGTTTAAAAAGTATGTCTATACCTAAAAATGGAAATACTTTCAAATTGGACAATAATTGTCCATGATATTCATGGCTTTTTTGAGATCAGTTGATACATATCGAAAAGATTACCTGATTTACATGGCCTCTTGTTCCAAAACAAGGAAAAGAGATATTGAGTAAAATTCAATGTCTACTTTTTTCTGATTTTTTAATATGGCACACTTTTATGTCTTACACTCCAAACAAGCCTCCATACAAATATCTCTCTAGGCAAGAAGCTACTATAGTTTGGAAGGGCCGAAACCTAGCCAGCTTGACATTGCCCACATAATTTATTACCCCCTGGTGAGGTGAGGCTGGTGGTCATGGCCAGCCAGCGATGCCAACATAGGTAGCCGCTCGCCTACAAAATGAATCAATTATTTATAATAATTTTTTAATAATCCCATCTAATACCCTTTTATAAATATGTTCTGCCATTTTTTACTCAAAAGATCCTGTGAAAATATCCCTGACATCCGTACTTATCATTCCAATTTTGTATGCTGTGTGATTACCAGATACAGACATTTTCAAATATAGCAATTAATCCAATGAATTGAAAAATCATGATTATAATTCAAGAATCATAGAAAATGAGCATTAATAATTAAGAAACCGCTTACCTGGTCTTTGATATTGCCTTGATCCAATGTATTCTGCAATGCTGTTTTAGCGGCTTTATATGGTTCCCAAGCTTCTATCAGGTTCACAATGATGCCCATGTATACACTAATCACCTGTAAAATGCCTCCATATAAACACATTGACCTAAACTTTTCAAAGAATTGAAATCAAACAAACTAAGAATTTGGATGTTTAAATTTGATGTTTTATTGCTTTAGTTTACTTCTAACCATGGTGAAATTACAATTATGTTGAAATTTAAAATGAATTTGATAACTTTTCATTAAAAATCAGATATCAGAATCATTCAGATAATAATATGCCGGTACCTAAATGTTATGAAGACAAATCTTTCCCAGGATTAAATTGTGAAAAACTTTACCTGTTGCTGTATCGCACAAGAATTATATGTATATCCAAAAACCTAAACTGAAAAAGCACTGAAAACTCCATATTCTATTTACCCAATTATCAGGAAAATATTTGTCGACAATTTCTCTCATCTTTGCTTGTTGAGAATGTAGGATATCAGGAGTGAAATATAAAGCCACATACAGCATTGATGCTTGGGTTGCAAGTGCTGTACTTCTATGTTCTGGAAGAGGATATGCTGCAATCTGTAATAAAATGTATACTCGTCTGATATGAGTGATATATTGGATATATCTCTTACAATATAACACAATCATATAAAAATAGGGCAAAAAAATGGGCTCTCCCGTAGTATGTGAACCGAGATAGCAGACACCGGAACATGGTATGTAAACCAGGTTAGGGTAAAGACATAATTTTATTCCATTTTTCCTGATTTTAGATCTATTACGAGTTTGGGGACTAGCCAAGTGACTCCCTTAGTATTTGTAGCTAAAATTAGGGCCTAACCCTAACATGGTACACATACTACAGGAGTACCAAAAAATGTAATCAATTGATATTTAAAATTCAAAATTCTCAGAAAAATTGTTTTATAAGAATGGCAAATGTTATTGAGTTGGGAGATATTAAACTAATTCTTAATTATATTATAAATAATAATATTATTAATAATCTCGGTTGACATCCATGGTATGTGGAAATGAGATTTAGCATTGAATATGAACAAAAAAATGAAGTGTAATTCTTGCAAAGGTATTGTTTGAGTTGAGAATTTCAGACAAGAAATATAAAGCACACCTGACTGTACAAATCATCTGAACGCATTCTTCCAATCACCATACTGACAAATGTTGGGTTTACTTCAACTCTTGAAAAATAGTTTTCAGGATATCCAGGTGGACGTTTAGCACCTGGTTGTTGAGACAAACCAGTACTACGAAGTAATTTACAAACGTCATCAATGTTGGAATCTGAGCCTGCATTACGTGCTGCACCACTGGGATAAAAAATTCAAAAGTTGGAAACAACGAATAACATACCGTACATCAGGGGTGGCCAACCTATGGCGCATTGCATGATTAGAGGTGGCGCATTGCATCTTTAACCCTTTTCATGCCAAAATTGTTAATTGCACTTGGCTTCTCCACGCCAAGCCGTTTTTTTGCGATTTACATGGTGACTTTTGATTGTACCTAAAATCTATTCTCCTTACTCCACGTCGCCCACTTACGGCTTGTTGGAATTAGAAACAACAGGCGATTATCGACGTTAGCTTTTGGACGGACTTTATGACATTCATTCTAGACTTTTAGCAAAAATTAGTAAAATTTACTATTTTTTCCCTACTGAAGTAAAAAGAGAAAAATAGAAAATCGTCATTTATCAGCTTGAAACATGGATTTTCCATTGCCCAGACTTCCCAAATATCTCCCAATAACCATTGAACAACCAGTAGAATTGCCCAAGCCTAAAAAATTGATTATAAATCAACCCACAACATGCTGAAAATGACCCCTAAATACCACCTTTTTCATCCAAACTTCAAATGACCATTGTCAACAAAAGCGAAGCGTAAAATTGCTTGCTGTGACGCAAGTACTAATCTCGTAGAAGCCTGGAGTAAAATCACGCGACGCTAGGCCAAACAGCTGATTAGCGAAGGCCAATTAGAATCGAGGGTAGAGTAGAGTAGATATTGATACTAAAGGCCTGCAATATACAATTGGAACTAATTGACTTGAAAACTCAGGGTTTTATATGTCGTTTCGGAACGACATATAGATGTGAACAAACATTTTCTGCCATGAAACTAATTAAAAGCAAAGCGAGGTCAAGACTTAACAGATTTAAATTTGAAGAATGCACTGCTCCTCTCAGTAACAAACTTAACTCCAAGAATAAAAAAACTGGCGAAAGTAAAACAGCAGCAAAAGTCTCATAAAGGCGGTACTTAAATAAAATTGATCAGTTTTATTTATTATACTTGCTTAATTTCTATTCATGTGAAGTTGTAAATTGTAAAAACTACATACACGAGTGTATATATATATGTGTGTGTATTATAAATTTATATAATTTCAACAAGAAGCGGACATTAGGCGTGGGAATACAAGAGATTTACGGCGCATCTGAAACATTATGTTTAAAAAGTGGCGCATGGTATGTGAAAGGTTGGCCACCTCTGCCGTACATTCTATGAGGGCTATGTACAGACTATGTACTTCTGTGCATTTAGGAGTCATAATGTATAAAATGATTCTTCATTCCATGGTCCAGGGTGACATGGTTCCTGAACTAGAAAAAAAACCAAGCAAAAATTTGGTCAGACATGATTGAGCTGCCTTTGAAGATGATATTAAAATCTTTAACTATAAGCTACATTCTCAAGATATAGCCTACTATACTCACAAAATAACAATAACAAAATTTGAAGCACATGTTAATCTCTTGTGGTAGAAAGCGTACAACTGAGAAAATACGAAAAGATCCTTAATAAAATCATGGCATAAGTAAATACAAACCTGTATCTGTAGTATGAAACCATCATTCTCTCCCTGACCAATCCATCTATCTTCATATCAATGATAAGAAGCATCACACCATACAGAAACAGTGCTTCACACTGAAAATAATGACCAATTGTCAGATCAATTACTTTTTTTTAAGCTCTCAAATCCAAGAAATTTATTCTAGTATTCTCATTCACGGCAATAATATTTCAGTTTAGAAGTTACAAAAAGATGTTTTTGCCCACACTATATGCATGCACTTTGGACTATTCTAATTCACATTTGGATCGTGCCCAGTGCCGAGCAGGTAAAGCGTTGGACATATATGTATTGGCAATGCAGTACTTCCGAAGTATGTGAACCAAGATGGTGGACACCGGAACATAGTATGTATACCAGGTTATGGTCCGCCTATAATTTTTTTTCAATTTTTCTTATTTTAGTTCTATTAAGAGTTTAGGAACTATTCAAGTGACTCCCATAGTATTTGTAACTGAAATTATGGCCTCACACTAACCTGGTACACATACTTTGTACCGATGTCCGACATCTTGATTCACATACTTCGGGAGTACCGGCAATGCAGATTACATACCGCGGTTTAAACCCCATGCACCATTCAATTTCATGTTTCTGAGATTTGATGTTACCATTGTATTGTTTTTTGTATATATTATTAATAACTGGTGTGATTACATGGCTCTATAAAGACTTTAGTATTCAATAAATGCAAATCCTGCAATCAACACTTGTATGGGGATGTTGTGTGCAGACAATACAACCTTTCCTATATTACACAGCAAATCCAAATGTATGTAAAAGTGTTTAGTCGGCTTAGTGATTAAATTAAAGAAATTTTCAATAACTATTGCATTTCCTAAATTGTTGAACTGAAAAAATATAACTCATATTAAGTGTGTTAACTAGTTGTAGGCAATGATTATCATATTAAGTGTGTTAACTAGTTGTAGGCAATGATTATCAATGTTACAAAAGAGATTATAAAACATATCAAATATTAATCATAACTTCTAATGCAGCATAAATCAACATACAGACAATTGTTTCCCATCCTCATTGATTAGAACGGATTCCAAGGTTTGTTGAATGTAGATTCCTTCATTCAGTTCTTCTAAAAACCTGACGATAAGATAATTACCGATTTGACAAATAAATTTTTGTCGACTAAAATTGTACAAAATAAATTATGTTCGAGTGATTCTAGGAACAAACCCTATGTAATCAGTGAGCATGACAGGTGAAACATGAAAATAATATATTTCAGGTTCTTATATTATATGAGTATAATTTGCAATTTTGCATGAGATTTTGTCTCATGGCTTTGGGGTTAGAGTCTGGCATGTTTTGACGGTACTCCCGTAGTATGAGAACCAAGATGGCGGAAACCGGAACATAGTACGGTAAGTGTACCAGGTTAGGGTTTCAGGTACAAATACTACGGTATTCACTTGGCTAGTCCCCGAACTCGATATAGCACTAAAATAAGGAAAATTGGAATAAAATTATGGCATAATCCTGGTACACATACTATGTTCTGGTGTCCACCATCTTAGTTCACGTACTACGGTAGCGTCGTTTTGACTGGTATTGGAGACTATGAAACTGTCATCTTAAACTCAGACGGGTTGGGAGTTTTAAAAAAAATTTCAGATTTTAAAGGTGATAACAGAAGTCAACAAATTGACAGAAGGTCAAATCAAGTTCTAGTAATTAAAGGAAAAGCGTTCGTTAATAAAAATATTTAGTGATAGTTCAGAGCTGGATTCATTTTGAAAGGGCTCAAGAGTTCAGAATTGGATATAAATTTTTCTGGTCTCCTGAATTATGCCTCTCTCAATATGAACTTCAATAATAAGTTATATAATATTGTCTTGTAGATGCCTGGCCAATAATATTAACAAGAATAAATTTAAGTCTAGCTAGATTCGAAAGTGGATTGCACGAAATATTATAATGTACAAACCTATTAAGATCCATCACATATTTATGAATGCTTTCAAAAGTGAGGTAAAATCGAGTCAATATGCTGATGTGATTTTCTCTGAATTCATCATCCAAATCCTGAAGTTGAGTATTTTTTTCAATTCTGTTCTCATAAAATTCTGCCGCTCGAAAATAACTGAAATCTGAGATGATTTCACCTGGAAGTTTTAACATGTGATCAATCAGAGAGTGCAAAAGGCTATTTATAAACTCAATTTACATTTTTTCAAGATTATAATATTTACGGCTGGGCATTTCGAAATTTCGAATCGCCGCCATCTTTTTTTTTTTCTTATCGCAAATGGTTGAGGTAAATTTTTCAATTTTTTTTATTGAAGCCATATTTTTCCACCGCAATTCTGACATATGACTCTTTTCTGTAGTGAGTTTAGATGAAAATGTGTTTTTCATTGTGTATAAACGCTCGGCAATCTGCCTGAGTGATGTATTCTTTCTATGTTTTCAGTAATTTATGTGTCTGAGATAATTATAATTGAATGGAAAGTTAAAATGCTAGCTCTTTGAAATATTATTTATTTCATAGCAAAATGTGAATTGCAAACAGAAATCTGTATATATAATAAACTTGCCATATTTCAATTGATCAGCCTTTGATTCCAGTTTAAACACCGGGGGTATGAAGTCTGACAATCTGAGAATTTCAGCAATCACAGCATTTCCTCGACTGACAAGACCAAGAATAGCTTGACCACAGAGATTATTTTCTGCCAAAAAATCTTGCGCCATACTTCCTTCGTGGGACAATGAAATGCTACATATAAAACTGTGATAGTAAAACTAGACAATCTCTGTCAAATACACCAAAAATTAAATAAAACACGACAATAATATAGACACTGCACACACATTTCTTTCTCCATCAAAAATAATCTTTGTATTTTTTTACACGAAACAAATAATAGACAATGAAAAGGTGACTTTAAATACAAGAAAGTACATCTCATACCAATTCAAACAATAGTAATGACATTGCAATTTTTTCATCGAATGACATTGAGAACAAATTAGATCGAATATTAGGAATGGATGAGACATTTGGAGCTTTGATCTCATATATTTAAAACAAAAAAGACTAATTCAGATACATGTAAGCAGAGTTACACATATCTTCTTCATCATTTACCAAATCATATGGATATAACTGTAAAGCTATTTCAACAGTCTTGTTGTTGTTCAGCAATCATGAATAGTTTGTAAAGAAACAATATGTCATGAAAAGTTTAGCAATGGGTAATTGAAACCAGCACTCATTTGATAGACCTATACTATGAAGTTATGAACTATGTAAATCAATTTAGAGTATTACTAATTTCTGCTATATTCTCCTTGTAGTCAGAGCATACTAATCCACAACACATAAGCAGAGAGCAAGAATTAGTGGTCAATGTTCATTTACATTACAATCAACATCGGTGAATATGAAGATCAACTAAAGAATAGATTGTGTCTGTTGTAAGATGGATAAAGCAACAGCGATTATTGCTAATATAGTAAATATTTTAATATTCCTAGTACATGTATTGTGGTCCTGTCCCAACGCAACAGTAAAATAAAATGACAATAATATAGTTCACATTAATTTTAGCATTGTGGAAAAACATGGAATTTTAATGTTGAGATGCAAAATCTACAAGTAATTCTTAAAATCCTATTTTTGTGCTGACTTAGTTGTAGCAGTTCATATTAAACACAACAGAAACCACCAGATTTTGTTTCTATATTATTTACTCTCAATCACCCTGATGTTGTTCATAAATTAGCCACTTTTGTTTTCAGTTCTATGCTTCGATAGCAAAAAGGATGCATGCAATTTTAAGTGGAAAATAAAAAAATTCATGATTTCTAAATAGCGTTTATACTGTGATCCAAACCACCTTTACGGTGAAGTATCAGAAATCCCCATTGCACACATATACAAAAAGGGAAGTTTGTTGTTTCAATGCATCAAGGTTTGAATTCTTGCTTGAACACATTTCTGTCATTCACTTCAAACATATTTTAAAACCGACATCATCGCCTTTTCTTTTGATTTTTCTTCCCTTTTTGCTGCACTTGTTCCGCACCTCCTGTTTTTTGTATCCGAGATTTCAGTTTGGGGATCATTTCTCCAAGGTATATCATTAGAGACATCTTGTTTTTAAATTGATCAGACATTAGTTCATTTTTTTCATTTTTGAGTTGAACTCTTACTCTTCCCCTTACAGACACATCTCCTCGAAACATTTCTCTAGGATACAATTTATTTTCTGGAACAACTTTCAACCCAGCAGCAGCACAAACATCTTTCATCTCATTAACAGTAGGATTTTCCACACATTTTGACTTGGCAATACGCCTGCCTTCCGCCAAAGTTTTTCTGCTATTAATATAGGCAGGATAAATGCATATGTAGTGTTTACCAGCCACAGGAGCTTGTACTGCCATTGCAGAGAAGTGATGTGATATAATTATATACAGTATAAAAGAGTGAAAACTCTAACTTGGGCCCTGAAATACAGAAACATACAGAATATAAAAATATTTGTAGATTATCACTACATCGGTCACTCAGAAAATATTTTTGTCCTTATTTCTAAGAACTGTCCTTATTTTTACATGTGTCTTTATTTTTGACCTTATTTTATGGGTTCAAATACCAGGCACTTAGATTGGTCAATTCGAATGATTGATTTGCTAGAAATGATATTTTACAACCTCATTGATTGCTACACACATTCATCACATAATAATAGCAAATTAATTGACGCAATGACAAAACAATAGCCTATCGGCCAAAATCAGTTCCTGCAACTTGAATCGAAATACAACTCAAAAGTGAGATGGAACAGATAGTTTTTAAAAATAAAGAACTGCTGGAGCAAATCCTTTCTAGTGCGAAGTACCGGTATGATAAGACACAGGTCGCACAGATCAACTAAAAATATCCAATCACGTGAGCATCAACAGTTTAGTGAGAAAAACCATTGTAACTGAAAGAGATTTCCATATTTACCGGTATCGGAGCAAAGACAGAAAAAGGAAAAACAAATAAGACAACTTAATCATATGGCAGTGTGGCCTCTTTTTCTGCGAGTACCAGTACGGTACAGTAGTACGGTACAGCCATTACCGATATTAATGGTATAACGCTTAGCACGATAAGCCACACCGCCGCGTTTTTTTGCTGTCTGGCTCGGCTGTAGACTGATTAATGCTGTTTATGGGGCTAGTTTTTTTAAACAATGTTCATTCGTGCGCATTTCGCTCTAAACAAGGCCACCTATACCTGTAACACAGCAGCACCTATACCGGTACCTGTTATACAAATACAGGGAGACAATCTACGGTATCGTTATCGTAAGTTCATGCTTCCAAAAACAAATAACTAACTAGCCTAATCGGGTTTAGTATAGTTTAGTACCACAAGGTACTTCCAGTGGGCGTAGCATAACGATTTTTGCATATGTTATTCCTAACCCTCACCTGACTATGCCATCCAAAAATTACGTCACTACGACGTCACCATCACGTCATAGGGATTGCCAAAGTATAATTACGATCGCCCGAAATGGCACCTGCGCCGCCGATAAGAACTTGCGAAAGTCAACGATCTCTCTCCTATCTGATCGTTGCGACGAGTAAACGAGAGAAATAGCTTGCTCGATTTCGGGTTATCGTCTGCGCGTTTTGGACGACCATCCGCATACTTCGGTGGGCCTTATTACAGTATTATCCCACTGTGACGTCGGAATGACGTAATTTTTCGGTGAAGTAGTCAGGTGGGGGTTAGGATTGACATATGCAAAATTTGTTGAGCCAGGCCAACTAGAAGTGCATGTGGTACTAAACTATACCAGACCCGCCTAATCCCATACCCGAAATGGAATGGTGACCGGACGAGAGGCCGTGGTTCGCCATATGGCTTCCCCTCCTCGGGATAAATATGTAAATCCTATCCCCATGCAAGCTAATGGTAATGAGGTACCGAAATCGGACACCTCAACAGAGACAACTCGACCGCCGAGTGGTGGTGAGTTCGTCTTTTCGCATTTCTTACGACAGGGCTTCTCAACATTTCTTCGCTGTGGACCCCTAAATTTTTATTCAATGTCGTACGGACCCCCAAGCGTGTATTGGATATATCCAAGTTAAATCACTTGTTGATTAGCACTTTATCTGTGGACCTTCTGAATTCGCACTGTGGACCACTAGGAGTGGGTTTGTCTTTTCGCATTTCTCACGACAAGGCTTCACAACCTCTTTTCGTTGTGGACCCCTGAATTTTTATTCAAAGTCATACGGACCCCCCAAGTGTAGGAACTTTCAGGTCGGATTTCACGCATCGGAAACAATGCCATCCGCCGAAGAATTGGTCAAGTTCCAAAATGTTTAGATTCATATGCTTCTTGCCAATCAGCAATTTTGCATCTAATTTCTTGGGTTTATCTCCTTGTCATTCTGTGACTTGATGAAAAATACAAACGATACCTAAATTTTACTACTTATCCACACTGGTGACCGTACATTTGAACCCACGTACATTTGAACCCATGTGTATATCCACGGGTTTAATCTATATGCGGGTGCTAAAACCCATGGGTTCGGGTTAGTATGGGTTCAACTGTCCGAAAAACAAAAAAAATGCCATAGGTGCAATAACATACAGGTGCAATTGTCATGGGTTCAAATGTACGTGGGTTCAAATGTAATGGAACCATTCATACTATGTTTTCTGAAGTAATGAACGCTCTATGATGAGTAATTAAAAGTGTATGCTTACTTTTGAGACACTCTGTATATATAGTAGAAATTGTATGTTTAAACTCCACACCTAAGTATTTACGCCCGAATTAACCGTCGTGTATTTTTTTTAATTTACTTCAATGTGTTGTTTTCTTTTTGGGGTAAGTGGGCGTGTGCATCATTTAGATTTTAGACTAGTCAGACTGCTCGTGTTTGTTGGATCTTTTGAATTTTGTTGATATTGAAAACCTCTAGAACAGTGATTCCCAAAGTGGGCGATAACGCTACAGAGGGGGGCGATTTCTAGAGAACCTTTTTTGTTCGGCGCATCGTGCACTTGATTACTATACTCTGCGTGCTTTCGTATGTTTGAATCACGTAGGCGATTATCACACGCAAAGGATTGCTGGACTCGTCTTCGCAGTAAGATACGGTCGTTTCCGTATCCCAGTGGTTGGCAAAATACGGCGGCCGAAGTAAAATAATCAGAAAATTTTTCCTATACTTTACCATTTTAAAATTGTCGGTGCGTATTTTAAGAGTGGTTTTGCGAGTTGTTGCCTGTAAAACGGGATATTTGTTTCAAACTATCATTCTAAAATCGAATTCATACCATTCAACAATCTGTTTTTTAAAAGTACCAGTGAAGAATTTTAGCCTAGTCTATTAAAGATATTTCTACACCTGAAACTTCTGGGGAAACAAAGTGATCATTGACTTATTTTATTTATATTTAAACTTCCGGAAAACAACTAAAAACTAACGAATATAATTCAAAAACGCCAAAATGAGGTAATTTTCACGACCACGCCTAAAAATCTGTCTGAGTGAGAAATGTGTCTGGGCGGATGCAAAAGGGGGCATTGTTACGTTTATTTTTGCATCTTGCTGAATGACCAATGTCACGAGGTAAACAAGGTAGTCTATGCCCGGGGAGACAAATATTAAAATACACAGTAAATATCCTTATGTACTTGCTACACTACTATTGCTATCAAAGCAACGAAATCGCCTTTCCATCAGTAAACAGGGTAATCTTAGATATTATAAAAATCTCGCTGAAGAACACCAAGCTCATCCATCTCAATAAAAAATACTATAAACTATGATTTGTCTCGTTATTCGGTCTGTAATATATTCGTTTCAGACTTTACATTTTTTACGCAGTGCCGGGGGGCAATGAACTTGTATAAACTACTCAGGGGGGCGATGGTACAAAAAGTTTGGGAACCACTGCTTTAGAAGACATGACAATAACGCATATATATTCACAATTGTGAGCTTCGTAGTCAAGTAATGAGTCTCAACTCAGTAACCAGTAATTTATTTTTTCACCATTCCAAAGCACACAATGTCAATACAAGAAATAGGAAATATGGTACTTTAGGGTGAAGGGAGGCGCGAGACACCAAGACTGGTGATCGAGCAGCGACACCCATCGCTGGGTGTCGCCTTCCGAACAATCGCTTTACGAAGATGCGATGTCGATGATCGAGAGAGGCAGACGCTTCGACTGTCGAGAAATGAGAGGGGGACGGCCAACCATCCGGGCAATTGAAGCGTCTTAAGTTCTAACTATACTAATTAAACTATATACCAATCCGACTTCAAAATATAAGGGAATAATAAAGGTTAGCGTGTTCTCAACTGAGATAGCTGTTAATTTGATATAACAGTAAGGATAAAGAGAATGCCTCTAAGATTTTATTTCTTTTATGTATTTTAATAAACATTGTTTGACTTTTTTACGATATTATTAATTACTGTTCGGCTTAATCACGGGTGCCGCTGCTCTATAGCCAGTATTGGTTTCTCGCGCCTCTCTTCAACCAGAAATGCGAGTTTCGTTTCTTTTTAAATTCTGTATTCACTAAGTGTATTTCATGTATGGTAAAAAATAGACTACTGATTAACGTGTCACCCATAGCTGCAGAGTCGGTTTTGGCATGTTTCAAAGTTATAACTCAATACGCGGCTTTTACCAGTATATTAAATAAACAGGGCACGTATGCCCAATTTTTCCAGTCCGAGAGTCTATCATAAAGTCTGTGCAACTACCTGAAGTATTTCAAGTTTTCGGCAAATTTGGGCTTGCGTGAAATGTATAAAAAAGAAATGTGCTAAACTAAGTCGTGCGTAACACGACTCAGACAGCTATTTTTAGCACTGAAAAACATCAGGGTCAATAGGATTGTTAAAAAAAACTCACGAAAGACAAGATATTTGCTTCGTAATCCGTTCGAGCTCTCATAGTTTTCTCCTGTTAAAATCCCATAGACTGAATCGAGCTCTCATAGTTTTCTCCTGTCAAATTCCCATATAGAGACTGAATAATTACTTGCGCAAAATCCCGATACAATTCTCGACCACCCCACGGTCTTTTTAGCGCTCTTCAGTTACGGCTTACTCCGAAGGTAAATACAACCAACATTAGAGAAATGACCTAGATAAAACACTAACACATTCGTTGGGAGCCGGCTTATTTCACGTGTTCAGACGGTTTTAAAAAGTTCACCAAAAACGTTGACAAATATCTATCCTGTCTCCTCCTATCACATGCATGTGAAGATGGATACATTTTCCATCAGTATACTACATAATATTCCAAATCCATGGGAATCCGATATTTAAAATTTATTCAATGAGTGAAAATACAATATTTTCAAATTTAACAGTCCAAATGCTGAATTGGACCTCCTTTCGACTATCACCAAAACAGTTTTCCTTTTAACCACACCATGCGTTCCCTTGAATATTATAGCCGATAGGGCTCCATAACTAGAATGCACCTTCATCATGCAACTTTAACAACTCCTAATGCCCCTTGGAGATGAAATATCAGCTTCAACTCGTGCTTGACAGGCAATGCATTGTAGAATACCACAAGGCAGACGATTAGGGCCACAACTTTTTTTCAACTTGGACATGCTCAGTATTCCATCCATTCACTCATGTAGACGCATTTTTCTGGTGATACAACACCACCAGGTCGACATTGATCAAATACCTAAAGTAAAGAACATTAGAATATATGTTAGCTATTAATGTTATTTATTACAATTAATATTACAGTAAGTAATATTGTTAAATACACTATTGTCCACCTGCTTCTAGATTGATCTCATTACAATAAACGTGACCAAAGCTGGGCAGGAGATTAATATAGCGACATTTTATTAAACATGCTGTTACTATTATGATAGCAACACCATGGTGCAAAATCGCAACTGTTGAAAAAAAAGTTATCACCAATCAAGCTACTGTCAAAGTTGGGTTGCGGAAATACACAAAAATTATTCTTAATGCCTCACTTCGAAACAAAGTTTTCTCTTGGTCTGTCTCAAATAACAGCTTTCAGAATTGTAAGATTTATAAAATATCGCCAATTGGGATATTAATTAAATTACATACCCTACATATTATGTTTGCGATACGAAGAGCATGGAAATAGGTATTGTTAATATTACAGAATTTTGAACGAAAAGATATGAAATGATAGGTAGTCCAATCTAGGGAATTATGACAAATGTCACCACCATCATTCTATACAGTTTCAGTATATCTCAGCATATCTGAGATAATGTTGCCGGACACAATTTTCCCTTATTTCTGAGTGATTTCCTGTGACCTTGCTATGCTCCCCGTTTAAAGAGTTAGTTTGTATAATTGTTCAAAAAAACGTATGATTAACAATTTTGTTCCTGTAAGCAGTATCCAGAATATGATCATATTTAATAAAATTGATACACCTGGCTGTGAACGGAAGTTTTAAAGAAACAATTCAAAGTATCTTACAGGACAAACTGCACACGGGGCTCTTGTCATGTCAGTTGCTTCAACAAGAGAATGTACAGCTTTGTATAATTTGTTTGTTCCATCTTTAGTTCCTACAACCATCATTTCTACCTTACTATCATAAATCAAGGTGTTCAATATTGTTTCAATATCTTCAACTGACAACTTGACCTGAAAAAGAAAGATTATTTTTTGTCCACATTCAATTATTAAAAACTATTAATATTACAAAATCATATTTATTATTGTATCGCGATCCAAATCTCAAATACTATGAGAAATATTTTTGGGAAAAAAATCGAAAAAAATCATATTATTGTGAATAATTAAGCTGGAAGCATTATGAAAATAGGCTGTTTCAACCTCTAATAAAATTATTTGTTACTAGTTTAAAACAACCCTAGTTCAAACTACATTTCAAATGATCAACCAAAATTATAAATATTATGTATGGATATGACATGAACATACCTTGCTGATTCCCAAGTTTGAAATAAAATTTAAAACTTCTTCAGAAGATGCATAAGAAGCAGCTTGTCTTGCATTTGGGCTAATAGCAGTCTATAACAACAAAAGTAGTAAGAATAGAATATCACTAAAGCATTCGTTCGCTTGAAAGGAGGAATTTATCAAAGTAAATATCCATGAAAGTGTTACCGTTGATTTGACTACACCGAGCATGGGTTGCAGATAGTACACCAGATGCAATATTTAAATAACTGGCAAATGCAGTAATTTTACCCTTCATTAATTTTTGAAATTTTCTTACTCCAAACCTTTAACTCCAAAATATATGTCCATATAACATATGACATTCACAAGGTATTGAGTACAAGACAAATAACAAAAATGTACACTGCAGAAATATAGTACCACCATAAGATAGGCCTAGTTATTCAGTGTACGAATAATATGAAGTGGTCCCAAACCTCACTTGCAGCGCTCTCCTCTTTTTGTTGAAGAAATTTGTAACATTGTTGATTCAAAACATCAACGAATTCGGATTCAAAATCTTGTCCAGAATACCATGCTCCACCAGTTATTGAACTATCAGGTTCAAGATTGAAAAGCATGTATACTTTCTTTTTTGAAGCCTGAATAAAAATTGAATGAAATTACTAGTGTTTGAAATACATATTTACTAAAATAAAAATTTAGGACATAATAAAAAATAAAAATGTTTATTGAAGAATCCCATAACAATCCTACCAACTGAAAGCAGAATTTAGTCGCTTGTACTAGTCATGAGTTGAATATGTAAACAAGTCAACAATCAGGATGGATCGTATTTTCAAATCTATCTTTATAGGAAATACAGACGAAGACACTCAAATATACCACGATCTACAGCCTCCAGTTACCAGACCACTGGACCAGGTTTCTTTATGGGAATGTTTTAAAATCACTTTCTTAGATGCTAGCTAGAGAAAGCTGTAAATAACTGGCATAAAGTCCAAAATCCACTCACAGATTTCATAATCAGAAGCACACTGGCAACATGACAGACCTTGGTTATCAGTTATCGACTAGAGATAATTTAGTTTCAGTAAAAATATTGTTGTTCACCTGCTTCTAGATTGATCTCGTTACAATAAACGTGACCAAAGCTGGGCAGGAAATTAATATAGCGATATTTTATTAAACATGCTGTGACCATTTAGATAGCAACACCATGGTGCAAAATCGCAGCCAAAATTGACAAGTTTTACACGATACCAGATTTTTATTACAAAATTCCACCATTCAAATAAGTTTGCTATGACAGATACAACCTGGAATAAGAATAGTCACAGATTGCAGTATTAGGACGTCTCAACAAAAATACAAGACTGCAATGAAAATACCGTGACAGATTTGACAGCTTTGATCAATTTCCTGTTTTCTAAATTCTTCAATATTTTGTTAACTTCCGTCAACATTAAATTACATCTGTGTCGAATATCTCGAATCCATATTCCTTTATTACCAGCACTTTCTATAACTTGATACACAAGTTTATCTTGATTGTCAATTCCTTTGATTTGGCTGTAATTAGTAGAAATGTCTCCCATTAATATTATGCCATGGCAGTAAATCCAAAGTAGCTAATGTCATATTTTCAAAAAAGGACTCTTTGATCCTTTTGACTAGGGGCCATCGTCTGTGGCGAATTTACTTTTAGTTTATTCAGAATCTTGCCAAAAAAGTGAAAAGACTATTGTCCACCTGCTTCTAGATTGATCTCATTATAATAAACGTGACCAAAGCTGGGCAGGAAATCAATATAGCGAAATTTTATTAAACATGCTGTAACCATTATGATAGCAACACCATGGTGCAAAATCGCAATCAAAATTGGCCAGTTTTACACAATAACAGATTTTTATGACAAAATTCCACTATTCGACAACAAAATGATTCTTGTCAATTCCTCTTTTCCAGCTGTTTGATACTATGGTAATACATATATGTCATACAAAGCAAATAGATTGAACTTGTGTATAATGTTAGTATAATGGGTGACTATATGTACTCTAGACCCATGTTTCGTCACAAACCACGCAAATGAGGAAATCATGTCATAAAAGTTAACAAAACATATATGATCCAAAACCAAGCACAATGTGGATGCAGAATAATTTTCATTACAATCCAACACTCTAGATACCTTGCTCCGGTTGTACATTTCAATCTGTATATCAATCCAGAAGTTCCTTTCAGAAGTTCTATCTTTCCCTGAAAACCCAAGTACAGAACATTTAAGATATATTTAAGAAATCTCCAACAGGTGGGCGAATTTTGTTTTAGTGTAGTTAGAATCTTGGCAAGAAAATCATTGTCCACCTGCTTCTAGATTGATCTCATTACAATAAACATGACCAAAGCTGGGCAGGAAATTAATATAGCGAAATTTTATTAAACATGCTGTTACTATTATGTTAGCAACACCATGGTGCAAAATCGCAATCGAATTGACCGACACATTCACAAATAATTAATGAAATTTTATATTAACAAAAATTATACTGAATACTACAATGTTATATTTAAAACAAACCAACCATTGTAAGCAACTTGTTGATTGCAGCAACTCTTTCCTTCGAGTCAATTTGAGGTTCTTTCTTCTGAATGAACTCATCACCGATTCCTTTAGGATATTCAGCACACATTGCCAATATTCTAGACAGAAATATAACACTCAACTCAAATTTTATTAATCATTGATAACCATGCACAGAAGAAATATATGGTTATAATCAGGAATGACGAAAATTATCGAAAACCGCATTATTTGCAGAATAATTAGCAGTATCTGTCACTTATTCTTGAGTGAATAATGGTGTCAAGCCGCCAACAACAATGCATTAGAATGTTGTTGTGATTTAAGATCATAGTCTGCTCAATGAAATCAACTCAATATGTTCTTTGAACTGGTATAAACATACCCTATGAATTTCAGAGATCCTGTTGACAATAACTCTAAATAAAGAAGTACTACCTGTCTTCCAATGGCAGTCCACTACCCTCTTGCATAGTGACTTCCATTGCCATGATGAATGAAGTTGTCTATAAAATTATTTTATACATACATAGCCTATGTAGTTCAGTCCATGTCAGATATTAAACTAAAAAGTACAAAACCATTGCAATTGATATAGAACAGATGTTTCAATAAACCAATAAATCTGATTATGCTGGATTTCTATGATGATCATAAAGGTTTCTGGAATCAAGTGATGTGCATTTATTTTATAGACAACAGTATTGGTCAAACATTTAGATTTTATGATTTAAAAATATGATGACAGTCACAAGGTATCACAACAAGCAGATTCAAACAACATATAGATTATAATGTCTGGCACAACAACAAAAAAATGCAGTAGCTAAATAAAGAAATTATGAATAAGTTTCAGCAGCAAATGATGCAAAAGAGACAGCAGAGTCCAGTGGTGCAGCCAGGGGGTTTTCGGGGCCTGAGTTGCCATGGAACACATTATAATAAGTTGGAACTATACCATAGTCACTGAAGATAAAACAGTCAATTATGCATGCCATCAGTTCATAAATTATCGTCAGGGCCACACTCAATTTTTTTTGGATTATGCTGATACTGATGTTCAATCAATTTTTTATTGTACTAACATAAACTGTACTGCAATTTTATCACAGATTTTGTGATTTTATTATCAGCAATAACGAATTTGCGTGGTCGCAAAAATATGAATCGAAGTAAAATCTAATTGTAGAATTCATATCACATTTTTATATCCACTGATTGCCATGGTATTGTAGAGTTCAAATACAATGTTATTTCTATGTGAAACGATGCAACCGCGAGATACGTTAACCACAATTTTAATGAGTAGCATAATCGCATCAATTGTTTCCTCATGCGTTACATGGGTATTTCTGACTACGCCCCCCCCCCTCTACGCTGCAAAATCCTGACTGTGCCCCTGGGGATGTCTACTGCATCCTCAATTTATAAAACGAAAAGTTGCAGCAATAATGCATTGGCGAAATAGGGACCATGTCAAACAAAATAAATATGTGTAAAGAAAACATTCCATACTAGTGCTTTCAATTGCATTCAATGGAATAAGTGAATCGCAGTGTGAGCAATCAGAATAGTCTACAAAAATCCTAACTGTAATACTTATTTACAGTAGTAGCCTATTATAATGATTCTCAAATAGTTTTAGGATACTTCCATCTCTCTTTCTATTCCAACATATTTTACTGCATCAGATTGACTGTAGCTGTAGTCGAAGAACAATTCCTCTCCTGCTTGTATCGGGCAATTTGAGAAAATTCCAATACGATGATCACCATTTACCATCATCACTTTAGCATAGCAATTAGGATGAACGGAATGATTGGCAAATCTAATTTTGTTTCCTTTACGAGTGGCATCCACGACAAAATCATTATTGAGATTAAACAGAAAGCTACACATGTATTTATCGTAAACTTTTCCACGACGATCTGCCTCATCCTGAGATATAATTTCTCCGCAATATTCAGAAATGAATTCATTTTTGTTGGGCACATCTTCTTTTATATAAATTCCCCATCCGGCAACATCAGATGGAGCCAAAAGTAGGTGCTTATGGAGGCCTCTTTGTATTGAAACGTTCTTACAAGAACATTTGCTGGCATTTGTGCCAAGCTGGTCAGCACCACAAAGAGAGCAGAGGTCTGGATCACACTCTCTCACTGCAAGATAACATGGGCATTGCTTGGTGTTACATTGAGCTTTACAACGACATCCTGGAAAGCGATTATGACAATCAGACGGACATTGGCAATACTTTTCGCAAAAATTTCCAACCATAATGCATTGACAATTGCTGTCGCAAGGCTGCCCTGGATGATTACAAGGCTGGTAATTGTAAACATGATTGCTGGACGAGTCTCGTTTCAGTTGTATTCTTCTAGCATGGAGAGACCAAAGTCTGTGCTTCCTTTTTTTCTTTCTGGGAGAAGCTGAATCTCTCAAATCATGTTCATGTGGATGAGGTTGTGAACCGCTGTCATGTTGCGAGCGTGTAGCTTCAAGTAATGCAAAGGCATAAACTTCTTGGCAAGATTTAGTTTTAATAAGTTTTGAAATCGAACAAAAATTGTTTGGGTAATTTGTTCTTAATACCCGATACAGAGTTGACTCTGCTCCATCCCATATAGTTTTAGTCAAATTTTCAGGAACCAGTTCAAGAAATGATGTCATTGATTGTGTTGTAGGTAGTTTTTCAGTATCTGTCGCATCTGTATCCATCTCACTCTCACTTGGGGCAGGGGTACTAGGTCGACTTCCACTGCTGCTCCCACTTCTTCCTTCTCCTTTGAGCTGAGATTTCTTCTTTGACAATCCTCTCTGCAAATGTCTGTGAGGTTTCTCTGACATTTCACGATAATCTTGTGCACCTTCAAGGTGTTGGAAACAATCAGCACCACAAGGTTCTGTAGGTGTTCTAACATCTTGAGTTTTTCGTTTACTCGTTTTAATAGGTGGTCTATAAAGATGACTGTGTTGAAAACAATCATATTTGTAACAGCGTCTGCAAAATAATTCATGAAAAGAATGCAATGCTTGCTCCCTTTGTACTGATTTAGCATTTGCACCATCGATATTGGGAGTGCATTCAGGAGGTTGTGCATCGGGATCCATCAATTCAGTCAGCTCCTTATATTTATCTTTTAAATCTTCACCTGAACCTTTATCAGGAAAATAATCAGCAATAGCATCAAATATTTCATCTGCAGGAAATGTGTTTGTACCAGAAGCAGATGACGAGTCTGAATTTTTATTTTGATCCGCATCTGCGGTTTCCTTCTCTTTCGCTGGATCTGCATCTTCATTGCTTGATTCGCTTGTAGTGTTGTCTTGTGATGCTTCATTTGCAGCACTATCAGTTCTGTAACGACTTCTCAAAGGACGACGTTTACGACTGATATTATATTTATTCAGTGCATCAACAAGATCAACAAATAATTCATCACTTAGAAAACCACCTTCTCTGTCCCCATGCACTTTACCATCATAATTCATAATCAATTCTTCTAAAAAACTTCCATCTTTATCCAAAGCTTCATCCCCCATATATGGAATGTTATGTAGGATTGTTTCATCTTCAACCATGAAATCCTGTTGAACTGGGACCCATGTATAATAAACAGGAAGACTTGGCACAGCTTGCAGTGTACATAAAGGAACAGACTGATCACGGAAAGCATGAACACTACTTTTCACTGTACAGCATCGAAGGAATGGTCTATTTGTAAAAACCGGTTCTGAATCTGGTTGTTGTACTTTGTACTTTTCATTTGTTTGTTCCAATTTTGAAATTCTTTCGTTCAATTTTACTCTGTTATTTATGAAAGCTTGTTTAATTTTGTCACTACGTTGATATCTCTTCGCCGATCTAAGCGTGATGTATTCACTTCGTACAATTTTTTTCCAATCCATTTTGTTCTTAACTAATTAACTAAGCAGTGACATAAGCTGAAAATAACAAAGAAGCATAGTTCAATAAACTTTAAAAAATAAGCTAATATAGCCGCATACCTGTCAAGTGAGACAAAATAACAAAATAAACGGGAAATTACTACTAATATAATCTTGGTGAAAAACAATTTGTATCACAATGCAGTACTATTTAAATTTTCCAATTTGATTTTTTTTTGCTGAAAAATATATGCTTTTCAATTCACCAAATTCTTATTACAAATACATAGAACAATCCATAAATTCCATTTTAATAACATTGACAGATTATTGAAAACCATACCCATATAAAAACTGTTTCAATAATAATATTCTAAATGAAACATAATTTAAAATTAGTGGGAACTCATTCACTACTGTAAAGTTTGACCCCAATTGGGAGAAACAAAATGATGATTATATGTCAATGCATAATACTATAGCCTAGTACACAGGTTTCACAATCAATTCTAATTTTCAAGATTATTTCGATATGATGTGAAACAAAAGACAATTGAAGTTTTAGAGATATAAGTTTGATGAATATAACTATAATGAGAGGAAGATCATCTTTCTTCCATTCTGACTTTCGGAGGTTTGAAAGGTGCCCTCGTGTCTTTTTTCTTCTTCTTTTTATCCTTCTTAAAATTTTGCCAACTGGAAACTCTACCTTGACGACTTTCCTCAAAGTTTTTATCCCATTCTTTCTGCTGCTTCGCTTTTTCTTTTTCCTCAGCTTCTTGTTGCGCTTTCCTTTTTCTTTCATTCATTTCTCGAGTTTCCATCTCTTTACGAACAATCGCCATGTCAGCAAAAAGTTTACAAGTTTCTTTGTGTAGTTCTGATTCATAAACATGCGGATCATCTTCTGGTATTTCAGCAGGTTTTCCTTCCTTTTTCAATTTCTTCCTTTTTTCTTTCAATATCGTTTCAAGTCGTACTTTTGCATCTGAAACTACACCTAAACATTTTTCTCTTTCTTTATCATCATTTAGTAATTCCCATGCTTTTTTGACAGCATCAAATGACTTTTGTGCGAGCTCTTTTTGTTCTAAATTTTTATCTGGATGAACAAGTATAGATAAGCGTCTGAATTTCTTCTTAACATCTGGTAGAGGAGTTTCTGGCGTAACTTGTAGAACATCATATGGATTAAGATTAAAATAAGTTGATCCAGGTCGATTTAAACGATCAATCTGTTGTTTTGGTGTTAGTACTGAATCCGCGGCTTCAATTCTTTTCACTTCGGACATATATGTATTGAATGCATCTTCAGCCTTTGGATCAGAACTGGTTGAAGCCATGATTAAGATTGAAATTCACCTATTTACAACATTAGCTGAAAATGTAATTGAATCATTAGGTTTTAACTTGCTGACTTAACCAATCACAGAATCAAATAAATCTCAAACAAAGCATGGTCCAGATGAAGTTAGGAATTACACCAAAATATAGTTGATAGTACTGTCACACTGTAGTACATGCATCATGTTGAATTCTTTTAGAGAAATATAGCATATACAGATATAGGTGAGGCGACTTCGACACAAAATTCCCCACATAATTATGTCTGTATGCGTAGAATATTCAAAATTGAAATAAATTACTTGATAGATGGCTGTATTACAGAAATAGGTACCAAACTATTTGGATATTGACACAAGCCAATTCTGCAGTTACAGTAGAGCACAGTTCTCATATTCCATGATGTCCCGATATTTGGTACAATAAAACAATCTATTTGTGAAACGAGCCAGTTAACGAGGGGGTGACACAACGGCAGATCGATTGTCTCCATGATTGTCTCAAAAATAATTTAAATCAATCCAACATGCGTCGGCCGCCACATGACCAAAATTGCCTTTTAGGGGTTAGGGGGGAGGCTACTGGTATGTCGACTAGATCCTAACCTAAATTATCAATTTTCATAGGCCTGTTGGGCCTGGTCATCTCAAAGGTTACCGGTATTAATATTTAACATACAAGAGAGAGAGAGAGATTTATTTTCGTCAACCAGAAAAAAAAAAAAAATACTGAAACAATAGCAACAATAAAAATGTATAGTTTTTCGGTATAGACTGGGAGGAGCGATACGACCATACGGTCATCAGAGTCAGCTCCCCCCATATTCACTATTTTAATTATGCATATAAGAATTCTTGAAAATTGAAAAAAAAAAAATTTTCTATTACAGAAGAAATACAGAAAATAATGACATCCTAAATAGATATCTAATATTGAGTTAGGTGAAATTTTTGTTCAACATGCCAGCTGATGACAAGTCTGCTTGACTGCTCTATTGTCTTGTTCAAAAGTAGAGACAGATTGTCTCAAAACATTTCCACATTACATGACCTCTTACTGTCTTAATTAACAAATTTTCAACATGCAGTCAGTCAGAAAGTGTTGCAAAACCATAAAACAGTAAAACGTGAGAACTGAGATGGGATCAAAAAAATTCTTAGTCGCCAATTTATATTAATAAAAAATAATACTCATGAGTTTGAATCTCTGACGTTTGAGAAACGAGGAACTGCACCGTCGCAGTCGTGGGTTCCCTGTGAGTTGCATATACCGGAACGCTTTGCCCTGCACTGGCATCAGAGCATGCTTCCTAAAGGATTCGTGAATCCTATTCCTGCACGCTGAAGTAACAGCATAAGCGGCGCGGCAAGCACTATACCGCCACTCCGCGGCAGACCGGGTTTGGAAATTTTCCCAAGTGCCGTTCACGAGAGACAGAGAGAGAGATTTTATTTTATAAGTAATGTCAACACTATAAAACAGTGGTTCTCAACCTTTCATAGCTCATGGCCCCCTTCCGGCGCATTTTGGCACTTGTGGGACCCCTGTTCGCCATTTCAAAAAACTAAACGTGTTAGATTGTATTATGTTTTTCACGATCTTTTATTGAATGCAAAAGCAAACCACAGACAAGAAAGTGAAAGCTTTTTAGTATACAATCAATGGGAATCTTGCGCTTGGAACTGTCTGACGAGGTTTCTTAAGCTAGACATCGTCTTTAATATAGCCGGACGAATGTCACTGTTACCATTAACGGCAGTTTTTAGATTTTGTTTTGATGGTAACAAGATCAGAAAAACCAGATTCGCACTAATAAGTGAGTTGCGGCAAATTGAACTAGCAATGAAGGAGCTTTCTTGCTAAGTAGTGGGTAAGAATCTGATATGCTACTTCATAGCGGGCTTTTCCGCTGGTAAAACCGGACTTGGCCAATATCTTACCGATCTAACTCGCTTGACAGCCAAGAAACCGATATCAACGTCTTTCACCTGGGGATGATTTTTGTCATGATTGGTTTTGGAGTTTAGATGGAGGTAATGATTTATTGGTAATTACATGCAAGCATTGAGCACATTCTCTGTCATCTCGATTTTCTTTAGTAAAGTAAAAGCCAACGTAACTGTCGTTGCATTTTCATATTTTGGGCATTTGGAATTTACAAATGGGTTTTTGAGTCTATAATACGATAGCGAATGTTATCTCGCAGTCAAGTGAAACTGCTCGTCTACAGGTTAGACGGCCTACCGGCGAACTATTTTGATTGGTAGATTCGAAGTTCCATTATGATCAAACAATTAACGCGCAAGAAAGAGAATACACCCTGCGATCACAAAGAACGGAGTATTTTATTTTAAAAGGAAAGTATGCAAACAAAGTCTCTTTGTGAATTCTTAGCCTTGTGTCGTGGTCCTCCTTGACCTGCTTCGTGGCCCCCTTGGGGTGCCACCGGCCCCCGGTTGAGCTGCTATAAAACATTTAAAGCAACAGAAACAAAAATATAATAATTGGTTATCATTATTCGTGAGGGTCATTATAAAATACCGGTTAGGCCACCGTGGCTCCTGGCCCATGCTGTATATATAGTCCGGCAGATGAGGGGCCTTTTTGGGCCCAACCTTGTTTTCAGACAAGTTTTTTTTATGTGTGATTATTCATCTTGGGGTTATTGCCCATCATTTCTACATGGGTGTGTCAAGCATGCCGCTTGTTGCACAGCACGATGGGGAGTATTGCACTTAAAACTCTCAAGACGACATTAACACCCATGTAACACTACAAAAAGAAGTTAATTTCGGTATAAAAATATATTTTGGATGCAAAACAAATAAACAGTGGTAATTGCAGATTTGATTACTATAATTTAATATGAGGCACAGTAATTAATACAAACATGTTCTACAACCTGGTATTCTTACAAAAAAATTAAATGATACCATAGTTGCATTCAAAAAGATACCAGAAAATGATTCTAATGGGTGACATATACACTACAAATAAACGAATGCGATATATTTATCACATTTGGTGTCATATATGACGAGAATCAGCTCCAATTTGTATGCATCATACAAGTCCTGACAACAAATTCTTGTGATCTTCAGTGAGGTTAAAGTTCAATTCCTCCATGTCAAATGGTAGATGTTCAACATTTGATGACAACAAAGTTTTAAGGACTGCATTGGTAGTATCAATTTTGACACCAGCTGTTGTTGTCACTGCAGATTTAGCATTTTGTACATGCTGAAATATTTTCTGCCATCTCTCCTGGAATAAATTAGTTACCGTAAATGAAAAGTCAAAAAACATCAACAAAAGCCCCAAAAAACATTAAGTCTTACTTGTTCAACTTGTGGATGTGCCCATTGCACTGCAGGTAATGATGCAGAATGCATAAGAACATATACACTTTCCAAAAACACAGCTCGGAAACGGGTCTTCATATTTTCTTTATCTCTCTAAATATATTACATTAAAGATACATGCTTCGAAACAAGATTACATATAAAATACAATATGTAATGAATTAGAATTGCTGATACCTTGTCACCTCTCCTCATTGATTTCACTTTATCCATCCAAGCACTCTATACAAGTGAAAAAAAATGAATAAATCCCAAAATAAAATGGTATTTTACGAATCATTATACTTCAATATTTACCCTTAGAGCATCCATAATATCAGATTGCATCAAAGCCTTGGGAAATGTTGATAAAACTGGACAAGGAATGGGATCGGCATCTCGAGGTGACAGTCTGTCTCTTATCAATGCATCAGCCAACATTCGTCGGTAAAACGAGACGAGCTCACAATAAGTAGATGGAAGAACAATATTCGCCGGAAGAAGACTAAAATAAAACAGAAAACTAGACAAAAAACAAATGAACCATAATTTTTAAACATTGCGATAGATGAAATTTATTGCCCTTTAGTTAAGAATAAGTCTGAAAAATATTGAAGCAAACTTGCACCATTTCACATAGCCAAGATATTCCTGCGATATTATTTCTATGAATTTTTATAACACAGAAGTATCCAAATCCAAAGATGAGACCAAATTCGAATTGGAAAATATCCGATAACAAGATTCCGTTTCGATCTCATATAACAATTTCCGTATTTCAAGCATCTAATTTATGAATCAGGGAGCAGCATTTTCTCTTCACAAATTCTAGGATAATTTTCGTTTAGATAAAAAGTTAATTTACAATTTTGCTTTTTAAAAATTTAATCGAGTGATGACTGCCAACAAAAATAGCATAGCATTTGGAGTTCTAGATTCAATTTAAGTTTTCTAGAATAGTAAATTATTCTGAATTGCCCATACCTAGGAACAATGGTTGTAAATCAATATATTAGAAAATGTTCCCACTTGGCCTTTTCACTCATAAGTACTGGTAACAAGTGACTGAGTAAACAAAGACAGTTATAAATGATCATGACATACTTCATGATTTTCTTCTTAGTATTGTTTGGAGTTCCAAGTTTGATGATGAGCTTTGGTTGCTTATTTGCTGTCAATAAATTTCTGAACCTATTTGAAGATGCTAAATAAAACAATAGCTTTATCAAGTTATGAAGTATACAAATAATATTTAAATAAAATTTAGATGATTATGAAATTTTTTTTTATAAATTGAAATGAATTTTATCCAAAGCCTACAACCATACAAATATTGTGCGAGGGTATTCAATAAGAAATTGAACGTTTCCGATTCTCTAAGAAATAGAAGCTTCACATCTAAATGGTAGCTCAAAAGGAGTTATTTTAAGACCTCAAAAGTATGCAAAATATAAGTGATAATAAATATACTGACATGCAGTCTATGCATCAAAATATACAAACCTCTTCTTGATATTGAAGGGTCGACTTCAACACCTTTTTCAAACGGAGTTCCACCATTCACTGGGAGTTCATATGTTCTGTTTCAGTGTATAAAAAGTTTTCATAAAATGCAATTTGTATATCAGCCACTTCATGTGAATCAATGTAAGTTGGTTACCCTCCCACATTAACACAGAACCTACACAGTAGTCATGAACTCTAAATCGCAGTTCTGCCAACTAATTCGATTTATTCGTAATTTAAACAGGTTAGTCAGGATATGAATATAGGCCTAACTATAACCAACAATTTAATCTAAATTTGGAAAATAAGTTACTTGTTTGGAATTGCCATCCCTTGTTCATCAAATAGCTTCAAGAAAACCCATCCACAACTTAACTCGGCATGTTCTCCTGTTTTCTGTGAAATCAACGTAAAATGAGGTTAAGCTGTTAAGATGTCCATGACAAATGATTTCCCCCTAGAACTGCATTGACCAGTTTCATATGAGCTTTGTCAAAATTTATTTACGTTTTATTCAATGCTTCCCATACTGCTGAATTTATTCTTCCAAGTTGTAGTAGTACAGAGCTTACAAGAATAAAAAAAAGCCGAGTCTAATGCAAAATGATATAAATTTCATCTGGTATTGAGTTTAGTGAAACTTGAACTAGACATTCTTGCATCATTTGTCCTATGTGTCACATGTACCATGCTCGTCTCACTTGCATAATTTGTCCCACACAAAAGAATGGGATGAATAGGACAAGGGTGGAGCATGTGGCACAAATGTGGGACACATCCAGGATAAAACAGTTACCGTAAGTGTGGAAAAACTGGGGGACATGTGGGACACTAAGGTATCAAAGCCATTAACCAAGATATCAGAAACAGAAAACATCAAAATTATTGAAAAAATTGTTTCTCGTTTTATAACCATTCAACATAAATATACAATTCACAATCAAAAATTATAAGTTTGTAAATTTCAAACAATTATTTTGTAAAAAAATTGAGAAAACTTTGTTTAGCAATCCACCTGTTAACCAAGAACATCAAAAAATAATTAAATAACATATTTGGTGTGTATAGTGTATTAAAATTAATTTGCAAGATGAGAACTAAAATATATTAATGCAAATTACATTCAAAGATTGCTGTAAAAAATACACACAATCTTTCAAACCTGGAATATTATGCAATTATCTTAAAATGCAATGATGAAGTAGTATGACATTTAAAATCACCACACACGTAAACGAAAATATCTTCTAATGTGCACATTAAGTACATACTTCTATTTAGGTGAAAACTAGTAAAACATAGATATTTGATGAGTGTTATTCATCTTATAATAGTGAGAGATCTGAACTAAACTAATCTCGATTTAAAGGGCTGAAAATTTGAACACGCGTCTTAGAAGACTCTTTATACCCTATTATACCAAAAACAATTAAGTAGAAATTTAGCCCAGTCAAGCCCCATCTCCTAAGTACACTGAAATTACCTTTCAACAACAAAAAAGAGTGTCGAGACAAGACATGAAGTGAAATCTCTTTCTATGTGGGTTTATTTACCTCGGATCAGCTAAACTATATATTTCCAGACATGTGACTAAACACAAATAGCTGTTCAATGAGAGCGAATCAATGCAACTGCTTTAACAGCCTGGGTGGTTATTTAGTCTACATCTTATTTTCTTTCTATTCCTTTTTTTTCTAATTAATGGCCCTGGACAGCATCCCGAATAACCCAGTGTTATTATATTATTAGGAAACAAATACACATATAAGGCACTTCATCCAAGTTTGAAAAACTACGAGTCAAACCAATCCCCAAATGGAATCTACTAATATTAGGAGAGCTATATCAAACACCTTTCATATCACGAATATGTTGAGTATATTAAACAAGGATTAACTGCAAAACTACATTGGTGATAAATAATGCAAGTGTGATAACTATTGCAATGAAAACTAGCTTCATGTGAATGAATTATCTCTACATTAATTTCAGACAAATTGACATGCAACTGCAGCCGCAATATACATACAACAAGCCTGTCTCTAGCGCCCTCCTCTTCCGAATCACTGTATTTTGCAGACGGGCCGTCGCTGAAGTGTATTATTTTTCGTGGAGGCTAAATTTGAATTAACGGAAATAACAATGAATACTCAAGCTCAACTAGAAGCCTATCCATAGCCAGCAATCTATTGAAGAATACATCGGAAAATAAAGTTTTTCTCCTGAATAATTCACTGTCGAAAGCATACAAAAAAATAAATAGGTTTTCATATCATGCAACTTACTGTCCTGATATATGTAATCCCAAGTTCAAATAAAATTCCAAGATTGCTGTGTGTAATATCAGATCGTACCAAGCACGAGCCATCCATTAGGCTAGGAAGTATTCCAGTTACCTTAATAATAATCAATATAAATTAACAAATGAGTTTCATCAACATCAAGTTGTTCATAAGTGTTATTTACTTACCCTAGGTGAAAATGTCCATAGCTTCGGTGAGTTTGTTGAACTATTTGCTCTGACGGTGTGAACATTGCTGACAATCTAATATACAAAATCTATGATAAGTGTTTAATAAATTCAAGTGCCAATTGGAAAAATCAGTGAATTCATAAAACATCAAGCGAATCTGCTTTCTTAATAGGTTGATAAAATGTTGTTAACAAGATGAAAAAGTGTAATTTTTTATTTTCTATACGACCCATATTCAGCCTTTAGCTATGAACAAGGCCTGATACAAGCAGTCACTGATATCTAACGATATGTAAAAAACTACTATTATTCGGAAGGACCAGATTCTCTCCAATTGGGCATTGTCTACCCAATTCATTGCACCCATGGAATTTGAACTCGAGATGTGTAATTTGCGATGCCAACACAGGTCCCAAGTCTTCAACTACCAGGCCATCGCCCTCCAAAAAAAAAATTCGAATTCCATGTGATTTGAGTAGAAATAATAGACAGTATGCAGAGCCTAATTTCTACTCAAATCATGTGGAATTCATTTTATGTAATTTTTATGGGGCACGATGGCCTAGTAGTTAAAGACCTTAAAGTTGATGATAACAATTTCACTATAAATATTACCTTGATTGCCAGCATATATCGCAAATGCAAGAACAGCCAATCAGTTCACCAAGGTGAAAAATACATATTCAAAAAACATGATTTTATGAATCCTTTACAAGATGAGTCATGGGTGTTTATTACTTTGATCCAAATGCAAAAACAACTCTTTTTTAACTGCAATCTATACTTCATTTTCAATAATACAATTGTGATATTGCTCAACTCACATTTGTTCCATTAAAAAGTGCAAGGCGAATATGTCTGCTCAGTATTTCAACACCAGAACCAGCAAGTGGAATCATTCTACAACTCCACAATCTACAACTACGAAGCACTCGAGTCGGAAGTGATCTAATCTGAAAAACATATCAAATGGACAATGTAAAACACAGATAGGAATACAACATAATGTAATCCCACACAATACTTCTACCAAGTGAAATTTCGAAACTGAAATTTTATATATCTGTTCAGAGGAGACAGTAATAATATGTAAAATTTAGCTTACAGTTTTAACGTTCAAAAAAGCTGGATTACTCAGATTTTGAACAGCTATTCTAAGGCTACTTACATATAGTACATAAAGCTATTGCTTCTGTGGTATGCGAACCAAGATGGCGAACACCAGAACGTAGTATGTGTACCATGTTAGGGTTAGTTCTATTACGAGTTCGAGGACTAGCCAAGTGACTCCCCTGAAATTAGGGCCTAACTCTAACCTAGTACACATACTATGTTCCGGTGTCCACCATCTCGTTTCCCATACTACAGGAGTACCCATTATTGCACATCCTTCTGCCTCACAGTTATTTTCAAGTAGCAAATCATAAATTCATACCATAATACACAAAGTTCACAATTTGATTCAATGCATACTTGATTTAATGCAGGATCCCAATGCAGATCTTGAAGACCAGTGTTGGATTCAGTGAAGGATGGAAGCACAGCGTTCTTTAATGTATATTCATCTTGGGATACAAATCTCCCCAAAGTAGAAGGACGAAATCCAGCAGGAATCGCTCCCAACGCAGCCAAGACATCAGTGACATCCGTTTTAGCAGGCTGCAAAAAGATACAGAAGTAATATTGATTTATGCTTACCTTCATTTTTAAAATAGCTTTCAAAGTTCTTAAAACAAAATAAGTGCCGACAATCTTTAGATCGGTGTTTCTTAATCTGAGCCGGAGGATTTTTTAAAATTGGCCTAGAGTTTTTATTTGGCCTACAGTACAGGTTCTTTATACAAAATTCAGTTTATTTTTGAACTTTATTTGAAATATCTTAGTATGATTGTTTAAATAATATTAAAATTTTCATCTCCAGTTAAACAAAGTCAGCCCCACCATTAATAAATTTGACCTTATCATAGCATATCATTGGCCCATGATTCAGAATTTTATTTCAAATCGCTTTTTCGTGACATGGCGACAAGAATTTTGCTTATGAAATTCAATTATTTTGATATTTATTTATCGTTTTTATTTTATATTTCAATTTTTGTTTACTTAAATTCGTTATTTATGATGGATTTTTAGCAAATATATAATCATTGAATCATCCTGAACTCTTCTCATACAAGAATTATTATCAAGGTGAACGATCTAACAACAACTAGGGCCCAACCGATATATCGGCCATGTTTTTCACATATTTGGACTATCGGTATCAGCTAATTTTACAGATAGTTATCAGAGTGTTGCTTGTTACTTGTAGCCATCTTTTCAAGTGAGAAAACATCGGTATCGGCTTATCGGCCTAGTTTTAGAAAACTATCGGTATCGGTTTAAAAAGGCAGTATCGGTCCGACCCTGATAACAACATTCGGTAATAACAAGAAGATGTTATGACTTGGTAAATACAGTATTTAAATTATTAATATTTTCTTTAATATACTTAAAACATTACAATATTCTATATAAAATTGCTGTAACCATACACAAACATTGCATTTCCCAAAGTCCAAACATTATTCAATGTAATGGAGGTGAAATTTACACAACATTGACAAAAAATTGATACGGATTGATTCATCAATAACTCATACAGTGCAGTGCAAAACGTCATGATCTAAACTCTTATTAAAAGTGTTTAAAAGGTGCATTGCTCTTCATTTAAACAAGTGATTTACTTACCAGGAATTATGAATTATGATGAGCAACATAGATGAAATTAAGAAGAAAGCACAGATTTAGTTCCAATAAAAAAACTACTGATTTAATTATTAAAAACTTATTGAAGAATGGCACATGAATTCTCGAAAACAATCAGAATAGCAATTTGTAGGAACTTTGATGATATCAAAGGGTTTTGACCCAAAGGATGAAACTTGGAAAAGTAAAGTTTTAGGAAATTGAGGAAAACTTTTTTTTATCTTTAATCTAATTTTTTATTGAAGGACTTTGATGAATATCTTTTCAAACTTCAGTTTGAAAACCAGTTTAAAAAGCATTTATTTGTAATTTTTCGGAATTTGACATTCACCCCTTTGTTGTAAAACACATGATTTATCAAACAAGATAGAATAGCAAATGCAAGTTGAAATAGAATTGATGTTGAAATTCCAGATAACCAATTAACCGTACATATTCCCAAACTTGTAATTCAAGATTTAATTATAATATATTACATGGAAGATTACAATTTAAGTACCAGTATTTGAGAATTATTCACCCTCTATCATAATATTATTATCTGGTAACAGATTTATCCATTATCTGAAACGACACATCTCTTTAAATATCTATTTTACTTCATAACCAATTAAATATAAACAGATTTCAAAGAGAAATCATGAAACATAAGTAAATTACTCTATATAAAAATTATCATATTTAGTGCAGAATATTTCTTAGTACTTTAAATTTCAGGTAATTCTAATCCGTTATGCGTAGACTAGGCAGCTAGCCTGATCATTTCAAAGTGAAAGGAAAACTCCAATCTAGTTTTACTTAAAAAATATGGAAACCATCTGACTTCAAACAGGTATTAGGAACACATAGCCTACAAATTGCCTACAGATTAAGTAATGTAATGAAACATGCAAAAGCTAATGTCCTACATATATATATATATATTGAATAAACATGGGTGATAATAGATATCTACCTCATTAACTGCATCTTTTATGCCTTTCCACAATGCTTTTCCGCTGGAAAAAAGAACAAATTGAAAGTCGCTAGTTAAAAATCATTTGTAATGTTTCGCAGATGTACTTATGGTGCTAATTACCTTCTTGTTGGAGATTCACCTTCAGTTGGCGGTTGTGAAGCGGTTGCTTCTCCTGAAAACGTAAAGTTCATTTAGAATAGGCAAAAGTAAAATCACTCAGTTATAGAATGACAACAGTATTTCGCTTTTTATCGAGCTCATAACTAGCCGCTGATGCTGAAATCAAAATTCAAACGTGCATCCCAGGATTGCTAAATTATTAGAATAGGATGGGATTCATAATTATCCTGGGGGAGAGGGGAGCTGATAAGGCGGCTCAACCGGCTCATACAACAAACCTCTCATCCAGCTACCAGACCATGTCGGGTATGGAAAAAGTATGCCACTTATTTGTTTCAGATGCGTGGACTTGATGGTGGAGGCAGTAATTCACCAGCAATCTTCTTGCACATAATTATCCTCCACACAATTCAAATCTATGAACCAGTGCAGGGTAATTAGGGATGCGATCGCAAGTGTATTTATAACGCATAATGAGTCAAACTTCCTTCATTTTTTTGCATTATACCAATATATAACCTGTATCCTCCTGAAGCTGGCTCTCTTCTTCTTCATCATCATCTTCATATTCTTGAAGAAAATTTGATGGAACCATCCCTACATTGCCATCTTCATCTTTCACTTTCCACCATCCATCATCCCTGAGAAAAGAACGACACTTGTATCCAGGATCGTGTCAAAACAAACGATCACAAGTGGGCGCCCATAATTTGAAATAAGCTCTTACAATTTCTTTTCATAACTCTGTTTGACACAGGGTTGAATTGATTGAACACACGAATAAATCATATACTATATTACTTTGAATGGAAAACTTCAACTGAAAATTTGATATTTTTGTCAATCTGAAGCAAAATCAAATTTAGCCAAAATCTTTAGTGGAGATATCCAAAATAAATTGATTATTCGAATGCCAGTACATTCGACCCTGGATAGAAATGATATTAGAACATCACTGATTGCTACGCACATTCATTGGGTAATAAGTAATAACCGCAAAATAATTGCCACAATGATAAAACACTAGCCTACCAGCAAAGATCAATTCGTTCAACTTGGAATCATAATACAGTAGTAAATGAGAGTATTGCAGTTGACTAGTAAAATTACTTAGGATCTGATAGATTTGATAAGTGTAGCAGTAGCCTACTAATTTAGTTTTTAAGGATAAAGAACTGCTGTAGCAAATCCTTTCTGGTGCAAAGTATGATTGAACACGGGTCACACTGGCATGGATATATTTTGTTCATCACATTTCTACATATTTAAATAATTATTATTGTTTAGATACCTGTTTTGTTTATATTTTGGGTATATCGGACTGCGTGAGAACGAATTATAATAATTACCATTTTTTCTTACATCCCAGATCTCTAGCGATCCTATTGTTATTTTACTTATGTTTTACTTACTGCCTATACACAAGTGATACAACATCCCCTTCTTCTATAGTTAGATCGCCTTCTTGTTCTCCTTTAAAATTATTAAGAACTTCATATAGTTCATCCCCATTTTCATCATCTTCATATTCTTCTTCCTCATCATCTTCTTCCTCCGTTCTATAGCAGGAACAAGAAATGAAAAAAAATCGTTATTAAAAACAAAGCAACTTTTAATTTATTCAAAATAATCAAAGCAAAGCTGAGTGCCCTTACTGCAAGCCGGTAGGCGGCCAGGCTGGATATTCCTACTCCTGGGACATCTGTAATGGCACATACAGTAGCTGGGTTACCATAACTGCCAGTTTATTTTGAACCCTGCATGTCTTGTCAGGATCCTTGTGTGAGTAGTATACTGTGACAATTGATAAAATTCCTAAATATTCCACAGTTTATGAAATATCAAGATGAAATAGGGCTCGTTCTTACATTTTTGCATGGAGGATAGCAATCTTCGAATTTCAATTTTCAACTTAGTTTAGGATAAAAATGCGACAAATAGAGAGTAAATTGGAAATTTTCCAACAATTAACATTTTTATGGTGCTGCCATGAAACCGAACATCTTATGCAATTATGCAACATACACAATTAACTTTTTTCTGAAATGTTAAAATTGGACTTGAAACATTTAAAAAAAAATAGAATCAAATATTTGTTGAAGTTGAAGGAAAAATTAGAGTGTGGGAATCACATTTTCAGCATTGTATTCTAGCAGACCAGATAATTAAACTAATATTTATACACAAATTATGTTAATGAAAGAATAAAAATGAAAACACTTACTCATCTCCATCTTCAACTTCTTCCTCATCATGAGTGACTCGATTCTGAGGGTGAGAAGATTGAGCGATTGGTTGTTCTTGGCTGTGGCGGAGAGACCTAGGATTCAAATGCGTTTATTATTCATAGATTCGAACCCCTCAATGCATTGCTCGCAAGAGTAAAAATTTTATTGTGTCATATTTTTCATGTTTCCTTGCTGATATAAATTAATTGAACATTGGTCTCGGAAAGCAAGGGAACATTAGAATCAGACAATACAAAATTCCTACATAGCGCAATAAAATTTTAGGAGGCAAATACCCCAGGGGGAGTACAGGGTTACACAAGCACTTAGCTTCTCATGTGCCAAAGACAGACAAACCTTAAATGTTCAACTTCACTAGAAGATGATTCAACTTCGTCCATCAATGTATTCAATCGAGCCTGAAAAAAAAAGAAATAAATTTAGTCAATCAGTTCCAATTAACAATCCTGAAAATCTAACAGTAATATTTAATGAAACTAATAGTTTTCTAAAGGCCTTGCCAGAAAATAATATCACAATTCTAAATATGAATGGATTATTATTGGGTTCTTGCTCAGACAAACCTGTAATTGTTGTATCCTTTTTTATCTCTTCATTCTTCTTTACATCAAAATTTTGAACTTTTTCATCGAGCTGTAAATGAGAAATAGAAAACTTTTTTGTACTAAAACTGGATTCAAAAATATATTTTTATTATTATGCAAATCACAAGAGTCCTGCTGAACCCTAACACAAATGTGTCTCTGTGACCCTCAACGCATAGCATAGTAATTTTTAATCTTGCAACAGCATCCTTGAATTATATGCATACGAATCCACTAAGGAAATAGTATAAAGAAAGGTACGGTAGATAGTTTTGCTGTATGTTTTGTTTATTTTCTTTATGTTGTAATTTTATCAACTAACTATAACAAGTATTAATTTATTAAACAGTCAAGTACAATATTTATTCTTAAGAATGCCAAAAATCTACATGCATGAAATTTTGGATCCATGGTGTATTCAAATTTTGGATACTTACTGGATACTTATGTTAAGTATGCTACCTTTTTCAAATCATGGGCTCTCAGTAATAGGGCAGAAGATCTCATTTTCATATCAATACATGATTTATAATCTTTATTCAATGATTCCACATTGCTCGATGCATCTTTGATATATTCTCTAATGCTTTTCTCGGCAGCATCGATCTGCAATGAAAAAAATATTCCAATCAAACATGAATTCTACTTGGCCAGCTTAAAGTTCAAAATATTTATCATATAAGTCAATATATAAATGTTGATGATTTTGAACACAATAAAAAATATTCCATAGAGTATGAATTTTTTTAAATTGCATGCAGGCATAAGAAGGTTAGACTAATTCTATATAATTTGCCAATGTTGAAACGGTAACAAAAAGCTTAGCATTAATAAAACAACTAGAACAATTGTGAATTTACCTCTTTTTTCAATTGATCCACCTCAATTTGTAACTGATGCAGTGGACCTTTCGCCTTTAAAGACATTTTGAATCAAAACTTAAATGACCTCTGCAAACAGTGTATGCACAAATGTCATAATACAGTAATAAAATCGAAAAACAAAATTGTTACACCAAGAAGACCAGTAGAACAATAATAGCATTGATCAAGCTTGTCCAAACTAAAAGCATCCTTATCAAGCAGCTGGCTATAAACCAAACAATGTGTCAATAACAAAATGCCATTTCATTGATTGTGATGCATGTACAACTGTATAAATTACTAATATAATGAAGTTGTTAAACCTTTTCTCGCCACAGATCATCAAAAGCATGGCAACTTACAGACTTGCGAACTTGAAATGAAGAATGCAAGAAATTTATATTATTTAGTTTTAATTTTAACATTTTTTTTCAACATATATTGATATATAAAATTTATAGTTTGAGTAATATAACATAATTTTATACAAGTAAACAGTGCATTTCAGTAATGGATTAGCTGTAGGCTATTGAAAGGAAAAGAATGCAATCATTACGAAATGAAAATTGAATTTTTAATTGTTTTTAAACTCGGTATTCTATTACAACATTATCAGCATATATACAGATATGGTTTATTGATTAATTTAATGTTGATTTTAACCAATAACTCAGCGCATCGGTGATAATGCAAACAAAACGGAAGATATTAGCATCAAATTATTAACCGATAATATTATTTTGATTTCTTGATCAATACAAAAAAAAAAAACCTTACAACCAGATTATTCAGTCATTGCACAGCCAGACAGCTGCCTATGGCTCTAATAACAGCTTCTGATCCCAGTACTGAGTGATACCAAAGTAGGACAATAACAGAAGATGAATATCTAACTTATATTAAAAACAAATTGAATGTGTGTCAATGCAGCAATATGTACAAATTTATGATATAATTGTCTATAATTTTACTCTTATTCCATAATCTTATAATCCAGTAATCACAAGTCTGTGTGCTTGTGTGTCATGTCAGTACAGCAGTACTGCAATAAGTCTGTAAGTCAAATGCAGGAATGGATAACACTGTAACATGTCGTTGAATGTTTGTTTGTAGTTTTCTTTAATGAACCATCATCCGCAAAAGACTTGCCGTTAGTTTTTCAATTCTCTTTACATCTTGTGAATGTTCTGTTTCATACTGCAATCTGACTTGATCATCAGTGACCGTCAACACCAATTTACCATCACAATGTCTATATTTAATATTGTATCTTACATTATAAGGATCGCTCTGATAAAGTCTTTCAGCAGCTTTTGAAAATTCTTCCCAAGATTCAATTTTAGTCATAATACTGGATAAAATTTGAGAAAATGAGAGCAAGTGCGCACACAAACATCCGAACGTAGACAATGCCAAAACAAATGATGAAAATTGCAGTAAAAACAAATGCCATATAGCCTTGGTGTGGAGAGAGACAAAATTATTATTTATTTTTTTCACTTTGAATTCAAAACGATATGAATCTCCATGCTTTCAAAATTGGAAAATGTTGAAATCAAGAATAATTTTAATAATAGATCATATTAAAATAAAGTTTACAACTGTAATAAATAAAGATAACTTATTTATTCATATTTTATCATGTATGACTCCTCACACCCCATAACGTCTCGTATACTGTAGTTGACTGTAGTTGTTACAGCGATTTCAAACTTGTATGAAAACTATTCATTGAGATGTATGGACCTTTCCCCGACCTTTGACCCCCAGAAAATTTCTTCCTATACTCAACCATGTCAAAAATTTGAAGCTTATTTTAAGAGTGGTTTTTTGAGTTGGCGTCTGTAAAATGGGGCATATGTTTCAAACCATTATTATGATTCATCGCATACAACAATCTGTTTTTTAAAACTACCGGTAAAGAATTTTAGCCTAGTCCATCACAGCTATTTCTACACTAAATTTTTATTACTGCGATCAAATTAAAACTCCTAGGAAGACAGAGTGATCATTGAGTTATCTGATATATATTCAAATTTCCGAAACACAATTGAAAAGTAACGAATAGAGTTCAAAAACGCGAAAACGAGGTAATGTTTACGACCACGCCTGAGAATCTGTCTGAGTGAGAAGAGTGTCTGAGCGGGTGCGAAAAGGGAGCATTGTTACGTCACTTTTTGCACCTTGCTGATTGGCCAATGTCACAAAGTGAACAAGAAAGTCGATGCTCGGGGAAAGGTCCTACTATGAAACAATCGATAAAAAGACGGTTTTATCTTATGGCGAACCACGGCCCCTCGTCTGTTAATCAGTCCACGTAGGGCAGGGATCGGCAACCCCTTGCAGATTTTCCATGGCACGCCAAGTGAATTGGGGCGCACACACACGTATGCTTCCAATACTTGACATTTTTGTTAACTTTATCCGAAGTTTAAGAGAAAGCCTGAAAAGGTATGCAATTAACCGGGGCAACTTAGTATTACATAATGAAAAGTTGAATATTATGCCATAGTTAAATTAGTGAAATTATGTTACGTGAATATGTTATACATTTGTAATATCAATTGATATGATTGCCTTGGTTTTTATTTTTATGAAATCAATGAAAGATTTGAACTTGAAGCGAAGTTTATTCATAGTCCCCATCGCAACCGACTTACGGAAGCATGTGTTCAAATGAAAGAGTTCAAATATAGTTCCGATATTACAGAGTTGAGCAAGGAAAAGCAGGAACAAGGTTCTCATTAAAAGCAAGTCTTGTGATTGTACTGGACGTTATCTAATAAAATTTATAAAATAAATTTATCTTCCCTCCGCTTACTATTCAAATCGGTAATCGGGACCGTACATTTGAACCCACGTACATACGAATCCATACATTTGCACCCGTATATCCGCGGGTTCAATCTATATGAAGGTGCTAAAATCCATGGGTTAGTGTTAGTATGGGTTCAAATATCCGTAAAAAAATCTCCATAGGTGCAATAAGTATGCAGGTGCGATTGACGTGGGTTCGTTCAAATGTACGTGAGTTCAAATGTAATAGAACCATTCAAATCAGGTAGCTGACTATGCAAACCAAACAAATAGAAATGTTCAGTTACCCAGGTATTTTTGAATTTGTTTTTAGATGCACAAACTTGATCTAAGTCAATAATTACCGGTTATTGAGTAGGGCTGGGCATATAATCGCATATTCAACTATTAGAATAGCAATTTACTATACGAGAATTTGGTAACACGTGACGCGACAGGTCACTTGCGAGTCGCTTTATCAAAAGATTGGATTTCACAACTCTCTTGCGGATCTTCGACGAAAACAAGAGTCTGTAAACGCTTCGATAAATACGTAATGAGTGTTTCTCACGAGTTCGAACAACGAGGAATGAATTTTTTTTTTCTGGTAGGTGTAAATGGTGGCAACGCAAATTTTCTAAATTGAAAAGTGGTCCGCGACCGATTATTAACGCTTTTTTAGACATTGCAAATCGCAAAATTTAATCAAAAAATTAATCGGGCACTTTAACACGCATTTTGGTGTCCACGGATCGTCATGGTATTTTCTGAGTAGTATTGCTCTTATTTAGTCAACACAACCACAGATTAAAAGGATCACACATATGGATTGAATATGTTATGCAACAGAAAAAATCATTGAAAAGTCGGCTCTTTCAACGAGTGACTAGGGCTGGGCATTTTCGAATACCTGATGATTTCAGAATCGAATCAAATATTTTTTTCGAATCGAATCTCGAATACTTGGGAGATTTAAAATTGTATTCGACTTTCTTATTGTATTAGATCCTCCAGACACATAGCTCACTACAGAAAATAGTCATATGTCAGAATTGCGTTGAAAAAATATGGCTTCAATGAAAAAAATTGAGGAATTTACCTCGACCATCCGCGAAAAGATAAAAAAAAACAAGATGGCGGCGATTCGAAATTTTTCCCTGAACCGATTCGAATAATTTACTATTCGATTCGAATATTCGATTCGAAATGCCCAGCCCTACGAATGACGTATACGCGACGATTCCTTCAGAAGTTGTTCGCAAGAATTTTAAGGCGATGAATATGTATTTTTGATTTACTAATATATATACTTTAAATATATTTTTTATAAATACTAAATTAGGTTGTACATTCTGAAAATTTATAGCAGATTGTAGGATTTTTTCTAACGGCGATAACAAATTCGCAAGATCGATAAAAATATGTATCAAAGCCGAATTTAATCGGGCAATATATTCTCTCATTATTATGTTCGAAGACGACCGCGGAATTTCAAAGAGATGATGCTTACATCTTGTCGTAAGTCGACGCAAGTCACGCAATCGCGAGTTACCATGAACACAATTAAATTAAAATAGAAAAGACAATTCTCGTCGTTGTCGTGGATTGAATATTGTGCGACAGAAAAGTCCATTATACACAAAAAAGTTTTTTAACAAACGCGTAATTGCGGCGAATTTCCGATTTTGAAATTCGTTGAATTTCTGTTGTGTTTGGCTTTATTGCTTCTTCACACAGAGTATGGTTGCAATAAACGCACCTTGAGTCCGCAAAGGTTTTCGCCGATGAGAAAATAGTCTGCGACCAAAAAAGGTTAGGAAACGCTGATCTAATGAGATGAAATATTGTTACATGATGTATCTGAAGTGTCAAATGGTCAACAGTTACACAACATTCGACTGACAACTGAACGAGAGGACTCGGTTCACCATATATTTAGGTATTTTTATCTGCTTATCAACTCTTGTTGGGATGGCGCTTGTCATTGGTCGCGGTTCACCGTACTATTGAGCCGTGTTGTAGCTTGTTACTTATCGATTTTAATCGGTAAGTATGTTGATATTTGTCTGTATTCATCATATCTCGTACCAGAAGCCTATTGATTTTGGGCGAATTTTGTCGTATTATTTATTCGCTTGGCGAAAAATGAAAATATAGCGAAATTTCGGATCTCCTAGGATTCATAAAAAATTTAGAAATAAATAAAAGTAATACCGTTCTAGCGAAATATACAATCTTCAACCCCTGTAAATTTTAAAGCAATTGGTCTATTAATGAATAAGAAAAGCGATCTTTTTTCATAACAACAAGAAGAAAAATACCAACAAGATCAAGAACAACATAATAGCGAGACGATCCATAAGTGCATTTCGTGTCCAATGTATAAATTAAATAACATTTTCCTGACAGTCGTTGTTTCTAACCTTACCTTATTACCTCAAATTGGCATTTTTACACATAAATCGTTTAAAGTAATAAGACGTTATCTATAATAAATTTCAGATCTTTTAGTCTCAATAAAACAAAATAAAAGTAGCCTGTAGGTCGCTGCTATGACCTGTGGGTATCGATGGTTGCTTTCCAGTTCAACAGAGACGCAATGGTCAGAAAACTTTAAGATGAAACATTCTTGGTTTGAACGACAGTAATACCATTTTGTTTTCTCCTAGTATATAGGCGGAATCCCCCATTATTATAGACCGAGTGACACATTTTCCGGAGTACAGAGAACGATAATGATGAGTGGAAATACCATTTTGGTGATTAAGAATTTCTTCTAAACCAAGTACCCTACCATGCAATTCTAATCTAACTCTTTGCCATACGATAGGAAAACACCAGGTGGTTTTTTCCCCTTTTAGTCGTTCACTGTATTGGTAGGCTACTCACTTGCAAAATTCCATCATTGCTTGACTCATATTTTTTCTTCGTATAACAATAGCAAGGTGTATTTACTCATATCCTTTTAAGGACCTCTCGAATGACGAAGATCGTGAAGCTAAGTTTCTTATGATTTATTGCTCATCATCGACCTATTTGGGTAATTGCAATGCTGCAAGAATAAGCTGCGGATAGCATATAAAAGTTAACAATGGAAAGGCGGACAATCAGTCAATATTAAACCAAGAACGTTCGCTATACCTGAAAAGAAGATTTGATTGGTCATGATGAACCAAAGAAGAAAATTAACCATGATATTTTTAGTTTATGCATTTGGTCTGCCGTTTAGCACTGTACAAGGTAGGCTTATATGTTGCTTTTTTGTTAACTTTCAAACGATAAATAGTGATATTTGAAGAGATTAAATATGAGCATATATATTAGTAAGTCAAATACGATAATTAATGATTTTGCACGTTTGATATTTCTCACGCTAGATAATTTAAAAAAAAATCTTCCTCGAGGTTCAGGCGCGCTCATTCATAAGATACTTTGCTATTTTGATAGATAATAAAAGTCATATATCTTGGAAACAGCTAATATTTTTGTTTAGAGAAAAATAACAAATGTAATTTACTGCATTTCAATCGGCTATTGAACTGACTTCCAATATGACTCGTCGTTTATGGTGGTATCAATTAACATTCGAACTAAATTACTTTATTTTTTATTATTAGTTGTGCGCCATTTTGATTTAGCCATTGTTACTTTTGATGAAACTGAAATCATTTCATGTTGACCAAGGCTATACATATTTTCGTTGACATTCATGACATGTGAGAAGCATTTAATTGCGTTCCAAATATTACTTGATCTGAAGTGATTTTTCACCAATGATGACTTGACGCTCCGAATTTTGACTAGAACTAAATAGTAAGGGAATAACATTTCACTGTATCATTTTTGTAGGTAGTTGCAGCGAATGTCCACCATTGTCCAGTTGCATCAATGATGTTTGTAAATGTAGAAAAAACTTCGTTTGGAAAAATCCTTTGAGGAAGTTGGAATGCGTTTACAGAAGAAAACCAAAACCCCGCTCATTTGGAGACGGGTTGTCACCTTCGAAAACAACCACACCACGAATGATATCAATGACGACTTCTGGAGAGAAATCGTTTGCTATGACAAAAGTCAACACTACACCCGGAAATACAACATTTATCAGCGCCTCAACAAAATCTCATTCAACTACAAATCATAATAAATCCAAAACGTTTGGATTTTGCATTCCGCCTTCACCTATGTGTATAGGAATAATTTTACTTATTCTAATTGCCGTTGCGATTTTGGTGGTTATTGGTGTAATATGCTACTGTAAGAAAAAGATGAAATCCACTTTTCAAGCTTTGCCTTAAACAACTATCATCCGAGCATAATCGGCGTTCAGCCTCGACCTTCTGAATTCCCGATCCATGCTCTCGTATAGGTAGACAAATCTGTACCAACTATATACAAACAAAATTTTAGAAAAGACTATGACAATTGTGTACAGTATTAACAAGGTCAATTTTAATTTGTGACCATATATTCTTCCCGTATTTTTTATTAAATAATTTGTTAAAATTTCTTTATTCGAGTGTTTTTTAATAAAAATTTAAAATGTTGTTTTTTAACTTTAATGGTACAATACTGAATTTAATAGGTGAGGTTTTAGAAGGTTGTGCTATTCTACGCTATATGAGAATTTTTGATGCTCCTGAAGTATGCGCACCAAGATGTCGAATAACCTGAACCCCAACCTGTACACAACCTGAGTTCAGGTTGTGCGTCATCTTGGTGCGCATACTTCAGGAGGTCCGAATTTTTATTCTTATATCAGCGACACAACGCTGCAAGACATATAATACCAAATATCATCGATGCTAGCTAAGTAAGTAGGTTACTTTGTTCACAAAATATATGCAAATCCAAATTTAAACTTATCTGATAAATATTTATATACCATCAAGATTCAAACGACCAAGAGCATGTTTCAGTTATTCTGATGTCCACGCATAAGTCTAGTAACGTGAGTAAAGTACTTTTAGACCGTAGGCAAAAAGTTTGAACTTGTAGTTTGCTGGATGCTTCTCACCTTTTTAGTCTGCTAGAGCAGTGGTTTCCAACCTTTCTACCCTGCTGGCGGACCGGCAAAAATTAAAATAACCGGAACAGAAAAGGATAACATATATTTGCGTAATATAATGCAATGTCGGGCACTCAATATGCTTCTAGACAAAACAGGCACACTTAAAAACATTTCACAAATAATGTGCCGGCCAAAAATGGGTGAAACGTAAAATAATACCATAAATTTGCGCAATGAAATGCAGTGCTGGGCACCCAATATGCCAAAGAAAGGCACACATAAAGCATCTCCCTTAAAAAACATGTACAAGTCAAATCATGTATAAACGCAATTAACTCTAGTGAGAATTTTGCTGCTGTTTCGTTTCCAATATTGGATTGCAAACGAGGCCTTTAAAGAAGCTTCTGCAACACGTAGCTCTGCAGCGGCGTGCAGCCGATTTCTCTGCTTCGTTTTATTTAAAGCCAGTGATGAGAATATTTTTTGTGCATAACGCATAAGTAACTGGTTGAAAATGCGGACAACAGTTTGATTGCTCGATTACTTAGTGATGTGTATTCGTTATCAAAAAATATATATATATATATACAAAATTGTGAGAGTGATTCTTATCTTAATGGAATATTATACTGTTCTTGACTGTTTTTTGGTTTAAACAAAGAAGTATGCATAACGTGTGTGGTCATATTAATCAGGAAAAGCATGCAGAAAAGAAAAAGAACGCGTGACGATTTTTAGGTTTCTGAATCTTGCGAGATTTGATGGAGCGTATTTGTGACGAGTCGGGGACGAAAAAGCGAAAAGTGTAATTATACGACGCCAAGATGTCGCAATATGACGTCGGAAGAGAAATTGCGTAATAAACCGACGCAACCTCATCTTCGGTAAATCGATTGAGACAACATAAAAACGAGAATATCGGTCGGAGACCGAAGACTTATCGATCGAAGGTTAGGGGATCCCCCAAAACAGCGCTCTTACTCCATAGTGACACCGTGAGTCCCATCACTAATTAATTAATAACTCGCTAATCATACGACATAATTCATCGAAAATCAATAGGCTTCTGATCCGAGCTATGATAAATACACATGCAAAATTTGGAGCAGATTCAACCTCGCTTTCATGAGATATCGCGTGCATCTAACAGACAGACAAACAAACAGACAAATACCTATCAATATACTTACCGATCTTAAGATCGATAAGTAACAACAAAACAATAAAATTTCTCGCGGACTGGCAAAAAAGCGCCGCGGACTGGCACCGGTCCACGGACAGGCGGTTGGGAACCACTGTGTTAGATTACCTGACAAATAACATCTTGTCTTGAAATATTGTCGACTGGTCCGCTATTGTCATAACCAATCTGACCAATGAACCGTATGACGTGATTGGCTTATAAACAGTTTTTATAGTATTATATAATTGATCACGAATCTTACAGAAATTGTCTTGCTTTCAACTAGTGGGCCGATGGATTTCGAATTTTCAGAATTAAAGAAAAGATGCTCTGAGCCGCTATTAAGCTGTTACTCTTTACTACTGTCAAAGTTTCTCCGTGTCCCACCCGATATTTCACCCCAAACTTTGCTATTCTCATATATATATATATATTAAACTATCACGTGTCATTCATTCTGTCATCTTTTCGACAAAGCCAGTGCTCAGCTATGTCTTTACTGTTACCCATGTAAGTTGCTACAGTGGTAAGACTTGATCTAAAGCTTTTGAATGAGCAGATGACCGATTCCGGAATTAGTCGCAATGAATACCGCAAATGCAGTGAGTCATCCGACTTTCGTGTCGTTTTATTTGGGGTTTGTTCTCACATTGCATATATAGTAACATGGCCGTTGGTATACCCAGGATCTCGCTTGGAACCATTGACTTTTAAAAATTGTGACGCCATAACTGCCCAATGTTCCTTTTTTGGTGTGCTAGTGGAAATAACAATAATGCAAGAAAACAAGCGCCTATGCTCAAATAAATGGACACGAAAGCCAAAACGATATATTTTACAATCATTTTTTCGAAAATCATATATGTAACTTACCAATACTTGTATCAGTGTAATGATACCCGGACTGTCTTAGCTTTTCCGGGTCCTGTGACGCTGATCTATTCTTCATGATTCAGATTCAACAACGTGAATTGAAATTGCGCAATTTTTAATGACGTCATGGCAAGCAAAAAATAATCCCATAAGGATCACACAATTTTGAAATAAATAAAATGATTTCTCTGGCTAAAAGTACAACTTTTTGCTGACTGTCCACAATATAGAACTTTAACTATCTTAGAACTTTTTTGAATGTATTGAAATAAGTACTTTTACTCGTGGTGTAAAACATATTATTTATCACTTGCAACGGGAATGTACAACAAAGTTGTCGTGCATATATGGCGTGCTGAGGCCCAGTAAAAATCTAATTGGTTTCTAGACTAAAAACGGAGAAATAATATTACTGACCATCCATATAACTATACGATAATTTTGGGCTAGGCGAAATTCAATTTGATTCCATTCGCAAAACGATCACCACGAGAATTATCGACGGCACGTTTGATGTCTCTTCCTATTTTGCATAGTTTTCAAAATCAAAAATTCGATCATTACAACAAGTTATACGTAGATGAAAGATTTGCTGCTGTATTTTTGTTACGATTAAAGAAAAGGCCGACAAATTTAAAATATGGTATATTTCTCGAAATAATGAATTTTGATTTGAAATTTACGTCAGCGGTACATTATAGGAAGTTTTGTGCTCATGATTTATAGTGACTTTAAAATTAAATTTCCAGTTTCAATAGCGTTGTCCATTATTCATAAATATTTAAATTTATTTATTGTTCAGCGAAGTTTTTTCACTGGTAGTCTTTGAGACTATGGTGTATTGTATAATAAATATAAACGTTTTAAATATAAAAGTTTTCGACTGTGCTGGGTATGATCCCATAAAATCAATTTAGGACGACTTGAAAGTGCTTAATCGCAACAGATAGTCACAGAAGCAGAAATTCAAAGTGATCCTTATTAAATTGCGGTCCTAAGTACTCAACGAGATCAAGTTCACATGCTATTTTAATCGTCATACATACAATTTGGAGCCAAAATAACATCGAGCACCTGGGGTACTTCCACATAGATTAACAACCTAATAGATATTTGATGTGCCGACAATCGGTCTGAAAGCAAAACTTTCAACGTATCGATTAGACACGTGCTTAAATACATTTGTGACGTAATAAACTTTTAGATGACACATATTTGAAATCTAACAATGTTCCAACAATAAACAAGCAATGTTTCAAGTTCATTATTAGTAGGATGGCGAGGTAGAATATGTGGATACATGAAATTGATTACCATAAAAGCGCGATGTAGATGGGTAAATGGCATCAATTTAAGTCAAATTTCATTCAAATGTAAACAAATACATATCATATTAAACAAAACTCGGATGGATTGAAAACTTGTACAAATCGCCATTGTCACAATTTAATAAATAATTTAATTTTCGCATCGCAATACTCCCCAATATTATATATACCAAAGCGTATTTGATTGGCGACAATTTGGCATTTGTTTCGCCGAAACATTGCATTATCTTTGCAAATACAGATTGTTATCCCCTGTTTTGTTGCGCGTCTGCAAAGTGCGAATACATTTTATATCCTGTTGACGGAATCATGGCAATCAAACTTGTGTCCTCGGATAATTAAATCTCAGAGGCTTAGTAAAAGTCGCCTGCTTAGTAAAATAATTATTTAAATCTGATGATATTCGAAAATAGAATAATATGATCGTAATGGCAATGAAGATCGAACACTGATAAAAAGTCGATACAATTCAACGTATGAGATTTGCAAATGAGGAATATTATGAGGAAACCTGTGTTAGCTTTACATAGGCCTCACATTTATCAACACAATTCCAATATTCCGAATAAAAGAAAAAGATAGTCAGAAACGTTTATTCCACATTGTTTGCAAGTTGCTGAAAGTAGTTTAGTGTCATATCAACATTATCATATTTACACTAGGTAGAGATAGAGATGTGAAATATTTCTTCATGTAAAAACCGTATATATTCAAAACAGACCGTAAGGACAAGTAAGGCTGGTTGTTAGGTACTTGGTGGTGGAGGTCGTAGCAGATAAACGGGTAACGTGAACCACATATATATTTCGCAATAACGAACCACATGAGAAAATAAATGACTTCAATTTCAATAAGTTCAACAAAACAAATATACGTATACGTAGCATGTTTACATTCATTACAGAGGGCAACTAATTTGGAAGGACTTGAATCGTCTTGGACGATAAGCACGATTGAAAAAATAATAACCTATGTATTTCACATATCAAATACACGATAGGATTCAAAGAATATATAGAACACAAAAAATTCAGCATTCGTTGTTGTAGTTATAACCCATTTGCCCAATCATTCCAATGTATGCCGAATGTATCGAACATAACGGAGTATCGAAGTCACTCAAAAGTGTCTGTTCTTATAATCACAAATATTTATTTTTCTCAAAACACTTTACAAAACTTGTTTCGGCAAATCGGAAGTTCTTTCCTAAAAATACCCTAGGCCAGAGGGGACCCTTTCTCGTAACTATTGACTAAGTAGCAAAATGTTAAACTCTACCACGATAATAACGTACGCTAAAGTCTTTCCCAAATCAACGAAGTGCTGTGGTCACACAGCGAACCAGCACAAACATGGCCAGTCCGATCGTAACCAATCTTTCGTGCAAACAAAGAAGGCAAATGAGCGGCTCTGACAGACTTCAAAGGCCGCTTATTTTCTTTTTCTCGTTTCTTTTGATCTAGCATTCCGCGGTCTCGCGGCCAGAGTAAACACGGCGGAAGGTTCGCGGAGCTCTCTCGTTCTATTTTGCCCCGACTGAGTAACTTTCGCCGGGTGTTAGAATGGTTTGTTCCCTTGGCAGGAACAGTAGGTTTTTAGGGAGATTTGACGATAACGTCGGGACGTTTTTATGAATATTATTCGCGCTCAGGATTGATAATACACACTTAGCCAGGAAGGATCAAAAATTTATCTACAGAATTTTTTTTTATTAAAAGTGGAAAGTGGACTTTGTATCCGCGAATTGTGGTGAGCAGGAATGTTGATCCATATAATATATTCCAATGTTATACTGAATTACAATAAACTACGGCATTTGTTGTAATTCAGTAATTAGGATATTTTGTATATATTTACATTCTCCCCACAGATAACCTCCAGTGTTTGATACGTTATCGGAAGAAGCATAGCAAACATTCAAGTTGTCCTTCAAATGTGCCAGTATACATTGCCAGGATATCGTTATCATTGTATTGCCAATTTGGCAAATAGCTTAGGTTGCAAATATTCGAAAAGTAAATCTGCGGTCAGTTCAAAAGACTGAAGTGTAGAGTTGTTAGTCGGTCGAGATACTTTGATGTTCATTCATCAAGTGGACCCTTGAAATGAACTCGTCAAACAGTGCTTAAATTAGGTTAATTTATTTCTGTTTCATTCTTTCATTAGAGCTAGGTTGACTGTTTGAACCAATCTGTAATCGAATCAGCGGATTTATATATGCTATATCGGATTTTATTCACAACTACTGTTGCTACTGAATGAATTTTTGTCTGATAAAATTCCGAAGGATAGACTGGCGGTGATGGGAGCGAAGCACAGTAAACCAAGGATACGTCGGGGCCAAAGTATGTAAAAAAACCTACCGTTAACTAGTACACAAAAGGCAACTGTTATTACAGTCCAAAGACTTTAATGTTACCATTAGAACTCAGTACTGTCTGTGTATGCTATCTGCCGTGAGTTTCAAGAATTCTAATAGGCAAAGGAAAACCTGAAAAAATGAGCTGTGAAGCTACAAATGTTGAAATGATGGCTATTTGAAAAAGAGCATTTCAACGTTTGGTATCGCAACGAGTGTCAAAATGCCACTACTCGTTTGAATTCGTTTCGTTTCCAAAGTTGTCTATGACTCTCAATCAGTTAACATAACATCGCATGTCACAATTTATCTAGCTGAGTTTCCGTAATCAAAATATTGTTTCCGTACACTGGAATGATCGCACCTTAGTTCAAATCGACCTTTAACTCGATGCCTCAAGGGGTAAACATATTTGCCTAACTAATATTATATAACAGACGACCAACGGCGAGTGCACGGAGAAGTAGTTTCCGATTGGCTAACGAAGAATCAATCAAAACATTTCTGTAGCCTATTATAATTCGCGTTTGGAAGCTTAATGCTAAGTAAATCCAACGCTCGTACTGGAGATAATATTTTGCATCCTGATCTTTTTCGGGAGTTTCTGTACTTTTCTACGCTAAGTTGTGTTGATTTAATGATTTTCTCTAAAGGACATCAAACCTGGAACATTCTATTGAAATAAATTGAATAAAATACAATTGAAAATTATGTCTCGCAGTGTAACCTGCCTATAGTTAGCAGCAATTCCCACGGTCTCTGTAATTTAATGTACAGTCATAATATTGCAGTTGGCAGCAAAATAAATTATCAATTCTAAAGGTGCCTATTAATTCCCATTTTTTTTTAAAATATAACAAATATATAGTAGTAACATTACAATAATATGAAGTTGGATGAATTATGAATGTTAATTTTAAACAAATATTTCCCATCCCTACATATTTTTGATAAAAATCTGTCATTGTAAGACAACTTTTTTTTACTTCAAGTTAAATTTATTTTTATGGCTTTCGGGTCTCGCCTGAGAATGCTGCTATTGAAAGAGTTATTTCTACTCATCATTTCACTGATTGCACCTATTATCCATCCATAAACGGAAGAATCAATGTTTTTGTATTTTCTCTTCAGATATTTTGATATAAATCACTCATCTTTTTTACAGGGTTTCCAAGCGTTCGAAAGAGACAGGCCCCAGAAGGTAAGAATTACTTCACAATTTATAAAACTTAGCATGGTTCAAAGATCCAGCGTTTTCGTATTAAGGACTAGTCGGTAATGCAACAATTATTAGGTGAAACTGTGTTATTCCATCATATGCCTTGCCTGGTGGTGGGTACACAAGTCTTAAACAAAAAAGGCGTTGTTGAGTATTGAAAATGCGCTTGGTTTACGACAATGATGTAGTTTTACGACATCAATATTGATATAGAGCAATATTCACTATTTAACAGCAATACGTTTATTGGGCTATTATTCCCCATAGATAAAGCACGCCGACAACCCGCGATTTTATAATACTGAAACCGTTTTTGAAGTTTATTGCCAATTTCACAAAATCTTCTAAGTGCATTACATCTATGTTTACCCACTTCCCCAACTGTTTTTCAACGGTACTCGGTACGCTTCAAGAAGTATCGATCATTTATGACCAATCAGTGCTACGCATTCTTCATGCTACTAACTATAATTTAGGTAAAAGTGTAAATAATTTTGATAGAATCCGGGGAAAACATAGTAGCAAAACATATAAAAAAAAGTTTTAGTGTTTTGGAGCAAACCTTTTTTTCTAGTTATCGGGTATTTGACTACACCATAATAATACAATAATTTGAGATAATTTATTGATGTTCGAAAATAGTATGTTGAAGAATTTTAAAGATTTTATTTTAGTGCAAAATAGACCCGTTTAAATTATTTAATATCGAAAATAAATGGAAAACTGGATTATAGTGTCAACTATTCGGATGTAGACAACTTTAACTAGAAAATCGGTATGGAAAATGTTTTTGACGAGCAATATGGTCAGATTCAAATAGAAACACCATCACATACTATCTGATTTATCACACATCTATGAGATAATAACAATTATTTTGTTCTCGTTAATGAAGCTTAGTTTTGTTAAAATTATTAGACGTGGCGCTATCGCTATACCCGACACGATTTTGACCGTAAACACTAAACAGTGTCGGCCCCTTTTCATGTCTTTTGTTGATCCTAGCGGTTTTGTCTTCGCAGTAAATGTAAACTCAATGAGGTCTGTGTGTTCGCACGAAGAGGGACTTTGGCCAGAACCATTGAATGGTCGAGCAAGGTAACCGGATAGCGATTAGTTTTGTGTATAGGCAATGCGCGCGCGATTCCAAAACATTCGATCTATAAGTCTTGATTGTACGGACCGGGTATTGTATATTTCGCCAATTACGATTCCAATTTCCAACACTTTATCCATATACGAACTATATATAAAAAAGCAGTTCATATATGGTACTTACATGTAAGAATGACTCACAACATAATATTACGTAGTTTCAATTTTCCCGACTTCAAACGCTGATGCGTGCCGGGTATTATTTTTCTACCCTATGATTATATCATCTCGCAATAGATTGTGTGGATTCATATAAACAAACCGTCGAAAATGAGAAAGGATATTTAATACACACAAAACATCAGTGGATACACTTTGCTAGACAATTTAATTCAATGTAATTAGTTTAATCCGATACGAACCCCCATGAAGAAAACCAAAAAACCTCTTGTCGGACGACCACTTCCGCGCATTTATGTTATTATCATAACTAATTGTCCAATTAGAATCGATCTTGTCGTTTTACAGTATAATTTTCACACTGTTATATTAATTCGGTAGTTCAATGATTGCGGTTCAAAGAAATGTATTGGGTCTATGCTCATATTAACTAACCTTGTTATAAAAGTAGTATTGTCTGGGCCCCAAGCGTTGGAGTTCAGGTGAGAAGTTCCCCGAGCTCAACACACAAAATGTACTATTAATAAATAAGTATTCCATGATATTTGGATGGTTTCTGGCATGAAATTTTTATACTAAATGGCATTGTAATTTGTAAATGAAAGTACTGTATCGTTGTGTCTGACTAGATAACCCTAGTAACTCTGCGGAATCTGACATATTATTTATTTGAATTTTTTTGTTTGGACCTGGGTGAAATTTTCTAATTAATAAAATGTCACCATGTCTAGCAACAAGACAGCCGTGTTTTTTTAAATTCAACCCCAAACTCGACCCCACCATCCAACTGAAAATCGAATTCGTTAGGTACCAGCATTTTCTTTGTCGCTTGGGTAAGGCTATAAACTTGCATACTCACAATGTTGTGAACTTACTATGTGGCTAGCTTTGTATTATATAATGATTTGTTCTATTTGACTAAAAAGGCAATAATAAAACCTATAAATTTTTTGTAGGATCGAACGATCCCCCAACTATAACAAGTGAAACATGGAAGAACGGAAATAATAAAATTGGATCTGGGTTTCATGATACAACCCATGATAACCAGGAGAAATGCCTGTATTGTGGAATTACAGAAAAACATTGCAATGAAAGTGACCAAAGGGAGATTTGTCATAAGGTAGTTACATTTTTACATGCTTTAGGAGAAGTGCTTTTCTTCTCGAAATTATTTGTTGTTCGGAAAACGTTTTTCAGGAATCCAGATTTTTAATATCTTGACGTTTCTCTATTAAAATTTGACAATTCTGAATTCCAAATAATATTATAAAATGTCAAAAATTGAAATTAATATTAATAGCCAAGATTTATTTATTATGAGGTGCCACTGCTACTGAGAAATGAAGGGGACACTAATTTGTATAACTTTCCTAAACTTGAGACGCGACTCCAGTAATTAGAAATTTCATCTGAAGGTTTGATTCGGTGGACGTTAGCCGCCATCTGCAAAATGATATTATAGTAGTGTAATTGATAGAATATCTGTCTAGAAATTGCGTCCGTTTGCTGCCTCTGTATGGTTAACAAAACCCTAGTCGTCGTCACATTAACCCTTGGCTCGTCGGATTTTTCCCCATAATATTGTGAGTGGGCTATGACTGGTATCAAAGTTAGATGTATGTTTGCGCTCATCTTGTTAGCAATAGTGTACATACCAGAATTACGACTGTGTAACACGGCAATTGGACCGTTTAAAGTAGTGAATGTATTCAGGGTTAATCTCCGAAAACCTATCGCGGAAACTCGAGCTTTTGGAGTTAGTAGATCACCCCTTCTTAGTCTTTCAATTTCTTCGAATCACATCGTAGGATTCGATTTCAAAGATTCCGCCGACTGTCATCACACTAACCCATTGTCCACTTATCGGACTCGAATATAGTATATATACATCGGCCAGTTTCATCATACCTTGCTTGGACAACTAATTTTAGTTTAGTACCGCTGGTGAATCTTTTTTCAAATGGTGCTTTGGTGCTCATTGTGTCGGTTTCCTATAAAATATACCAATTCCTATTCATCTCGTTTCCATTGAGCAATATGTGACAAAATCACACATTTATTTCGTCGTCTAGTGTTTTATCCCGCTCAATAAATTGGTAGCCTTTCTACTAGCTGGTTGACTGTAGTGTACAATTAATTTTTTCATCAGGCTGTGTGATACCTTTTACCTAGTACTGTAGTACATGTCTATCATGTTCAGGCATTTTCACCAAACAACCCGAAGACATTTGAATCGTAATAAGCAAGCCCAATAATATACTGTACTTTACTTTCAAATTCAATGTCGATTTGTATTCTGCGACCAAGAATTTTACTATGTTTTATCCAGCTCAATGCGATATAGAACCTTCAGATTGTTTTGGTAGTTATTCTGAAAAAAAATTTTATCATTTATTTTGGGTTGTTTTTGATACACACACGCAAATATGAAAATAATGAGGAAAAGTTTCAAACCAACTTGCGTCGGAATTAGCATTTTTGAAATTTATCAAAGCGAAATTGCGCATACTTTGTGTTATGAGTCCTCTAATAACGTCTGCAATTTACACTTGAGAACATGCTGTAATATGTGTAATACCATCTAGCGTTTGATCTTCGCAGTATAAAATTGACTTTGATATATCCTCACGTTTGAAGTGAGAGTTGAAATGTCTGAAAGACCGAAATCTTCTTCAAGGGCAATCATGCGTACCGGGAGAGGCGGGTTGAATCGTTTACCGCCTTCGAAGGATTTCAAGTTTGGCGTTGACCGTGACGTATACACTTGACGTTGTTTTTATTGCCACTTTCGGAAACGGGTGATTCAATTGACCAATCGTTTTAGTTGTTTTTTGAAAAGATAGTGTTCATAGGTTTTATATATAACAGTACTACTATGCAAGAATAGAAGTTCCGGTACTTCCGTAGTGTGTGTACCAGGTTAGGGTCAGGCCATAATTTTATTCCGATTTTCCTTATTTTAGTTCTATAACGAGTTCGGGAACTGTCTGTGTTAGCCAAGTGAATATGCATACCCTCTGCCCATATGCTTCCGTCCCTTTACACAATTTGATGTAATATAGACAAACAAAATTAGTTACCTCCATGATGGTACACACATTTTTGCGCCGAAATTCCCGATATAGATACGATTTCAATATATGCTTTGCGCATTAACTACATAAATAGAAACAATGTCATAATCGAAAATTAAAAGTAGTACAACATCGATTACACCTGTACCTCTACATATAATAGTAGATATAGATAGCATCAATATTTTACCAATTTATCTATATAGCACGATGAAGGTTCGCAAACATACTGATACTAATAAATAAGTCTTTTCATTGAAGTTTGAATATACAATTCCGACAACTATCAGTCAATGTAATTATTTAATTACAACACAAATGAGGTCTAATTATGTCGTTTTCTATGAGTGAGTTACACTACATTCAGGTGGTAGTAGGAAGTCTTTTGTGAATAACATTTTGCTTGTTCAAATGTTTGCCTTGCAATGTTTGATTCAAGCATGAAACAGCCATATATATTTTTCTCTCGCTGTGAGAGTATGATTCAGTTAGACTTTTAAATGATGACAAACATAACACGGACCGCGACTTGCTTCAATTGTATTTACACGTCCGGGGATTAGGGTGCCTAGCTATTGTGAAATGATATCATTTGTCTGAATGAAGAAGTTAGCGGAGTGTCGGTAAATGATGAAATAGGTCTGACAAACGTAAATAATAAAAAATGACATATCACAGAATGAGGAAAAAAAAATATAAGAACATTATAATGATTTTATCGTGAAATATTACTCTTTTATGAACAAAAATGCGACATCCAAATTTTAAAAAATAACGAATAAATGTTTCATGTGTGGTCGATCTTCTCTTCAAATACATGACGCTTTTAGAATATGGGATCAAGTATATGGCAAAATGCTAATGATAGTTAAGACTGAAATTAAAAGTAATGTGGACCCAACACAACGTTTCTAATATGAAACAGTTAATAGGACAGACTTCAAACCGCGAGAAAGTATAGGGTTTCGTTTGTTCTGTGGGATTAGGGAATCAAAACCTCAAATCACCAAGATCCTACAAGGTATGTTTATCGCGGTGGGTGGGTGGTTACATTTGGCGCTAGAACGTGGTTTGTAGGCCATTGTTGTGTAACTTGTGTTAGCTGGTTCTAAACCACAAAAAATGCATCATGTTTTATGAATTGTCGTCGTCGTTATTTTTGAATTAAGAGTTTGATGCTGGATAGATATACCCAGCAATTGGGCGGCATAATATTTCGTAGTGACTCCCGACCAGATCTTAAATGGAAATTTGCGTACGGGCATGCACTAAAACAGCGCTATCCCTGTAACGTCCTGTTTGGGTGAACGTCACTCCCATCGATTGCGTGGCCCGCGTTTCGACGGCCACCTCGATCAGTTGTCTATTCTCAGACTACATATAACCATTCGAATATTTTTGAACTGGAATGACTCTTGTTCAAATCTTCGGACTGTCATGTTACTCTATCAGATGAATTCTTTTGAATGGGAGTGGCTGATAGCGTTTCATCTATACTGAAGTCAAATCAGATAAGTTTGAAATGCACGGATTTCATTCCACTTTATTTAATTACCTTCTAGTGAGCAATATTTGCTGTCATGGACATAGATAGTCGAATGTGAATAATCTTTAATACATCGACGAGTTATAAACGTGAGCGGAATTGTATAAAATCAATCTAAGACGCACTAGTCCCAATTCAAGCAGTTTCGTAAATTCAATGCATGTTTTATTGCATGCAAGTTTCACGTTTGGTCGATTACATTAGTACGATCGTAATAGGACTTTGACTTTTGCTATCTCGCAGTTGATGGACAATTTGATGTGAAGTCTCACCCCTTAGGGAAGCGATAAGGCGCCGAATGGTGTTATTACGCAATTACGCTGAGCGGGTAAATGCTGCAGGTTTATTTTCATTATGACCAACATCTTAATTCTACTTCTTCTTTGATAAAAACGAGTCACGATTTTCCCAAAAGTAAATTTCTGGATTTTTTTATCTATTTTGGCCACTGCGATGACATTTTACAAGACCTAATGCTTCCATCCAATTATAATGTTATATCAACATAATATAGTTAGGCAAAAATTATTAGTACAAGTATTGACGTTCTATGACTTGAGATTTATTGACATGTCATTGGATTTAAAAAGCAGGGTCAGTGTAAATTATTCAAATCTCCATACGCTTATGTCAAATTTATTGTAGTCTCAGTAGTTATAAATAATGGTATCTAATTCTGTGAATTTGTATTTTTTTGACAAAATTTCTTCTCGGTTATTCGTTTATTTATATTCTAATCATAATTGCAATCTAAAGCATTATTTTTCTTTCTGTCATAATTTGACGTCGAATACGATTGGCGGATAGATCGAAGAGTTTGAGACATACGTAGAAAAATTTAGAAGTTTCTCCCGCGAATCGCTACCACTAATGGGATGAATTATACAAAAACTATGGCATTGATTTTTTCATTCTTTATTTGGATAGCGCTAAGTACTTCGATATTTGATCATTTTTACCTATTTCAAATTAAACCGAGGTACTTTGAATGATTAACTATGTAATGAAGGCGAGTTTTACGAATTTTCTTTTATTATTGTGTTATTATTATGCTGAGGGGTGTAATAAAAAGTCTTAGAGATATTATTACTTTGGTGCTGAACAAAAATAGTTATTATGAATGAATCCCCAAACTAAGAATATTTCTATTTGAATCGACTTTGATATGACTATATACTATATTAATTTCAATGAATCAGCGAGGCATTCAATTTATTCAATTTCATTTTATAAAATATTCGTTCATCAAGTCTATAAGTGTTAAACAAAATTCTAATAATGAGACAAAAATATGATATGCTTTTTTTGCGATGGATGCATCAGAGAAAAAACATGTTTTAAGCCAAAGCCTTTTTAATAGCGTAGTACCACTCAAAATTATTGTACACAACAGTAGCATTCTTACTCTTGCCAAGTCTAAAGTGCTGTTAACCTCGTCCGGTCAAAAGCGCAAGATATAACATCGGTAAAATTGTTTTTGTTTATTTTTTCGATCGAAATGTGTGGAATATAGGACCACACGGTTGTGAAGGTCGCCCCGTGACATTGTGATAAATCAATTCGGACAAGGATCATCGGCAACACGATAGAGCTAAAAGGTTCACGCATATTCGGAGCTTAGCCCTCGGAGAAGAATTTTCCCGAAGAAGGAAGCACGGTTTTTAACTATAATTTTGCGACAGTGCCAAGGCTCTCTTGATTCTTCTACCATCAGTCATTGTCTTTTTATTATCATTATAGTAAATTGCAGAGTACAGGTTCTAAGTGAACCATGCTCTGCGGTACATTGTTTTTAAATTGTCATACTCAGAAAAATTCTAATGTAATTTTATGCGATTATGTGTATGAGTTTGTGCTCAATCGGGAAAATATATTTCCAACGGTCCATGTCTATAGAGATGAATATTCAACATAAAATAACGCTCGTTTTTATTTAAATCATAACTTCGACTTAGAGTCAGCGGGATCAATTTGACTCAAAATCCATTTACCGACGTGCGATGGCGATTACAAATAAGCGAGTAATAATTTGCCCATAGTAAGCTTTGTTCAACATAGGATGAAAGAGTCAATCAAAGCTCATTATCTTCCCGCGCACTGACACTTGATTCCCCTTCGGTAAGTAGACCGCGTTGAACCGCTTCCGTGCAGCATTCCGCCATTTTTATTTTATGTTTTATTTTTATTTTATGGATATACTGTCAATACCAACAATATTTTAGCGTGGAGGCCTCGTGAGCTAAAACCCAACTTTTTTTTTCAAAATTAAAGTGTTATTGATTACTAGCCAGACTTGCAGTTATGTGGAATGAATTAATTACACCGTTCCAGTTTTAAAATGAAACCCCCAATTAAAGCGCTTATTGAATCACATAATATAAGACAACGTAATTATTATAATACCTTAATTTGAATTGTGCTATATATATAAATTTTTTTGGAAAGATTGTTCGATCGGTGAAAACAATTTCAGATCCTAAATTTTTTCTTCCTATTCGTATATGCATTGATAATACAGATACCCTATTATTATTATATAGAACTTTTATAATGGAGTTTAATCCCATAAAAGAACCTGAATAAAAATGTATTGTAAAGAAAAAAGAATAAGCTCTGTTGGCCACAAGCTCACAACCTTTTATTATTCGCGAGTTTAGGTATATGTACGTAGCACTATTTGACAGTATGGTTTCTTCTATTGAGAAAACCTTGAATAGGAAAGACTGCATGAATCCACTTTCTGCTATAGAACGTTATCGCGCTAATTCTGTCGAATTATTTTTTTGCGAAGATCCAGAAGATTGCGTAATCAAATTTTATTTACATCTTTCAAAATATCGTGACTCACCAATGAAATGCCTTCGGTAGATCAAGGTAAACGGAAGGTCCATTTACACGCTTACTTATATGCACTTACATATCGTTATATATACTGTACGAAATATGTGTAATATTACTATAAATTTGAAGGTAACATGAGTAATGCACCTGAAAACCATGAAAGAAGTATTTTTCACATTTAAGAATAGTTTCCGGTATTGTATCATAGGTAAATTGTAGTTGGCTGTCAACCACCTCGAGAGAGCAATATTGCAATTTTGTATCTGGTGATTTTAGACCTTCCAGTAACTTTACGGATTTTTTAAACTTGTATTTATTCGAAATTTCAAAATATTTCGATTGCACTCCTGTGCGCCTTTAGGCTAAAAAGCGGCGATTTTCACTAGTTTTTATTATTTACTAATTTTATTGAATTTTACTCTGGCCTTAGACCTTTTCGACTTCTTTGGTTAAGGATTATAGGATTACATGCTGCGCGGCCTCTTTGAACTTGAGATTTGGCAAAAGCAAGGAATTTTCTATCTTCTTTCATGCGGCTTTTCGTCTATGGCTCGCGAGAGGATCGTGACGCCTGTCAAAGAAAAGCATGTTTATTTTCAGTGCTGTATTTATATTAAGTTTTTGAATTTGGCAAAATTATTCATTTTGAAACATATTGTTATGATATACTGTTATAGTTTAACGATATTATGTATTAAATTTGATGAAAGATATTGAATATCAGAGTCGGCTATAATTATGATGACTTCATAACAATTTATATTCTTCCGACGTATTGTACAGTAACTTACTATGCCACAAATAGTTAAGCACAACCTAACCAACTGAATACAAAACAAAACGAATATTTTAATGCTATCATACATGATCAGCTATATGACCGATCAAAGAGCGATTTCGAGAAAGGCAGTGCATATAAATTCAACGATGTGTGTTTGAATTCAATATTTAAGACAATATACAGACATACCCCGATGATAATATCATTGTCCAAAGAGATGCGTATTGTACCCAAACTTCAAAAAGGTTTATTATAATATGTTCCGGCTAGATCAAAGAGCCTTATTCTATTGTGATATATATATAATACATTAGGTATGTTTATTTATTTTTTCTGGATTGAAATATAAAACCATCGGAAACATGAAAGGTTTTCTTCAACATATCCTACTGTCTTCTCCTATCGTCTCATAGCATATGATTTTTAATTGTGTTTGGCCTGCATTTAGCACCTGGCGTACGGTATTCCTTTGTACAATAGTATCTTTGCCTTTCAAGTTGATTGAACTGTGACCTGTGAATGATTCCTCTGTTTGAAAAAGTTAACGTCGGATTATGATTCGCGGTTTACGCATGGTCGAGAGATGACGTTAGATTTAGTATAGTTTGTTGAATTCAAAATCATTATTTCAACAACAGATGGTAGCAGCCAAACATTGGTTGGAACTCTTAATATAAGGATTTGGAGGTTCACTTTGTTGATATTTTTTGTTTTGGTAACTTGTTACTAAACCGGTCTATTGTTCACAGTACTAATATTATTGTTTATTATTATTATTATATAAAATTATTATTATTTTTCCGAATGTCCTGAGTACTAAATTGTATTTACAAGTATAGGTATAAATTACTGGCGCCGGAAAATGGAAATATTCCTTTTACATAGAGGGAATCGTCGTTTTCCAACCAATCGCTTCATCAAAAGTGTTTTCAATTAAAATAATTGATTGTACATTGTTCGCGAATACAGTGTTTGATTTGGTTTATATATTTACAGTACTTAAACGCACAACAATGCGCAGTGTGTCCAAAAAAATATTTTTTTTTTTCAATGTTGCATATTATACTTTAATGAAAAAAGTCCTTGTTCCTTATTTTATTTGTACATTAAACGAACCTTCAGACCGAGTTTACTCAACTAAGCCACACATGAAAATGCTTTGTTCTGGCCAATGTCTGCAAACCGGATACTTTATTGATAACGATTGTCCCGGTTTGATGACAATGTTTGTGCAAATATGAACGACACAATCTACTTCTTTCTTATACATGGTCTAATTAAACATGATCAGAAAATATACTTGTTTGACTGATTTTCAAGTTATTACCTCAGTTAACAAATAGTGCGATAAGAAAATTTGGTATTGGATCAAGTTACTGTCTGCTTATATATGATAGAGCTTGGGTAAAACATGGGATATATCACCACGGCGCGGTTCAGTTACGGTCCAAGTTTGATTATGAATAACTTACAGATTTGATAACGATTTTAGTGGATATCGCGATATTTTTTAACAATGTAGAATCAAACTAGCCGTCCTTTTGATAGCTTAACCCTTGTTTGCCGACGGCGACCTCTAATGCAAATATCAGACTTTGAACTGGCTCATAGAGATCGGTCTGGGTAAACTACGATAATATTGCATGGCTTAACGATGATAATTATTTGTGGTCTGGTAATAATTCAAAAAAAGGAAATTTCGAATCGACATATAATGTTAAAACGACCTTGGTGATGGGAAGCTCAACATTCCCGTACATATTAGAAAATTTACTTTTGGAGTAATTTCTCTAAATTAAACACAAAAGGCACGCGCCTTCCTTTGATCGTGACTTAACTTCCAACGCGGCCTATGATTTAGAAAACCGCTTGATCTATTTCCATACTTCGATCACAGATCCGGTAATTGTAGCTTTCCTACCTGTTAATTTGATTGTCATCTGTTGTCATGCCTATACGTATGTAAAACTCGGTTCAATAACTGTAGTTTTGTGTTAATTCATTCGAATAAAATACATGGTCCATTATCACCTTTAAAACTGTGTATACTGATATCAAATACTTCGTAAACATCGCAGAACATCGAAGTATTTGCGCATGAACTACTGGATATCGACCGATGCTATTCATGCTCCATAAAAACTAAGTTATGTTATTAATATTGAATCATGTTTGTGTTTTTTCAAGATATCGTTTTATATTAATGCATTTCAAATCTCAAACCAAATTTTCTGTGATTTTGGTAATTGTTAAGAAACAAAATAGAATTTCGCTATAATATATTAAGTATCTATTATTGTTAATTTCAGGCAAATGGAAACGCAATAGAAAGCCGATGTGGATTTTCATCTTATCCGACAGAAAAGTCTTTATTTCATAATAAATTCATGCACCAGACCAATTTGAAAGGTAAGAGTGATTACCGGTAATTTAGATATTTTGAAATAATTACAACGTCACTTTTATCTTCTGTATTTTGTGCTCTCATTTGTAACATTATTTTTTGTCAAATTAGTTGCATGTTTCGTTATGTTGGAATAGAAGTAAAATAATGTGAAACTTTGGAACTCGGAGTTAATAGCAGTTAGTTCTATATGAAAAGTTTATAAAAGCAACTTTGGCACCTTTTCCTACTGTTCATGTGTTTATGGATCTTTAGCCACTTTGATCCTATAGTCATGCTTCAATCTACTGGCTTTAGGCCACATGTTAAGTTATGGAAATGCATACCAAGTGTGAATTGCGTGATTCCGCTGCCTCCCGCACTTATATTATAAATAACAAACAGTACCACCTTTCCGCAGCATTCCTCTCTCTGTGCAATGGACAATCATGGATACGTGACAATAGCGCCTTTTCGGTGTTGACTTTTTGTGACTGTCGCACTTGTTGTCGTTAACCTTGGATACGGATCGCTGACATTAAGAATAATAAAGCTTCCTCTCGATCCAATAATGTGATATGTACCAACATTGTAAAAACACAGCAATTTTTGATAAAGAATGCTCGATACTTAATCCACAAAGAAATCGGCCGAAACATATCTTTGATGTTCTTACTTTTTGGGTTTTTACTAACCTCTGTTAGTAGATAATTGAATAGCAAAACCAATGCTTAAAATCATCTTGAATTGGTTGAGATTTGCAATACCATTTATTAAAAATAATTGAAATTTTAATGGTCAACGGTCTGAGGATATTGTGATAGGAGTTGTTTTCGTCCAAATGATTATAAAAAAGAAATCTGATTTTTATTTTCATACGATTTTTTTTTTTCAATTTGGCTACTATTCATATTAATAGTTTCTCGTCTGTGTATTCAGGAAAAAATATCTACCAAATTTAAATTCAGCATGTTGCTGCTAAAGATATTTTGTATGGTTTGAAAATATTACAGCTTAGACAAGAATTTAATTGCGTATTTTCAAGTATATACGCGAATAACATTTAGCTCTGACCACAATTCAATATAAATGCAATGTATTGAATCATTTTGTCTTTTATGTGGTGGTAAGTTACTTTGGCAATCTCGATGAAATATTGTAAAGATACTGATTCGATTACGATATTAGATGTTAAGTATATTTAAAGTAAATTACTCGGATCATGCTTGATTAAACTAGATATTAAACTAGATACCATTACGTTGAGCCCGCGGATGTATTACGTCATTTGATCAAACTCTCAAATGTATGTCATTAAACTGCATTTATATCTGAGCATGTTGTAAATTCATAATATGCGGTAATTTCAAAGAACCGCGCAATGTGCTTCTCGACCACCGAACATTGCTCATTGACTGTACTCCCAAGGCTCGATTAGAAAACACTTGCCTATCTTATAGCTAACCAAGTATGTCTCCTAATTAAATTAAGCACCAGCAAAATCTTAACTGTTGGATATTTAGGAAAATGACAACGTTTTGGAACTACCATTGCCTAAGCGTTATTTACTACAGCCTAGCCCTAGTTTTTAGAGATTGAGTATATTTTAACGTCAGTCCTGTTTATTTATTCAAATATTTCGTCAAATAAGGAAATCATTCGAATCATTTTAAAATCTGTAAGAACTTTTTGAATGTGTAATGTACCGAGTATTTTTTTAACCTTGGTTGGACCGATCTACCCCACGATAAGAGAAAATTGCGTCACTGATGTTTAGAATACACTTCCTTCTTGCAATATAGATTTCTCGGAAACCTTTCTTCTAAATATGGAGTTATTTCATCATAGCCCACTAATGAGATTCGATTTTAAGTTTTTCTGGGAACAAGCACCCAGAATTGATGACGTCTCCGCTTGAAGAGTCTTGTTTCCATATTTGGTAGATACAGGCATTGTTTACTAATATTCGTCAAGTGTGTGCCACATATCCACGTTTATTTTCCAAACATGATGGAATAATGTTATTGTGATGCCAACTCAACTGGGATAAACGTCATATTTGCGGGTAGCAACCTTGAGACGGTTTTTACTTACATGTGTTTGCAACAGCCGTTTGTCAACGCCACATAAAGGAAGGATGCTGACTGTAAATGCGATAACGCTAATTGCTGTTTTTCGATGCATGAAAGGTTTGGTATTAACTTCAAATATTGGTTAAAATAACATTCAGGTTGCTTCGCCTTGTAAATGTCATATGTGGGCAAATAGCACCCTTCGCTGCGAAGCAACGAATTGCACATATATATCTCTTTTAATTAACACTTGAATTCTTCGGATTAGAATTGTCAATTGAAGTGTTGTAAAATTTTCTGGAAATGGAAGTTTCAAATATGTTTCAATGTTATAGCATTTTGCATCTCTCAAGTATAAATGAAATCCGACGAGTTTGCTTGTTTGCAATTTTTATATGGCCGGAATTGATTCCATGTCCTTACTGAGTTGATTGAAGTTTAACGTGGTCCGTGTAATTCTTTTGCGTCATATTGCGCTTATTTTGATCCTTTGCGACCAAACAATTCAATGAAAGTCGTCTAAATCCTACATTTCGTTGTCCAATCCGAGACAAGTGAACCATTGACGCTTTAAACGTTATCATGTGTGGATTATGTGAATTTTTAAAATATAGTGGCCATTTTGATGCAAAGTGTAGGCAACACATATGTGTTTTAGATGTATAGTTGTAAACAACGGTCTGATTGGTGTATCGATAGGTGAATTCTGAAACAGGAAAACAAAAAGCTTAGGATCAGTTACTAAATATCCGAAAAAAATTTGTGAGACTGTAAATGGTGTCTCATTGAATCTGTCTGGTTGAATCTATTTCCGAATGGGCGATACGATCAACTTTCTAAGCGATAGACTTCAAAGAAACCGCAATTAACAAAGACAAATGACCAAATACCAAGTTATATGTGCTAGCGCTGTACAGCAGTTCATGCATGGGATACTGATGGAGATACAGAATATTTATTTTTCAAAAAATGACAGAAGCGTCCTGTATATATATGTCCCTAATATATGCTGAAACTAATATGATGCAATATGATCCTTGAAACTCTAATACCACATTGATGATGTCCAGAAGTAACAGGGATTAGGTGCTTAAAAACATATCGATCTTCTTTTTATACAATTAAAAATAAATCAACCTATGTGGGATATTGTGTGTACGGAAGTTGGGGCAGATTTAAAAAACTAGCGGAAACAATCCAGCTCATTTTTCATGTACGCTTCATTGATTTATTATGTGTGTTTGTCAACTGTATACAAGGATTTCCACATCCAGTAGAAAAGTTTTGAATTGTCTCTTTTGTATGCTCTATTGTCTCTTTTATATGCTTCAATTTACCCACCTATATCGAGATATATATGGACATTTAGGAAGAAAATTAAGCATGTATCATGATTTAATAATTTTAGATTGAATTAAATTTTGAACATTCGTGAACTAAATGACGTAATCAAAGAGATTCTATCTAGTGCGTCAGGCCATCCAGATATAATTCTTATATGCAGCCCCTAAATATATATTAATTAAATTTTTTTTTGCAGTTGATCTCCCTAATACTCCTGCGCGATATCGGAGTTGTGATGGTGCTGAAAAGTGTAAAAGTCTTCCATCAAAAGTTCCTTCGGGTCTTCAAGAAAATACTAACCAAATGGTATGTTGAATATTCGTCAAATAATTTTTTCTTCTCAAACGAAACTCCAGAACGAGATCTGGAATTGATTAGAATGTTATTGTGTAACATATGGCGCACATTTGGATTTATTTTGAGCCCCGAAAACTCGGTCTTTTAATCTCGGCAAGCTTATTTGTTCTTTTGCTTGAATTTTGAACAAAACGTGGTATGAATATCACTTGAAAAATGGAATATTTATTCAAACATTACACGTACATTAAATTTCTTTATTCACGTTTGACTAAAATAAATGCTGATATAAGTTATAAAACTAAATTTTAAGAAAAATTGGTATTTTCTCATTATTTGGCCAGTTTTATTATTAAATGTACTCAAGTATGTAAGTTCTGATTTGTAAGCTACCGCTCTATCAGTGATAATTTAAAAAATAAAATAACATGATAACGACCCCGAGCTTACAAATTTTTCAGCAGTGTTTAGACCTACTTTAAAATTCCGATTTCGTAACGCTGTGCGTTATTATTCAGTTATGTGGAAAAAGGCGGGTATGAAATGCTCACGGGACCAGAATAGATATCGGAGCTCATCGCATTCCGTCGCCAATTAGTGCTCATAACGCGTGGGGCATAACAGCGCCCAAACCTTTGTTGTGTTCTCTCGTTTATTGCTTGATAATAATTCGGCGCTCAAGATCAAACAACTCCGACGAGACCGCGTAGAATCACCGCCGGATTATTTGGGCAATATTGAATGATGTTATTGCAAATTTTGCACTTAATTTACCCCCTAAACGCTCTATGAGTTTATAAATTTTCCCTTCGACTTTTAGAAGTCTATTCCGGATACCAATACTCCAACTATATCAGTATTTTTATATGGCGTATGTTTTGTAAATGTATTTCCCATAAATTTTCAATATTATGAATAATTAATATTTTTCTGAATTTCTTTTGGGTCAACGAAACCCAGTCCTAAATCTTCAACTGCGCCCTTCTAATTTGACCTCCAACCCCTAACTATTATCACATTAACTGTATCCTTATTTTTTATTCATCTATAGACTATTACGTCATGACAAACGAATTGCAAATAACCTCCGTGAATATTGTTTTCGTTAATTTTTTTTATTTCTATTATATACATAACCCTTTGTCAGTTTACCGCAAATCCCCAAGCAATGGTTTCTAGTTCCTCTGTTAATCCTTGCCTGGTTCGTCTCACATTGATTCTTTCGGCCGATAACGCTAGCTCTTTATCATTTTATGATAGTTCAAATGCCCCAGGTGTGGCCCATACGAATTGCTTCTTCTTTGGTCATGCTTCTTTATGGCGCTTGGCCGTTGCAGTTTTTTTAAATTAAACTCTCGGTACAATGAATACAAAGTCAACACGCTATTGCGCTCTTGTATGTGTCGGATGTAATAAGTCAGTGAGGTGCTGGTTTGTGGTGTCCATGCACTATTTTTAATGCAGACAGCGATTTAACCAAAAATGTAGGAGTACAGAGAAATATTCTCATATACTTCAACTCTATGGGTTTTCCACTATCGAATGACTTGTTGACTACACGCACCTGTCATATATGACATCTTAAGTCGGTTGAATCGGCGTCGTCTTCGTCTAAATTCTGCCAAAATTTGGCGAGGCTGATAACGGTGTATATTATACTAAAGTATCTTTTCGTATAACAAATTCATGTTTAGATTATTTTACATCGACTTTCTGTCAATGAACAAGTTTCAACTTATTAATATATATGGTTACAGACTAAAGATGAAGAAGACGAATGGACGATAACTCTTTACGAAATTGACAAGATGTCAGGAAGAGTTCCTCGAGAGGTAAGCGAGTTTATTATTTTATGCAAATTGTTACAGATTTGTTTGGTAAAACGGTAACATATTCCTATCTATCAACAGTTGTGTTTACCGAAATTCATTTATCTGTACACGTTTCGTGTTGCGATTTGTAAATTTCTATATTTTAAAGTATTTGATATAGAGACGTCACGAAAATGCGTTTTGCCGCATTGGACAGATATTCCGCCCAACAAAACGATTATATTCAAGATAGATACGATAATATTTTTTACGCAAAAAGTGACAAAAAATTGATCGATATCTCATAATGCAATCTTTGCGTCAGCAGAGCTTGTCATAATTCCTTCTAGTGCACATAAACGCACACATTATATTTTCCGATGTATACGGTAATACTAACACAACGGGTACTGGAAAAATACTGATAATGGACAAGACGTCAATATGAAGTGACAAACGTTTTTGGTCCACCACAAGGGCCAATTTTAGGTCCAATTTTATTCATCTAACAATGTAAACTGCTGTTTCAATACAACTGAACTAGTTGACACAATATGCTAGTATGTATGATACAAGACATCAAATAAACCTAACACTTGTTACAAAACAATTATGTCGGTATTTGTACAAAAAATTAAAATTTTGAAGTAATTTCCTATAGGTAAATCATTTTAAGCCTATTGAACTCGACAATAATTAAAATGTAAAAACTTAATGACAGTTAATATAAATTATCATACAATTATAAATTCCACAAGAATAAAAACAGATTTACCGCACATTAAATCTAAAAAGAAAATCATTAGGAAATTTGACGATGAGCCCGCACACCTGCTGTCGGCCACAAATGTGTTTGTTAGCAAATTAGCGCGGTTGTGTTTGATTCACCACAGCTTTAAAACTGTTTTTTTCTTCTTGGAAATGAAAAATGAAACATTAAAACATCAGTCTGTGTATATATGATTTGTATTTGTCAGTTTATATATACAACGATACTTGATGCACAGATATATTAACGAAATCATGCACAGATCTTATTAACATGATAGTTTATAAGTAAATAAGGCATACATGTACAAAAAAGACCATATTAAATATAATATTTTCATATTATGCATAAATATTTTCACCTACTGTTCGCCGTGGGTGGCACAAACCACGAAAATCTGATATCTACGCCCATATACGAAAGCTTATGTATCTGGCCATCAATCTGATATCGCCGCGTTAGGTTTTGCCAAACAAGGCCCCTATTAAATTAAATATAATATCTTCGATTTTTCCATGGTCCTCGATAGATTCGTATGATATTTTCAAGGGAAAGTCCAGAAACAATATCATCCACCGGTCAATCCTATCAGATATCAGACACTGTTGTCCCATCACAAGAAAACTAATACCCCCTAATGGACATAAGTACTGACCAATGACTAGCTTTCATTATTTCAAATTACACTGAGGTGGCGAGGCTGGTTAATATTTAATAAAATTAACTTCTTCCAATGGACCCGAAATAATATCAATAATTTGTCGTTATATTGAGTTTGTTTGTTAGACATTGCAAATATTTTTCTTCAATGCGATTTAATAAACTATACAACTGTTTGAATGACTACAAAATTATAGTTTTTTTTTCGCTCTACATATTGAGGAGCTTTCCTAAAACTCGATGTTAAATTTTGATTTAGGTGTTGCTCGGAAACGAAATCTTTAATTTTCTCCCATCTAAAATTTCCAGTTTAACGTTAGACGCTCCAGAAGTATGTGTGCCAATATGGAGGTAACTAATTTTGTTTGCCCACTTTACATCAAGTTATGTAAAGGGACTGAAACCCATGGGGATATATTAACTTGACTAACACAGACAGTTCCCGAACTCGTAATAGAACTAAAATAAGGAAAATCGGGATAAAATTATAGCACAACCCAAACCTGGTACACACACAACGGGAGTACCTAACGCTGATTGAAGCGCTTAATGGTACAACTAAAAACTTCCATATTTTTATGTTAGTGAATTCATCAAATACCGGAAATATAGCATTTCGCGGGGTGCGTGGGTAACGAAAATTGTGTCTGGGGCAATGAGGTTAATTTCATTACCCGTACTTATGTTACCGACCAAATATGGCCCATTTTGTTAAGTCAGATTCAATCGAGCCTGATGCAAACCAACAACCTAATCTCGTGTGGTATTTTTGTGATGTGGGTGCAAGGCTTCCTATTGTTTACAGTAGAGCATGTTTTCTGGATTAACGCGTTGTTTGCGCTCCGGCTTGCGTTTATCAAGTCGGTAGGCGGTAAAAAAGCCTTTGTTCGCGCTCATCGGCGTGACAACGCTTATGCCGACAACGAAAATAATTTTCGGGTCTAGTAGATATCCTACTGCTACATTGTTCCTTTTTGGGGATGATTTTTGACTTTGCTTGTCTGTACCCTCATTGTGATGCAATACAATTGACCTTTCTATGCGGAAGCGTTGTTGATATTTGTAGGCACCTGTGGACGAAAATACATTAAAAATGATGAAATTGTTATATTGATTTATCGTAGTCGAAAATGATAATTCCATAACACCACCATACTTTGGAAGATATTCTGACGTAATGCCACGCTTCATCGAGCATGCAAAATGTTGTATAATATCTGATTTTATTAAATTGTGTTCTTCGTACTGATTTATTTATGGTGCATCTACGACAAAGTTCTAATAAAAAGTTATGAGTTAGATTTTTTTTGCTGTTTGTGAGCCATAGGCATCTTATAACACATGTACGATTGGAAATAGCAAGGTATCTACTTGGGGAAATATTTAGTTATATATTTCAACTATGTCCCGTATTAGCGCGCCTTTTCACGTCGATAAAGCGAAAAATGCGGACTCATAGGGGCGGAAATTATGAAGTCAAAAATTCCATTAATCCACTTAGTAAAGCACTGGGCATTCTAAGAGTCCACTTTATTGTTTGCTTATGGGCGCCTTCCATTTTTACGCGCTTTTTATTTTAGGGTCAGCGTTTGGACACAGCGTTCCTATATAATACGGTATTTGATTTAAAGAGGGAATGATATTGCACATTTCACATTATGACTTCTATATGGAATTTTTTATAATGTCATTAGAACAAACCACATTTTTTCGTGTATTCAATGTTTACGCTAGAGCCCAATGTTCATTTATAACTTGCAATTTTTGAGAATCAGATTAAATTGATAAATTTAATAGCTCTGTTCTAATACCGTAATATATTGCCATAGCAGCCTTATCGTGTTTACCTATGTTTATACCATTACGTGCTTGCGCAATGAGAATACTCGAAACGAGCGTCTTCAATGCGAGTCGAGGATAAAAGGTCTTGGCAAATGCCTCCTAATTTGATTTCAATAAACTAAGCAACTTTGCTCATATTGACCCCATTTTTGCTCAAGGATCCGTTTCTCGCCATTGTATGCTCGGATCCGGTAGTCAGTCCATCGACTCGAGGGCCCTTCATTCAGTGCCGCGCCGCAATCGTTTGTCGATTGAAGCAAATTACGCGCGGATTTAACCACTTAGGCAGTTCAACGACCTGAATCGGTCGCTTTTATATTATAGCATGAAAGTTTTATTCCTTCATTGAAGGCCTTTGTCCAAATTTCTGGCTTGTTCTAGCAGGAATCCTTTTGTAATCAGCCCACAAGATGATACTTAGTAGTGTCCTGTTCTCAATCCTTCAAACATTCCTCACTCAACATTTCTGATCAGGAGTTCCATCCAATCCTACCATACCAACCCCAGTTTAAGAGTTCGAAAATGAATATTGAGAAGTCATGAGTTGTAATCTGTTGAGAGAGAACTGTTGCAAAGCGACAGTTGCCACATTTTCCATCGAATTCTACTTGAATCGCGCATTTAACGCGAACGTAATAAAATCAGTGTCATTGATATGGTAATAGGGTAATTGGAGTAATCATTTTATCATAAAAAGCCCCGAAGTGGTAAAGATGGAATTTGGGAAAACAGTCCTCTTATCCACAATAGGATAAATGAAACCACGTTTATACTGATGTTAATATAATGACATCGTAAAGTACCGTCTTTTAAAATCGAAGGTAAACGCCACACCAGCAAGTTTTTTAAACGTTAGTGGCAAGATTCTGGATGAAACCATTTTTCTCGGTTTGTTTATTTTTTCTTGTCGCGTAAACTGTAGTTATTGAAGCGATTTATTTGTTTATTTTTTCTATCAGAAATAAGGCGCCCTAATTTTGAAATTTATCATTTTAATAAGGCATAATTCTTCAATTCGTACTATCGTTTAGAAAAAATCAAGTACTTTTTTTTATCAATCTGACAATAGAAAGGGGGCGTTAGTAATCAGATCCCGTTAAATTCTTCAAGACAACGACATTCGTGCATGCGCTTAAAGTCAAATAGCGATGCTTTGCTTGTACTAAGAAAAGTGTCGTCGTTTGACTGAAAGTTAAGTTCAGAATGCATGATTTCACCCCGAAATTAACCAGTCTTAGATGATATTACACTGAAAAGGAGGCAGTAAACTATAAAAAAAAATAGTTAAAACAAGAAAAAACATTTCGCTGTCACCATACAATTCATTTTAGTATATTGAAATTATTGGCGCCTGTTGAGTAACTCAGCCTGCTTATATCGTGCTAAAAGTATTAGTAATTGCCGTTCCCCTGCGGAGAATAGACTGTAATATACCATGTTATTTATGTAATTCAAATACACTATCATAAATCGTTTTCTTCGGTATATATAATAAATAATATGATTTCTTAAGATTTATCTTCCATCTAAATTTCGTATTTACGTTACGTGCAAACGGATTTATTTGCTTACTTAACATTATTTTAACCAAATGGCATGGTCCAAAAGTACGCCGCGTTTGAAAATCGTATGTTACTTTTGGACCATTTATAATCTAACTTGAAAAGAAAATTGACTAGAAAAACATTATATGACTTTAATGAGAAGTTCGCACGCACCACACCAGCCTTTTATGTCCGTTTTGATTATTTTCATTGGGCGCCGATTTATACCGACCACGTAAATTCATCCGTGCCAATGAAGGGTTTATTATTGTGTTTTATGTGGCTTTATGCGTATGGTAAAGGGTTTCGGTTTGTTTTTGAGCTTTTGAAATGAATAATATCGAAATGATTACATTGTTTCTTTCGGCGCTGATCGTAACGAACGCGTCACTTTTATTCAATCGGTGTTACGGAAGTTAAATTCATTTTTACGTAAAATATTTGACTTTTATGGTTTTTTTTTTTCATTGATGTCTTTAATCGGAGCGATTTAAATAATTTTTTGATGTAGATTTGATGTAATTTTTTGATACAATTTTGATTTTGAATTTTTCCTTCAAAATTCTTTCTCTGCGACATTTAATTTAAATACATTATGTAACAGCTATAAGTCTGACATACGCTTTAATTCTGACTGACGGTAAGTTCTGTTTTCCAGATGTTCAATCCTTTCGGAAAGTTTTTTTGCCACGCATAAACCGTGCTTAATCGAATATGAATAAATTTTTCGTTAAAGCCCCTATTGAACTAGAATAAGTTGAATTTTATTGACTTTAACTTGTGGATTATATATATGACTTTCATCTTGCCGCGTTTTAGTAAAATCTGCTCATTGTTTCGCCTTTTTCCGGGCAGAGACGCCCTAGCAAGTTCATGTATATACGACATGTAAACAGAACGATTTATTGATGTTTCAAGTCCGGTTAAATATAACTTAAAATGTTACAGCACAATGAAAGATCTCTTCCGGGACTTGTTAACAGCTAATCCGGCAACGTTTTATGTGGTGATGCCGCTTTGAAGTGACGTCCATTAATTATTTATTTTATGAAACAGTGTCTTTAGCGACAAGAGGAAATAGCTGCCATCTGTAGGAATGCTCTGATCCCCTTTCGAACCAAATTCGTGTGCTATCATATTAAAATCGATTTCAGGCCTTATTCCGAATTCCTTATATCGAACTTGTTGTAATCGTATTCATAATTTGATAATAAAAATTAAGCATAAGACACTCATTAATTATTCTTACTGATGCCTAAATAAATCGCCGCTCACCGTATTGGCTATTTCACAATGCATTTTTAGAATTGAATCATTATTTCCCAGAGATTAATTACATCTCGTACTTACAGTCTATTTACTTGCATAAGTCATACAGACTACTCATATTCAAATATCTCGCATTGAACTTTCAATAATAATTTTCCCACAAAATTCAAATCTATATTCCCGATCAAAGTCAAAATATTGGATAACCTCCATGATCCGCATTGTTTAATCGCACCTAAACTGGACGATGACTTGTAGTGTATATAATAATAATAATATATATTTGCGTCCAATTTGCTGATTATTTATGCGTGCAATTTCATTTATTGAATAATGGGGTGAACAGAGACATATTTTTTTACTGCTAAGTTTTGGTTAACGCCCAATTCGATAGCGAGTCCTGTCATGAGAGAGCGGATGGTCGTCCCCTGATGTGGCGAATACACCACAACACAGAGTAGATAAAACAGTTCAATATCAAAGAGAATATACAAGTGTTCATCTGGCAGGGTTGTGTTTTCACTTGAAAATTTTTTCATCAATCGATTAAAGGACTTTAAATGCTCTTCTTTTGCTTATTTTCTATTGACGTCCTACTTGATTCTATATTTTGCGACAGTACCCCACTTTGTCATTTTCAAGAGATTTTTTTTATAAATACTCGTAATGGAGAGTTTATAGAAAAGAGTTAGTTGTTAGCAATAGCGTTGAGGTAAAACAGAATTATCCAAGATTGAGAGTTCGTGCTGAGGCATTTAGTCAAATTAAGGTCGTCGTATCTCACTCAACTCAGTCTCACGCAAACTCAGAGTTCTTAATTGAAACTATAAAGTGAAGTACAGACTTATGGATACGGTATATTGGAAGGAAAGTTGGAAAATGTTAGGATTTGGTACCGCATACAAGTAATTTTAAATAATACCACACGAATCGGGTTTACTCGAAATTCGAAATTTTACACATTCATAAAAAGTGCAGAGTGATGAAAATCGATAGTTCAACCATTGTTGAATTTTCACAAAACTCATTTTAATCGTAATTTACTGGGTTACACGTATCTTTATGCTGGTTTCGAAGCATCGGAAATCGGCATTCGAATGAAGATACCGTGTACTTTGATATTTTCCCATGAATAACCAAATGCAATTTGTCTTCAGGACATGGTTCGATTAATGTCTTCCATTTACGACGCCGTTGATAACAAAGTGGGTGAATCCCCTCAAGGAAGAAAAACAGTCAGAGTGAGACTATCTGTAACACCAGAAAGACAGAGTCAGTCAAAGTTGCATCGCACCTCATCGAATCCTAATAAAGCCAAAACGGATTGCCGCTGCCAGGATTGTCCGAAAACAGAACCTTCAAATAGAAAAATCTCAAATGATAGCAGAGTCCGGTAAGTATTTTTTATTTTCATCAACTTACTAAAGGTGAAATTATGTTAGACAAGATTTCAAATACACACAGAGTGTAAACCGACTAATTTGAATCAAGTTGTAATCTAAACACATAGTCGACACCTTGTTATTTTGTGACAATGAGAACCAATTCAGAAATATTAAAACGATTTACCGAATGACAGAAGAACAAGTCTCAATTTTTCAAAAAGTAATTTCATTCTTAGTTTTTCCATAATTTAGTGGGTGACGTCGCCATCTTAGCTTCCGTGTGGCGGTGATCTCACCAAACTCTATTGTTGTCGCTAACCGCTCGAGCTAGATTTTTCGTTTGATGTGATTAGCAGTTGTTTGTGACTTTTTATAAATGAACTCGACTCGTTTTTGTTTTTACTAGTTCACAACCTTCCAAGCATGAATTGGAAATAAATCGCTTGTTTTTCTGACAAAGCCTTGTGACCCGGAATCGGATTTTTATGCGACTTTCCGGCAAACCGCGCTGGCCGAGTCGGTTAAACCTTGTTGACAGAAAATAAACACAAGTTGTTTGTGCCCTGAGCCATATTAAACCTTTGTAACGTTGGAATGTACCTTGAGTTTTATGACTTGACAATGTCGTACACTTACACAATATTCTTTAGCAAGTAGTACGTGTTCCTCATATTAGGTCTTATAAAACGGGTCTCGACCATGAAATGCATTACTTCACATTTAGATTTAGATCCAAGCGATAAAAAGAATATAAATATTAACTAACTCGGGCTTGTTTTGAGGAAATTCTCAGCGATTGAGAGTTAATAATAAGTGGTTTTTCATCAACCGCCGTGAATATATACGAAAAGTGGCGCAAAGTTGAACTCAATACAGGGCGTTCGATCTCTACATACCATACGAAAATACTTCATAAACATTACATACCTGTTTGTCTCATTTTCTGGCAATTAATCGCCGCAGATTTGCCGTTTTTTCATAACATTGAGATTAATACTCGAAAAATTTGACACGAAATTGACAATGTGTTGATTATGATGGAGATTCCTAATTAATTATTCTATATATCTTGTCGTCTTATGTAAGCTTACTTGTTTGCCACAGATACCGACGCCATTTTTTCGACCTGATTTTGACCATGCATGGCATCGATTATTTATGCCATGACATTAATCTTTTTTCCGAATCCAAAAAAGCACGATTAATCCACTAACTGAACTTTTCGGTTGCCACATTGTCCACAAATACAAGAATGAGATACATCCATCAAGTACTAGACATCGTTGTTCAATTTTTTAAATACTGTGAAGTGGGCACCCGCGAAAAGTTTATCACACAAATTATGAAACCTTGGGTCATTCAGCTTTTGCATTGTGACCATAAATTTCGGTTGCAACCACAAATAGTACAATAAAATTTAGTCATCATAGAATGCCAGTAAGTTTGGTGTATTTTAGAAAAATAAATATTTGTCAAGGAAAAAAAAAATAGTGTTATTTCGTTAAGTTGAAATTTATACTCTCAGAAATCGAGCCAATTTGAATTCCATACAGGAATTTATTTATTACTCTTCATATCTTGATCTTTGCCATATACATTGCGATTTCCTAAACGTTTATCGCTATGTTACCACCAATAACCTCAAACATCTTTAGGATGTAACCATGATAAAACACTTTCACGAATTTATTCAATTCATGCATGTAACAGCACCCTTTATAAAGGTCCCGCCGAATATATTGAAGGCTACGCATTGAGGAAATTTACTCGTAAAAATATTCACATAAGCTCGTTTTGACTACATTTGTTATTGTAATTTAGAAAGGTATGGCCTGAATAATCTCGGAAAATTATATTTGTGGAATATGGTGATCCGTAATAATGACAACACAATGTTCAAATCTTGTTATTTGTTTCCGAATATACTTCTGTTCTTGGGAACCTTTGTAGATGGTTTATAGTTAGTCATCGCTTTCATCAAATTACGCCTCTAATAAGTGTTTAATGCTTTCCTTTGGGTCCCGTAGGTGTCTAATAGATCCTATTAATGTTGTAAGCCGCACTGTGTGTGCTATAAATACATTATATTAATGATATTAATAATTTTAATGCAAGAATGAAAGGGAATACGGAAACCGTTGGCCGCTGATGATTGATATTCCCAAAAGGCATCAAAACGTTTCCACCAGGGAAAACGTCATTGAACGGAAGAGTTAGGCCGCATATTTTGAAGATTTTGAATTGACTTTTGGTCACGGATGAGTCATCTTTAACTAACCACGCCCATAAATAAATGGAATTAGAGACCTCAACAGTAGCGGAAAAGTGCAGTTTGTAAAGTAATATTGTTAAGCACATTTTTAATGCCCTCTATACAGTCGTTAATAATCTAATCCGATTCGATTCGGATACCGAATTACACTACTGTGACAAAGTTATTACATCGTCTTTTCCTCTTGTAATACTTTTTAAAATAAATAAGAAATGAAAAAAAAACTTGGAGGTTACGGTGGAATTTCTCATCTGAGTTTTTAATGGTCATCTGGACCAAGGCTATCTAGCCGACAACATAAATATTACACGAATATAAGATTTTGATGGCATAGGTGTGAAAGGAATTGTTATTCACGGATTGAGAAAAAGGCAAAGCCCAATTATGGTCCTACTAAAACGGGTTGGGTCTTGTTATATTGCCCAGCTATGTCCGTTTAATCCCATGAAGAGAGCATAATCCATGAGGAATTTAATATGGAACCTCTATGGCCACTGATGCGGCAATCATACATAGTCAATTTTCTATGATATTAGTAAATCGCTCACTGTTAATACACAACGTTCGGCCTTTACTGAGCGTTTATCGAACGTCTAACGAAATTTCACAATTTATGATACTTTCATTTCGTGTACTTGGTGACGTTTTATACCTTCAGAGTAAAGTCGGCATTTTCTTTGATGACAAAATTATATGTATTTGCTAGCTCGTCGAAAATATAATTTTGTACCAGCGGTCATGTTTGTAAAATTGTAGCGTTATTAACATAAGCACTATTACATATATATGCCGATACTGCTGCAAAACGTATCACTGGTATTGAAAATTAAGCGGACGACCTTTAGGCATTATTGCAGTATAAAAATTTTCTTTTGAAACCATTTTATATCAATAATCTGCAGTACTTCGTGTGTGGTACCCTGTTGGTTAGCACTTTAGACTTGTAGTATTTTAACACAGGTTAAAAGTCCAGGGTAGGACTAGAAACGCCGCTTAGTTCGAAATGTTACAATTTAGGTTGGTTCTGTCCAAGAAGTCTCTTTTCAATCATTCTAGTCATCGCAGTGTCGGCTTATTTGATCGTTATTTTGGTATTTTGTTTGTATCATGATTTTCTATTTTTGGAATATACAAACTATTAAATTATATACATTTCAGTAAAGAATTTACCACAAAAAGAATGCGTTTTCAGTTCTATCACCATAGACGAAGTTCATAAAATATTTATATCATGACAAGTTACGATCTCTGAAAATTACATGTCGTTTTGTAACTTGTATTTATCGCATTGTCATTAATGAAACACTCGTATATGTTGATCGTCTCTGAACAACGAGTCGTACATGAAACACACTCATATTTGATCGCCCCATGAATCTTACGAACTGCGATAACTGCAGTCGGTTTTATAATTTTGTAGATGAATAATGTGTAAGAGAATCATTAATTTGACTGTATACCTTTGGCGGTATTGTCTGTTTCACAAATTATGTATTATTATTCAATTATGCAATATTATTTTTAGTCGATATGTTCTTCCTTTCGTTGAAAATGTCATGATTCAAATTTATATTTTGAGTCTGTGTATATAGGAATCGAATAACATATATAATGGATGTACCATCCAATGTTGATATTTGTTGTATAGGTATTGTTGTTCTAAAATTTTAATTTTTGGATGTTAGAAGCAAAATGGCGCTAGCAAGTTTTATAAGCGCGCATTTTGGGAGTTCATCCGACTAAAATTGTGACAAAATTTTATGGCTAAAATATTTTTACTGTAAAAACAATGAAACAGAAAAACAATAATAGCGTATGCGGAAGTGCGTTCACCGCTTCTCATTAAAAGGAACGTCGCCCCTTTGAATATTCAGCACGAATTACCTTCAAGTTTTCTGCGCGATAAAATATCACACTGGCCAAGAATGGGATGGAGATAAATTGCATATTTTATATTCACCTAATGTTGGATCTAAGATGATCTTGCTGTAGAATTTAACACCAACTCCTATTTATTTTCACAAAAGTGGTTTAACCAGGGAATTAGTTTTTGTGTACTTAGCCTTGCACGCTGGTTGAGCGCATTTGAGAGGATGACGCTCTAAGTCGCGTTAAAACAGATCCCGCCGCACTGCTGCCCGGCTTTATTCAACCTATTTACGTACACGGCCGAACATTTTTCATCCCTGTTGTAAACGGCTACACTTCTCCCTACTACGTTGACCAGGCTAATTTAAATATATTTCAACTACACCTGAAAAATTTTGGGAAAAATATTTTGATCAGAATTGCTGTAGTTCCACTTCGACAATTTAATATTATTACACATATATATATTTATATAAGCGTTTCACTTTTTTCATCGTTTTCATCGTTTTTTCATCGTTTTTCATAGTCAGGCAAAACCAAAAAAAAAATAACATTAAAATTCTTCTCTGTGAATCTCTTCACCTATATACTTGTATCCATTTCAAAAATATGATGGTCTGGTATTTCTGGCGTTTACAATTTGGTCTAAAGGTCGGGTCGGATTTGCTTAGGTCGACTGTGATTAGCATTCCATTTCCGCGTAAAATCACTAATGGGGAAATTTTCCACATTTCAATTTGAAAAAACTCTTGTTTTATCTTTTTTAAATCTTAACTATATAAACAGCATGGGCCATCCCAAAATCTGCCTATAACTTGCTACTCTTCTTTTGACCATGCGTAATGAAATATATTTTGTAAATGTAAAATATTGAAGTGCACAGAAGTGGTAAATTACCCCAAATCTCACAACAACTCGTCGACATGAATCAGCCTAATCCTCACAGGCCCCACCAAACTATGACGAACAAAGAGAAAAGGATTAAGGTCGTTCCTAGCTTAAACCGAAATAATTTCTCTCGACGGTGAAAAACTCTAATATGAAAAATAGCAGCAGTAAAATCTTACCTAAAAGATTATTCCTATAATAGCATTTGGTTGAGAAACTATAGTGGATAAACGTCATTTATTTAGTTTACTTTTGTTCGTGGTTCGGTGATAATCAATTTTAATTTTTTGACGCGTTATACGGTTATATCGCGTGTTTCGCGTCAGTCAAAATTCCACGTAGACGCGATTCCGCCTATATAATTGATTTCAGCATTACTTGGACAAAATCAACTAAATTTAGAACATATAACTAAAATTGCTCTTTGCGCGGTTAGGGCTTAGTAGCTATCTTAGGGTATCCAAGATTCATTTATGGACCACGTTGTTATTACATTTGAATTTTATGACTTGTATTGTTGTTTTTATTTTCAATTTCTTATTTGCAGGAGACACAGAAGCGATGTGTCGGCGACTCAACTGAAAACAGGACAAATCAATCAGTATCACGACAAAATAAAAGAAATTTCAAGATCGCGAGAACGATCATTCCGCGAACACCAAAACCATCATCCGATTCACTCGTCAGAAAAATTGGAACGTGAAAAACTATATTCCAAATTAAATGGACTCAATCAAAATTCTTTCAACGAAAACTCAGATTCAGCAGAAATTAAGAAAGGACTTGGAAATAAAGATTCTTGTGGAACGAGACACAAAACTCTCCCAGATGTCGGCCAAATTAATCAAGATAAATTAAACTCTAAGAGCAGAGATCGTCGCCTCCGTTGTCATGGTAACGACCCTCGAAGCGCTATGCTCAAAAACAGAAGAAAAGATCCAAGATTTGCTTCCCCGTATGATCAACACTTTCAAGAGGCTATGTACCTAAGATTAAAAGAGCTTCAACGTCAAGGTGCGCACGAAATGTGCAGAGCTACCGGTAGACGTCGAGATAGCGACGAAGCGGACGATGACAGTAGCAGCGATTCGGGAAATGAATTCACAAAATCGAACATTGAATCGAATAACAAAACAGTTATCCGTCATGATACAACCGAATCACCTACAAGTTGTAAAAACAATATGACTGAAACAGACTCACAGAGTAATAACTTACAAGAAGCTTCAACAGCTATTGCTTCTTCCGTTTCTAATATTTACCACCATCATCATTATCACCATGGTATATCAGGAGAATCAGTTTTAGCAGCAATATGTTCGTCTGATTCATCTCCTGTGTCAAAACACGTGACCAATTCTTCAAGTCCCGAGTCCAAAGGGAAAGGCGAACAACATTTTCATCATTATCATCATCACTACCACCATGCGGATAAATCTTGACTTACCAGATATGCCGCTGCGTTAGTGGAATAGTACCCCGCAATCCATAAGTATCAAGCGCATTTTTGTCATAGTCTTGCCTTTGTTAAAGCTGTTAAGTTGAATTCAAGTAAAAAATTCCTAATTACATAGTAATAAGATGTAAAAATTTGGGGGAATTTAGTAAATTAACTTTTGTTTTTAGGATATTTAGCAGCACACGTAAACTGGTATTAGGCGCATCGTTACTTTGATTTGTAAATGTGAAGCCGTACTTCCACTTATATGTTCCTCAACAAATGTATTTTTGTTAACCCCTTTTCCTATAATAAGCGAGCACAGAAAATTGTCCTTGACAAAATCATATTTGTCGAATTGTCTTTTTATTCAGCTTCTGGATATAGTAGTGTCCATATAGTAAGTTCAAAATAAAAGATGTTTTAAAAATACAGTATGTTATTAAAAAACAATTCATTGCGAAAATATAATTGTATTCAAAATCGAACTCATTTTGGAGTAGAACTCTAAACGGACATCAAGATGGCGCACAACCTGAACTCCGGTTGTGTACCAGGTCAGGGTTCAGGTTGTGCGACATCTTGGTGCGCATACTTCGGGAGTACCCTTTAAACAAGTATCCGGGTATTGACATCATCATAGATAAAGGAGAGGTTTTGTGATTTGCTTCTGTAGAGAAACGGTTGGCACTATTCTCAGCCTTTCCCCCATATCACCATTTTATTCTTTCTTTTTATATTTTTATTTAATTTCATCTTTTTGCGCATTGTGTTTGCGAGTTTTCGAATGTAAAAAAATCAAAATAGTCCAAAGAATATTATTAACACAGATGTTTATTTAAAGGAAAAATTTTTCATTCTACGTTATTGAATGTTTTTAAGTTTCTATTTAACGATAAGGAATATTTTCTGAAATGCCTAAATTATCGATAAATGCTTTTTTCGTTGTAGAAATCGCCCTTTTGTCATTTTTGCACAGTCGGTGCTGAAATCGGACATTCCTGGTGGAATATGATTTGAATAATATTAAGATGAATTTTTGTATTATTGCGTTTTTCTGTTTTTTGTTTAATTATCTTATTTTTAAATTTCAATTTATTTCCTTGTTATTTTTGTCATGTTGGCGTCTTTTGTAAAATAACGTTGTGTTGCAGAGAATCCTAAATAAAGTTGAATAACTATGTTTGAGTGGATTTTTTACCCCAGCTGATTTCGCTTGCTGTCAATATCAGATTAGCACTAGGTCATGAACATGGTGGGATTCGAGGAGTGTCGTATAGCAATGTGATTGTGATTACAGGGAATCAAACGAATCGTTTGTATCACATCTTTGTATACTACATCACTCGAAAAATAGTTTTTCTCATTTTTTTTATATTCAATTCTGAAAATTCAGCGCGGGCAACTTAAAATGCTTCCGCGGACCACGGGTTGGACGACCCTGTTGTAGAGCGTCGATTATGATAGAATATGATGGGAGTGAATATTCTTACTATGAAATATTTTTTCTGGGATTGGACATACCTGAGCAACTCAAGTCGTGACACCGACCCGAAACATATGTAATGAGAAGGGTTTTCAATAACTCCCAATCGCCAATTTGATTGTCTCCTTCGTAAATTCACTGCAAGCGTAAATCTTTTACGACCTTTTTTTGTCTGATATCTCACATAAAACTTAATGGACAGATGTGACGAGTGAAGCTCGAAATATGTCCCATATAAAAGTTCCTGATTTATTCTGCAGTATACCAACGATGGATGTCGAATCTAAAACAAAACTTTTGTGGTTTTGTGGCACCTGTGAATACCGTGAATGATTTTGCAGAAAAAGTCCAACCTTCATTAGTATTCAAAGAATTTCATACCAATAAAGGAATCGCATATAAATAGAGCTAAAGCTGAATATATGCCCTTACCGCACAACGGTCGAATAGAAACACAAAACATCGCAAAAACAAGATGTTAACTTCGAATATCAGGGCATTCACATCACACCGCAAGGAGGCTTGGGGCGAACTGAATCGACTAGCCCTCTCGGAACCGGTCAGAAACTTTTTAAGAGCCGTAGTATTGCTATGGGGTTGTTGCTATATATGTTCTCTCACCAAAAAAATAGAAGCCAAATAGACAGAACCCACACTAAAATGCTGAGGGCGATGTTGGACTTAAACTTTAAAGGCGCAACCAAGAATTACCCGACTGACAAGATCATGGTTTACTACATCTTGCTGATCTATTCAGAGCCATGGGCAATAGAGATATAGTCAATTCAGTCCGGGCCTTTCGCCCGATATGATTTAAAAAGCGAGTGATAATTAGTCGGGGTAATATGTTGCCATTCAATCACCCTTGATAATCGCTCCGCTTCTTTATGTCACAGTTTAGCAACTACCCCGTTTGATACGGCATGCCTTTGCACGGAATCAGATCTACCTGGCTATATAGACCGAAAGAAATGAATATGGTAAAACGCAGCGTGGTAAAGGAATATCAATCTATGCATATATCTAGTCTGCGTGGGAAGTAACGACCAGCTCCTTAGAGCGGCACAACCTTCGCTTTAAAACATTTGACAGGATTCTCATATCCCCTGAAAATGATAGCCTCACTATAAGCACAGCCACCCATTCACTTACAGGTTGAGATAAATGAATATAACATGCCTGTTAATTTTTCCAAATTACTTGCGATGACAAATCCGCTCACAAATCTTATCACAATCCTATTCACCGCTGCCATATGTAGATCTGCTTGCTGATATGCATTTCTTCACACAAATGAAGTAACCTATTTCAACGAAATTAACACATACAATATATCAAACAATGATTTCAATTAACTAGAACATTATTCACAACACATCAAAATAGTGAATTCTCACGTCTATTCACGAGGAGATCATTGAAACAACATATTTCACAGCAAACGGACAACAAATCTAGTATACGGACTGGCGGTTCTCAAATTTTTCTGGTGGAATAGAACCATGGAAAACATTCGAAATTCCCAAGGAACCTTTGTGCCATTGATTATATGTAACTTGATTCTATGTTTATATCTGTTATCTTAAAATGAGCCAAATCAAAAATGTGTGAAAAAACAACTGATATAGACGTTTGCAATAATAATAGTAGTTTCTTGAATGTTGGCCATATGTTGAACACACTACAAAGCTGATGAAAAAGTGAAAAATTGCTAAATTAGGGAAATAGTACCACTAATCAATCCTTGGGTTCGATTTCCACAAAGTATTGAACTTGTCACAATTGCATAAGAATAATTGAATTAACACTGCAAAATCACAATAAAATCTGGCATCAATAATTTCAGTAGACACCATGGATGTTCAGCTTGTTTCAAATCTATCAAGTTGAGTCTGCTTATACTCTTGAGCAAACTCGGATTCATCCATCTTTTCTCTCAGATCGACCCTCTGAATACAATTAAAAAACATTTCATACACATCTCTGGTAAAATCAAAACAAGAAAAGAAAGGCTAGCTGTATGTTGGGGAACAGAGATTATATTTTATCGGTACTTGTTTTGGTAAAATAATACATATCTAAGCAATTATGTTAAAATAGGACTGAACATGTTCCATTTTAAAGGTTCCTAAATCCAACTAGCACATCTAATAACATAAGCCTGTATATCTTAAAACATCCACACAGAAAAATCTCATATTCAAAACATTAATTGTCAAAAGATCTTCAAGGGCCATTACTGAACTAAATTTTATTCAAAATTAATTTTTCAATACAACCTAGCTTAAAATCACATTTTGTCACAAAACAGCCACCCAAAGACCATGTAAATTGTAGTACTTGAACCGATATGTTCATATATCTCTTTGACTGGATTTGATTGCTCATGCCGACCAAAATATCAGATACACAGACTCCAAAAGTGTGTGTACCAATATTGAGATAACTAATTTTGTTCGCCTACTTTACATCAAGCTGTGTAAAAGGACTAAAACCTATGGGCAGCGGGTATATTCACTTGGCTAACACAGACAGTCCCCGAACTCGTAATATAACTAAAATAAGAAAAAACAGAATAAATTTATGGCCTAACCCTAACCTGGTACACACACTACGAGAGTACCGGAAATCATACCTCAATTTGTCTCACAAACTGTCGAAAATCTTCTGTCAACACATGGGGAACTTGAAATGCAGCAAAGTGACCTCCCTCCCTCATTCGAGTGTAAGAGAGAAGCCTAGTACATTTGTATTCTATGTCACATTTCATTCCATGAAAAACCTCGCTAGGAAATGCAGCAAAACCAGCAGGAACTCGAACTTTGATGCTATAAAAATATTTAAATAACAGTCAGAAAAATGGTAATATCAGCATATACTATTATATGCAATCATAGGCAATGGCAGATATTTTACATGACCACCTGAACTAACAAAACCCAAGTAGCTGAGACAAATTTAATATTTCAAGTTTAATATTTCAAGTCTAACTCATTAATTCAAACTCTGTTTCAAAGCTACAGAAAAACATCAGGAATATAACAAACTCACTACAAAACAGCTAAATTCATTTACCGTACTGAACGAAAATTTTTACACTAAATTTCAAAAAATATTTCTCACTCTCTAGTTATCATTAAATCACTAAATGTCTCTTTGTAAAATCTCAGAGATGAAGTGACATTTCCAGAAAGCCAGTAGATCATGATGTTATTCAGGAGTTCATCATATGTCCAGTGTTTTGGAATATTGCCATCATCATTGTCACTGATAAAAAATAAGCAAATACCTAAACTGGTAAAATGAACACAGGTCTAGGACAGGTATTCAATCTTTTATTTCCGAGGATAATATCACAATAGCTCTGTGATAATAATACCAACAACATAATAATGTTTGGTGTTCAACTTCTCAAAGCATGTGTACTCTATACCAGGGCTACTCAACTATTTTTACCAAAGGTCCGCATACAAAACTTCATAATTATTGGGGTTCAGTCTTTCCAGAAATTCTATTTCGACATCCTTAAACTCGCGCTTCCTCAGCGTTACAGTTCTTTATATATATAGTCTGGTGCAAATATGAGCAAATTATAAAATAACCTACTATTAAAGTCTATTGAACTATTTTATGAAATGAAACTTCCAAAGTTGGGCCAAGGATTCAAAATAACCATGAAGTGAACCATCCTATACCATGAAGTGACACCAGATGTACAAAGAATCTTGGCATATTATTACCCATTTGACAAGTGATCTGAATAATGAAAAAACTCACACACTATCAGGATCCGTCCAAACAGCAAATTTTTCCACTATATAAGCAGCAAGTCCCACAGGGGAATCAGACAAAGCAAATCCTTAAAACAAAAAAGTATGTCACTTCGAATGTATGTCAACCAGGGCTGGGAAGGCTCGTTAGAAATCACAATGGCTCCGGAGAGCTTCACTCTTTTTAAATCTGAGCTGAACTACAGCTTTTGCTCTACAGCCATTGGTATGACTACCATGAAACATCATTCCAAATTTAAAATTAATCTTTATTTAAGTTTAGATATATAAATTTAACTTATAAATTAATATTAGAAATTGGATTTTTGAATTGAAAAGGATAGATTATATTATTTGTATATGGCAGGGGTGGCCAACACGTCTATCGCGATCGACCGGTCGATCACCCTGCCTCGAGTAGTCGATCGTGTCTGGTGTTGAGTGGATTTTATTGAAATACCCCCGAAAATTGCCTCGAACCAGTTGTTTGTTTACAACAGGAAGAATACAGTACTTCACGTGCACAAAATACAATATACACATACAGTATTTGAGTCTGGGCAAGCCCGATAACGCATATTATCACGTAACAAATGCAAGTGTTTCCACTGCCAAGGTTAAAAAATGGAGTGTCGAATATCGCGTGTCTAGACTAAACTGACAAACGATCCATCAATAACTTCCGCAGTATGCGAAAGTTATTGTCAATTCCAAGAGTAGTGTGATAAATTTTATTCGCAATAGTAGAAGTGGCATGCCCAATTCGTTCTGATTCTAAGCGAGCGAAGAATCACGTTTGGAGGAAATTGTAAATTAGATACTAAAGTTTGAGCAGTCATGTAACATTCATGGTTTGAGAATATTTATTTTTCGCTGTTTGAATAATACTTGGCAAGGTTTCTTGAAGAATTTTTAACACTTACGACTAAAAATTAGGCAAGCCCTTTATCTGGATTGTATTATTTAAATAAATCTTAAATAAATGATGAAACATTTACTCCGGGTACAATTAAATAATCAAATCAACAACTTAAATGGAACATAAAAAATGAAAATTTTGTGTCGATTTTAATAATAATGTGCCCACAAAGACTTCTAATGGGCAACGGTGGAATTTTTTGTATGCTTGTGTGCAGTTATCTGCACATTCAGTGCCCATTCGTTTTTGTGTAGAACCTAATTACCGATCAGTCGATCACGATCTATTTTGAAGATTTTAGTCAATCGCGGCCGAAAGCAGGTTGGCCACCCCTGGTATATGGTATTAGAAAATTACAAAGGGGAAAAAATAATTAGATGGTCAGGAGATAGAGACATTGAAATTTCTGGTAGCGCCGGCTCAGATTGAGTTCCATCAGATAAGTCAAGCTTGGCTCCAGTTCCATCAAAATGGCGAGGCTCCATGGCTACAGCTCTCCAGTCCTTATTTCAATTTTAACACTGTTCAATTTAATTAATAGGGAAAACAAAAACAAGCCTTGCTACAACATACCAACAGTATCTGGTTTCGTTGCTTGAAGATGAAGATATCCAAATTCTTTCCATAACTTTATAAATAGATTCTTTACAGGAAAATTAGCTTTGACATCTTCCTTGTCAAAAAAGAGATTGGGTGCAAAAGAGGCAATCAACATCTTCACTACTGTCAATGAATTCAGACCACCATTTATCATGTTGAAATGATATCCTTTAACAGCACTAAAAATCAATCATTCTTTCATTGTTTTGTGAAAATATTAGCAAAAATTTGAAGAAATTGGGTCAAAACTGGTCACATATTCACTGAGAAAATTTCAACATTGACGATTATTCAATACATTTATATACAGTATATATAATTTTCCTGAGTTTATACAAAACTAAATAAATCATGAATCGATGAACGACTGAGTTTCAGAAGACTTTGATTTTGCTATTCGCATGAGTATAAAGGAAGTAACAAAACTACAATGAATGAAAACAAAATAAATTATCAACTTGCTATTAAGAATTTCCACAAAAAAATGTTGATCAGTAATCGTCCTCAGCTACATCTAATTACAAACACTCACCTTGGGTAAAGCATGGCCATGTTACTTCCTATCACAGAGCCCCAATCTCCTCCTTGTACATAATATTTCTTGTGATCCAGCCTCAGCATCAGTTTGTGAAATATTCTTGCGCAATTCAGACTGCCCAGACCTAGAAACAAAACAAAGTGAATGAAAAATACAAACTTTGTTAAAAACTCAATACAATTGTTTTATAATAATGATCAACAAAAGTGAAAAGTCTCATATAGTTTGCCAATATGTACCTTGGATTTCTGAAGCTTGCGAAAATCCATATCCTGGTATTGAAGGTATGATAACTTCAAACAAGTCAGTCTCATTTCCACCATGTGAAGTTGGATCAGTTAACATTGGGATCATTTTATAAAATTCCAGAAATGATCCTGGCCATCCATGCAGCAACATCAAAGGTCTGGGCTGAAATTAATTAATACAATCATCAATATTATACTGAGGCATATTTAGCAAAATCTTGATTGAAGGATAGAAAAAAACACTGGAAGCTACAAAGCAGCTGTCATGTCAATGTCATAGTGAAGTATGAAGTTATTTGGTTAGATATTACTAAGTTTTTATTGATGTCTTGTCTTGCTCGAATCCTATTCAAGCTCAGAAATGAGTCTCCATCAGTTTTAAGTGAGTATTGAACAGGGATCGGCAAACTACAGCCGGCTCCTGGGGAAATTGTGAAGATATCTTACACTACATACAAAATTTAAATTTTAGATTATTTTAAAAATTTATTTAAAATATTTAGAGTAAACTGTTAAAACTAATAATAATTTTCCAACTCGGGTTAACAATGTCAGTCCACATTCCACACTGTTATAGCAAATGTGTGTGACATCAAAGTAAAATTTCTAATGGAATATTTGCAAAAATGATTTTGTGAATGTGGGCCTATAGGAGAACCATTCTTTGAGCAAGTAAAAAATATTGTGCAATAATAAATTTTGGAATCAAAACTAAAATCTAAGTTTGTAGAACAAATAAAAGTTGTGCGGGGATCATACAAAATTTGTAGCACTAACCTGATTTAGAGTTGACATTGTTTTAGGTTTGAAGTGAACAAAATGAATATCTAGTCCCTCTATTCTTGTTTTAAAATGAGGATATTTGTTGAGATATTTTTCTTGTTCTCTCCATGAATATGAATTCCTCCAATAGTCGACAAATTTCTTCATGAATTCTTGATTAACACCGTATGTGAACTTTGTGTCTTCAAGGGATGGAGAAGGAAATCTATAAAAGTTTAACAATGATAACAGTCACGAGAAACCAATACATGTCTACATAAAAAACAAAATACAGTATGACTAGGGCACATTTCAGAATTTATTTTTTGTTGCATCTAATAACGGACAATCACACCAGACATTGAATATGGGATTACACTGGGATATCATAGTATATTGTAATTTTCCTCAATTTCTATTTCAGGCTGCTATTTTATTAGTTATATTAAGCAAATAAGTTCGTCTTTGGACATCAACTTTACTGAGTTGTTATTTTGACAAGTATTATGTTATAAAACAAAGCATATTCCACCTCACGTTATCCAGTCTCTTATTCAAATCTTCAATTTCTGAATCACTAACGTCAATCTTGAAGGGTCGGATGGAGGTATCAACAATTTCATCTTCCTTGGTCCAGCATCTATCTCCATAATATTTCGACAGTATCTCGTAATCTTCTGGAGATCTACGAATAAACTTCAAATATACAAAAACTGCCAAAATAGCTGCAATAGCGTAAACCAGCATTCTAATTTCAAGGACAAACTAACGTTTTAACGCGACGAGAGCTTAACGACGAATGACGCTATTCTCGAAAAAGAAGGGAATTGATTGCCCTAGATTTAACCCTGTACTGACTGGCGATGCGGAACGATATCTTGTACAATAAACATTTAATATCTAAATTTGCGTTATTAATTCACGGATTAGGCAACCCGCTGTTTTCCGCTCTGTTTAACACTTTTACGGTAACTAAGATACTGCGATAATTTCAAATTGCACATCCCATTCAACAGATGTTACGAAGTAACAATCGCAGAGTTCTAAATTAAAATACGCAAAGTCACGTGTGCAAAAAAGTAAACAAATCTGAGGGTAAATCTGTCATTGTGTAATGTTCAAATAAGAGAAACTATATTCTGATTAGAGCGTTTAAGAAAAGATTTAGCCGCACTTTTCAAAAACTAACATTGGCGGCTGAACTCTACAAATAAAGGTTGTCGATGATGGTTAATATACTGATATAATTGTACGTCGTAGAAAATGTTACGCCGTTGCTGAGGACGTTTTAATTCAGTAATTGCAGGATTTCGAGTTGTGCTGCTGCTTGATTTTAAGACCTTGAAATGGCCGACAATGTGACTATTGTCCGAAGATATTTAATGCAAAAAAGGAAAAGAAATCAGCAAATACCACAGACTTCGTCCATCTTGTGTTTTCTGAAAAATCTTCATTGGATTTATTGTGGAACCAGACCGGCATACATACCAGAACTGGTCACAGACGTGGAACCCCTCAAAGAATTACTTCAAAAAATTCGAACGAACCCTAATTCTGCCACAACGTATAACATATCATGTATTTGCATACTATCACTGGAAGGTCACAATTTAATAGTGAATGTCAAGACCTGTGCATCACACTTAGAATCCATTTTCACGCATCTAAATATACACTCCAAAGCTAAATCAAAAGGTTTTCCCCTTTTTATAGACATTAGTAAAACAAATTTGGAACCCACTATTGCAAACAATGAAGACCTTATGCTTATTGCACAGTCATGCCAAACCATTTACTGCAAGTTATATGAATTACCAAACACTTCAAATGCCAAATCATGCATAGTCGCATTGCACCCTCAAGCAAATCTATGTACTCTATTTGGATGTATATTGGGCTATCCCACAATATACTTTTTCAAGGCAAACATAAATGAGAGCAATTGCCTTGAAATGGTTCCTCTCACCATTTTCAAAGTTATTGATCATGAGAGTAATGAGGAATATGTTTCATTTTCTTATCCAAGTTGCCTTCAAAATAGTGTGGAATCAAGTGTTAAGCATTGGTGTGACAATATGACATCCAATGACTCGTTAATTTTGTTGAAAAGAGATGTTGTACAGTTGCCATTCGTAGTTTTATGAAGCTGACTTATGCAAATGACACTCATCATATTTCAATAGTAGGGTTCAAATTCATCCATTTGGCTATGCCAAAGAAACAAAATGTTAATTTCTAAATACACCTTAGCAACGCATGAGCTTCTTTACTATCTTTCTCTATGCATTTACACGTGCGATGGCAAAATTCCCTGAATAAGAGAGATTAGTACTTTACCCATGGAGTATGATTTGTTAACAGTATTATAGGCGATGATCTAATTATAAACTTAAAAGAGTTTTGTGTTTGTATTATCTGAATGGTATGATCTTTAAAAATGAACAAATCATCTATAAAGTCTTATAGTTTAAGAAAGACAACACAACTGAATTTTAATGATTCATTTGAAAAAGAATCGACATAAAATAGGCAAGAATACTTTGATAGTAATGTTTAATTGATTATTCATATCAAAGTTGACTAAGCATGCACATGAAACATGACTACTAAAGACAAAAGTTTTTGAAAGTACAGAAAGTCGCCATAAGATTTTAGAATAGATATTTATGACTTTCAATCAATCCTGCGTGGTTCTAACATCACTTGCCATTCTAATAATTGTTCATTGGTCATATCATCAGGTTCATCATCACTCAAATCCATTTCGAATCTTCCAGTTTTCTTTTTATCGCGCAAATGTTTTGGCCATAAAATTTCCAGTTTTACAGAGTCAACCCCTATTGGTGATTTACCAGAAGTATAAATTTCCATCACTTTTGCTTCTTTGTATTCTGATATAACTGGAGTATAGTTTTCAGACATTTCTAATAATTTATATGCAATTATATCGCCAATGCGTGGTGGCCATGTCGATGGCAAAAGTGTAGAATAGTCTCTTGAGTGTTTTTCATATTCGTTCTTATCAGATTTGTTGGAGTCTTTAGAATTTGTTTGAGAAGGATTATTGTATATCACAGAAGTATTTGTAGAGACTCCTGGATCTGTAAGTTTTTTCGAACCAGTTTTCGATATTGCCACTTCTCTGTGTATTGGTGTAGTCCCTGATTTTAACCAGACCTTCAAAGAATTGTTAGCTTGTTGTGAATGCTGTTTGTGTGTATCTGTTTCCATTTCTGAATCGGAACTGCTTGAAAATGTTACATGACCTGTTGCCTTAAACTCAGCAACTTTACTATGAGATGGAATTGGCAGAATATCATTATTTATCTTAGCAATGCTGTTATCTGAAATATTGTTCATGTGTTGTTTATTAGAGTTTGGCGTGATTTGTGAAAAACTCTTTGATACCTTTGCTAGATGTATATTTTCATTGGTTGAACTATGTTTACACAATAAAGTATTCGTTGGAAATTTTACACCACCTTCACCCATTTGAAGCTTAAGAATATTTTGATTTGTAATCTTGTTTTGATTTTCCAATATCTTACTTTTTGTTTTAATTGAATTTTGGGATGGCTCATTGTTTGAGCACCCATTTGTCAATTTTATTCCATTTATTTTACAATTACCGTTATCTGTTGAACTTGTGTCAGATGTATCAGCTTTACGTTTTGTGGGCTTGATTTTTCCTGATGCTTTTTTAAATTTAGCAATTTTGGTGATTTTTTTCTTCCTCTTTTCATGTGTCTTCACAGTTTTTGATTTAGTTTCTTCCTCATTTGAACAAAGTTTTCTTTTCTTTGTCTGTTTCTTTTGAATGTCATAAAGTATTGAGACAGAGACGCAATCATTATCATCAAGGATAAAGATTTCTTCAGTAGACAAAAGAACAAAACCATCCAAAGTTAATGATACCGTTACACCTTTAGGAAATCCAAACTTCCGAATGATTAAGTTCTCCAAATCATGAACAGTTCCACAAATTGCAGGCTTCACCAAAATCATATACTTTGACGAGGATGGCATTTCTGGGGGAGCATTTTCAAATATCAGTTTTATTCGTATCTGCTCTTGTTTTCCAGTTGATGGCATTATTTTATGAACTTTATTGAAACCTGCTTAATAAAATAAAGAATTGCGGCCTCAATGACAAATTTAGCAATATACTGGTATCTTTTTTGCAGGATTCCTGACTCCAATCCTGTTATGGTACAGGTACCTGAGTAATATCATAATAACTTGACAAAAAAATTTCAATATCATGAACAAATCCAACATTGAAATAAACGAAATACCTTCTTTTATCTGAATGTCAATACATTATTTTTTGTCAGTATTGTAGCAGAGCATTATTTCGATGACTACGGTACCGTAGTAAGTGATGCGCCCGTTCCAATGATTTGTGAAGTTGAGAGAATAAGCTCCTAAACAGCGAATTCGGTCCAACCAAAGTGACTATAACTATAAACCAGTTATAGTCACTTTGGGTCCAACTTCCAAGCAAATCTCAAAATGTATCGGTTATGGCTGTTTCCCGACCTTTGACCCGGGAAAATTTTCTATACCTTATCATTGCAATATTTTTACTGGACACGTGATTCGGATTAGTTGGTATTGCAACTCAGGTTGAAACTGAATCATGAAGAATGTATCATTGCTACAGGACTTGGAAAAGTTAGGAAAGTCCCCGCAATGTTACCGGTTATGATTTTATACTATACTAGAGCTTCCCAAACTTTTAACCTAGCGACGCATTCTAATATATAAAAATTTTCCGTGAACCCTGTTAAGTCGGCATTGTTCTTCTCTGATCCTATGTATTGTCTCAAAATTGTGATATTTGTGTTCTGCACTAGTATTAATGACTGATTCAAATCGAAAGTCTAGAAAAGTACAATAGATATAGTACTTTGTGTGATATTGGTGTACTCTTTGCGACCCCTAAAATTCATTGCGCGGCCCTCTGCGGGGTCGCAACGGCCAGTTTAAGAAGCCCTATACTAGACAATTCAACCGAAGACCGTGTGTAAAACATATTCCACGTACCCCCCACATCGTTCGTGAGACTAAATTTTGATTACTGCAATTAAACTGAAGCTCTACATTAGGCATAATGGAATATAAGTTATACAACTATTTTTTGGAAACAGAACTAAAAACTGACAAATAACAAGCAAAACTATAAAAACGAGCATCAATTGAACATCAACCAGAGCGGCTGCAGAAACTGCAATTATTTCTTATTGGGCATGGTTAAGCGTTAAGGTAATAAACGAGAATATCGGTCAGAGGCCGAAGACTTATCGATCGAAAGTTAGGGGATAAAAACAGCGCTCTTACTCCATAGTGACACCTTGTGTCCCATCACTAATAAATTTAATTATAATATGTTTAATTATTATATATAAAGCTAGGTATACTACATAATTCATCCAAAATCAACAGGCTTCTGGTACGACATATGATGAACGCACATGCAAAATCTGGAGCAGATTCAATCTCGCTTTCGTGAGATATCGCGTGCATCTAACAGACAGACAGACAAACAAACAGGCAGACAAATACCTATCAGCATACCTACCGATTAAAATCGATAAGTAACAAGGAAATCGATGCTCGGGGAAATCCAAATGTTAAGTAGCTAAGTACTAATAGGCTATTAATCAGCGGTAATAGGCTATTGTAACACACAAAATATTTTTTTCATATGATTTTAATAATAGACACTAGAATAGACTCAAAAAACCAGAAAAAACGCCAAACGGAAAATCCGAAGCCAAACAAGTTTGAAAAGAGTCAAAAATGGCAAATTTGACCTTAAAAAAGCCAATATGGCAACCCTGTTACATAGGCCTACATTTAAAGCCATCCCCGCTGTCTTCATTGGCCATATTGTCATCGAGAGTTCCTGCGCATATTCTCTGTCGCATTCACCTATAGTAAGTTGGCTAAAGGTACGCTACACAGCAAAAACAGTAACGAGTACATGCTAATTGATAGTGTTCGTGTATTATGCTGGCTCAGAACCAAAGCGGGACTTTTGCCTGACCGGTCGAGACTAAGGATGTGAGTTTCGAATATTTTTTTTCGAATCGAATTTAGAATCACAATGTTCCGATTCATATATTTCCGAATCTGATTCTATTTAGTATATATATCATCATATTATCGTTGAATTTCTTCAAATTTGAAAGAAATATAGTATAAATTTTGATAAAATAACAATAACGAGCCCAAAGAATTAAGAAAGTTACTAGAAAAACACACTGCATGGATGTATCAACTACCAAATATATTACGGCTGAAATTTATTTTTTGTTACATAAATGTATACTCAGGTACACATTTACTTACATACAATTCTGTTTGCAAATAATACCGCGTGTATAGCGACTGTTTCTTCTAAAATTGATCTTCAAAATTTATCCAAATTGTGAACTCTAGTTAGTACCGTATGCGCCATGATTTTGAAAGAAGCAATGCTACAGGGAAGCATCGCAGACATGTTTTTAATAAGGTATAAAGCGATGATGTTTTATTATAATAATATTATGTAGATAATTTGAAGAAACGTTTAAAATATTTGTGGAACTTTGTAACATTTTAGGTAGTCGAACAAAATTGAGCGAAACCATTGGTTCCTCGAAAGCTGCCACCAATATGAAATATAACGACTCTGGGAGTGTCACGGCTTTGGAAAGCTGTGAACGTGAGGATAATAAACGCTTTTGGTCGTTATAAAGGCGGCGCCGTTGTGTCGTGCAATTGCCTTGTGTTATCTATTGAATTTTTTTTAAATAGAATCAAGCCCCCTTTTCTTAAATTGCTTCGAATCGATTCGAATTGACGTTGATTCGAATCGCTTCGATATTCTGAAACTTACATCCCTAGTCGAGACGACGGGACAAGACGTTGTAAAGTGGGACAAAAAACGACCCGACAGCAAAGCATTAATCGAGGAATAACTTACAATTCGGAAATGTGGTATGAAATTATCGACGAAAGAGGCAGGCATTTGTAATCCATGATAACAAAACATATCAGGAGCATTAATGTGAAGAACAACGATCTCGTGGTTGGCGAACACGTTTTCATTTTTCACCACGCCATACTATAAACGACTTTTCTGCAATTGGTATAGTGAAACTATTCCGAGATCGAATATACCGGCAAACTAAAAATTTTATTAAAAAATTTGGAACCTTCAGAAATGATTAGGAAGGATAAAACTACTGCTTTATATATATATATCATCAATTTAAACATTACATACCATTACACGCTTAATACTTCATACTTGACCCCTAAAGTACCATATTTCCTATTTCTTGTATTGTGTATTCACATTGTGTGCTTTAGAATGGTGAAAAAATAAATTACTGATTACTGACCTTTAACTCATTTTAATGTTATTATGCTCGACCTGTTCTGTGTTCAAATAAAATCGTTGTATTACAATAAATAACAAAAAACTAACTTAGCAAACTGAGGATAAAATACATGAAACCACTAACGAATTTTCATCTTCTAGAGTAGACATTAAACACGCCGCGTTGTAATTTTCGCGAAGTCCATATATATATTTACTGGGACAGATCAGCTTATGAATATGTTACTTTTCCTCGCACGCTGCTATCGGCATAAAGTTGCACAAAAAAAGAATTAAACATAAAACGAATATAAATATATATTTTGATGAATTTCATTTCCCTTTAGCTCGAATGTTTGTTTTTTCCATTCTCGGCTCTTCAGCGTTTCTAGCAGCATACTCTTCCTTCCAATGCGGCCCCACATTCTCCTTCAGCTTCTCAGCAACCTAGAAAATGGTGGGTGCAAATTATTCTGGTTTGTTTAGCCTTACACTTGGGCAATGTATGGCAGCAGGGTTTGAATGAAGCAGTCACGTTTTACTGGTATCGGTGTCGAACACGTATTTCTAAACTTCTCGTAGCTGGGAACCAAATTCACAAATCGTTGTTGTCAAAATGTCCAAACATCCTAAAGTTGGAGTGCAACATTTCTGTGTACCAAAAGTCACCAGAATTCGAAGTCAAAAGTATTGTCCATCGTTAGTTGCTGCTAGTCGAATGTTCTAGTACGGTGGTTCTCAAACTTTTTGAGCCGTGCCCCTTTTAGAATTTGTCAAATGTCGCCCCACCTCAAAAACAGATAGTAAGGCGAAAATATGCTTTATTTAATTAACGCGTTGAAAATACGTGGATGGAACGTAAATATACAAAATAAAGAAATGCAAATATCCAAAATAGGGCATGAAAGATCAAATCTAACGAATATTTTAAGTTAGCTTTACGTCCACTAAAAAATTGTCTACGGCACCGTTTGAGATCCCTTGTTCTAGTAGTTTAGACTTTGGTTGCGTACCACTTGGTGGGTCGGGTGGCGCGTCGAGAGAGTGCAATATTTGTAAGTGACACGGAAGCAAATGGAGTTTGTTATATACTGTATATTATATTAAATATGCCTGATAGTTCCCTCATTATGAAATCAAAGCGCTCGTCGAAATGAAATGAGCAAAAGAGGACAACATTTCACTTTTTTATAATTAATATATATATTGCGGTTAGTAATACACCAAAAAGTTCTACCTGTTCTACCCCATCGCCAATCTCTTCATAACATAGCCGGCACATTGCAAGCGCTCTTCGTACAACGTGGTCAGCTTCATTCGTGGTAGCAGTGGGATATATTTTAGTCTGTAAACAACAAACACTCTCAAAACAAATATATATATGTAGATAGAAAAAAAATAAATTATATATATATATTACGAATAGGTTTTACTGAACCCTCTAGAATTAGATTATCATGCCACAATGCAGAACACGAATTCGTTGTACAAAGAATATTACAAAATCCACAAATAGTAGCATTTTAGAAAAATGCGCTTATGGTCGCGTGAGGGCATATCTTTTTATTATTCCTCTTTTTATCTATCCCCCGATAAGCTTAATAGCAGTTATTAACGAACGTCACGTTCATTCATGAAATTTAGTCGCCACAACAAACGGCCTTGCCTCGCATGATTGAAATAAATTATGCCTACGGGCGCGATCAATGCAGTGCTGATATGTTTCATTAGGCCATTATAAACCAAAATTTACCGATTTTAGGAGAAATTCGTAGATCTTATCAAAAAGATATTTATCTAATATCCAAGGTTGTAATTAATCATCACATATCTAAGGAAATTATTTTTGTGATCGATGAGCATGCGGACAATCGTGAAACACAAAAATGCACTCTTCTAATTTCTAGATATTTGAACATATATATATACGGATTAGGAAAAAGTTTCATGATAATTGAAAATTGTGCATGCTTGTTCATTCTATACATTGCCAAAAATTATTAATTGAATAGCATTTAGTTATCCAATTAAACTCACACTGTTAATATAATATTCCTTTTTTTAATAGAAAATTGCACCCTCCTAATATTAGGAGAAATAACACAAAATACCCGA